TTAACGACAATTTGTGCTATTTGTGCATTTAATTTATTATTATTATGTCAGTGGAAATAAATAATATTTAGTGGAAATATTATTTAGTATAAAAACATGATTAATATTAATTATTACTAATATTATGTTTAGTAATTAATGGTTTAATGGTTATTTGATACGGCAGATACAATAGAAAACAATGACTATGAAACGTGTCGCATCAGATAATCAGTAATATTATCAGTAGTATTATTATTTCTACCAAAAGTTAGCTGATTTAAGTTAGTTGATTAGCTTTATTAAATCCACGATCAATTTTCAAAGGATCAACAAAAATCACTTATTAAAATATTTATGTATATTTACTTAGAAACAAGGAACGATCAGGACATAGAGCTTGTATAATAGCTTACAATAAGAAAAATAGTACGAAATGGGATAACATCTTCTAACTTGAGATTTATCATTTGTCTCGAAAATTCCTCAAATTGTTGATAGTCTCCCTATGTTTATCACCATAATTATATGCTACACGTAAGTTAGGATCCTTATTGCTATTCATCCAAAATGGTCCTCCAAGTCCATTAAGTTAATTAAAAGTGTGCAAAAAAAACAGGAATTTAAGCTCACTTATTTTTAATTTTTCTATTTTTCTCCCCGTTGGTTCCTTGGCAACTCTTGTTTGTCTTACTGTTATCATTATCGTGTAGAATCATTTACGCATGGATGTGTCGATATCTTCTGCACCAAGCTTTGTCGGGTTGATAGTTGAGATTAATGCAGTATTATATTGTTTGATCCTCGAGAAGATGCGTTCGCAAGTGCAGATTTTTGAGGTACTTATAAAATCTTATTTGGCAATATAAATCTTAAGCATAGTAAGTATTTATAATTTTGGCTTAAATTTTAATTAGAAGCAATGGATTAAAGAAAATTGACTGAATTTTAATAAATAATGCCTATTTGATAATGAATAAAGGTGAAAATGGAGGGAGTGTAAGTAATTTTTCCATTCAGTAATTTCTTATGCTTTCAACGAAGAAATTGTGCGACTCTGCATTTGCACTTGCAAACGTTTCAGTCCATTGCCTCTGCTTGCATTTCGTCTCATTTTATTATATAACATATAGTATTATTTCACACAATTCAAGTCAATACAAAAATCTTACAAGAAAAAATCATTTATTGCTTGATTCTCGCATGTCTTAGAAATCCAAATTTTACAGAATTGCTCCCTATTACTCTACGATTAATATGAATCGATTCGTAAGTCATAAGTAAGAGGATTTAAACGGCAACTTTAAAAATTTCTTGTAAATTTTCAATTTTCAGTTAAATAGATTTGTAGCACTTAGCATATTGTGTTATATGCCAAATGTGAGCAAATATATGTCGTGCACAAATTATTTTTGTCTAAAATTCCTGAGTTTGAGGTTTAAGAGGATTTGTTTTTTCGATATTCTGGCAATGTAAGCCAAAGATTCAATTTTTATTAATTAACGGAATCTTGTGGATCTTATAGCTGTCTCCGATCTCCGATTCTTAAGAAAGATGACAGGATATTAGCAAGAAATCCTTTGAAATTGTAATCAAATCAACATCAGAACAGTTGCCCACCTCAGGACTTCAAACGAGAAAGAAAACAAGGGTCAATAAGCAATGATGATAGAAGTCCAAGCATTTAAATGCAGTATTTGATTTTTATCATCAATAATTTATCCATTTTTTTTTAATCGAGTTAAACTATTTAAATTATTTTGAAGGCCTTTAGGATTTTCCGTTTTTCCTTGGAAAACCTTGGAAAATGTGGTTCTTATAGTTATAATATAAATAAATAAGAAATTAATTGAATTACAGCACTGATATAAGTTGTGGCTAAATCTAATCATGGCTATCATCCTGGCCATAGCTGAAACAATCTCTGAGCCATATGTTTGCATATGCGGGCAACCAACAAAACAACAAATAATCGCCATTCGAAGAAAATAGTCTTCGGGCCGAACCCTTCAAATTACTTTGCCCATCATCTTTTACACCATCACCTTCAAATGTACTTTTTGGCATGCATGAAACAAAATCAGACTGGAGCAAAGTTCTGTCCGCAATTCTTAAGAAAGATGACAGGACATACTGTGACAAGTATTTAAGAATTAGCCTTCTAGAGATCTCTGGGAAAATTTTGCTTTCCTCCTGCTGAATAGATTTATGGCAAATGCGTCCTAACCAAGCTGGATTCAGATAGAGACGCGGTTGTGCTTACCAGATATTTACGTTAAGAAAGGTGTTGGAATATTAAATATCGGTAATCGAGCATCATTTGTTTCGTTTATTTTGCAGCTATCTTCGATTCATTTTACAGAATACCCCTTTTCAGGGTGATAAAATATTACGGTGTTCATATAAAATATAAAATATTTCCGGAGACGGTATTCGACTCATAAAGGCACTTTTTATCACTCTGTATCACTACAAGTTTCTTTATATGACAGACTCACAGATTTTTTCGAAATGAGAACTGGTGTTCATCAAGGCTTCTTTCTTTCTTTTATAATATTCAAGGCGATTGATTGGGTAATAGACATCGCTATCGGTACTCAAGAATTAATCCACACCATAGTATCCCAGACCTTGAATTAATTGATGATTTAATTCTTTTTGCTGACAATTATGACGAAATGCAAATAATGCTAAACAACGTGTCAGCAACTGCAGCACTCAGGATCAGTATAAATAAAACGAAAGGCCTTTTGTTTCATAAATAAGAAGCTGATAAAACACCTATTTTTATCAATTCAAAGCCAGCTGAGCAAATGCCAGATTTTAAATGTCTTTGATCCACTCTTATAACAGTTGGCTAAACGAAGGACAATACTGCAACTCCCATAATCGTAGCTAGAAATGCGTTCTTTTATTTAGCGAAATCTCTACTTTATCGCAGATAAATGACCACAAAAATGTTTCCATCTGTCTGGTTGCAGTGGGTACCATACATTGTTATACATTTGCAAAATATGGCCAATGAGAATTGAAGATATTAAGAAATCATCCATCTCTAATCCCTCATGTCTAAGATATATTTTATAATTTTGCCAGGTGAAAAAACATATGATTGTATATAATTTCGCAAAAATAAGCATTTATAGTGCCATCACAGAGGAGAGCGTTCCCGCTGGCTAGGGCACTAGGGCACGTTCTTCGTCGCCCATCACAAGAGTTGACACATATTTCGTTGCTAGCTAAACTCTGTGATGGGTGGTGATAAAAGCTGGATAGATCAATAAAGACCTGAACTAATACAGAAGAAATTTTGAACGCATAAGGGATCCAGCGCTATATATGGCCCAAGACAATAGAAAAAGGAGTGATTTCTTTTGATATCAGGCATGGTATCGAACAGCTTGAAAACATCTTACCCTTATAGCCAGTGGAGCCAGCTTAACCAGCAATGGTGAGAGTTGTCAAAAGAAGATTGACGTATAGAAGTTGCAAGGAGAGATACAACTGCCTTTGGGAGCACCAGATCTGTGGCAAATCCAGATCTCACGTTATTCCAATATATGAACAATAAGATCGCAGAGTCCCTTCAGGCCATCTACCCCATGCACTTATGGATCCATTCTATATCAGGCATATTACGATCATCTTCCACAACAAACAAGTCACTATTCAAATATTCAAAATAAATTCGTGACAATAATCAAAAGGTCTGTTGTACATTAAGACAAAGATTTTTAGCACGAATAGTGATTTAAAGCACCAATAGCTCAATGGATTCAAAAAGAAAGCCGTAAATGGTCACTGTAACGACCAAAAACAGATAACGCACCAGCCTTAGTTTTTGTTGATTCACCGGGTTTCTTTTTCGAAAGCACCTCTTTTCCAACTTCATTAACATATCTTCTTTCTTCTATCTGCATTCACCATTCCCGCTTTGGCTGGCTCTTCTGGCTGAATGTAATCTCTTCTCCAAAGCCACTTTGGATAGAAGGCGACAGCCAATTCCTCTTTCACCCTCTAAGGAGAGAAAAATTGAAGCTAAAATGGCTTCAGTCGAAGCAACTACTAGTTAATCGCGCTACTGGGATTAGTCTCAAGTTTCGACGGTCTTTTCTCGGTCCTTTTTTCTGTGCAAATAGACTAATTCTCTTTAAATAATCATTATTGTTCGTTATGAGTTCACCAAAGTTTTTGTACAGCAAAAAAGACAAAAATTTCGTTTGTTTTGTTCATTTTTACGAAAAATTTTGCATGAATCAGCCATTTTCCGTAAAAAATGTTTTAACCAAATTTTAGGTAAAATTATTCGAGTAATAAAATTTCCTGTATCTCTAAAAAACACTATCTCTAAAAAACACTTTTAAGATGCATAAATTTCCTTGAAGTACGACGGCTAAATGCATTCGCGTCACTGTATGTCCATGGCACCTCAATTTGCAATGAGCCTCGGCCCCTGGCCCCAGCTGCCATGACACCGACGATGATCGAAGATTACAATCGAAGATTACCTTCCTGGTCTTAAAACGATTGTTAGCCGACTGTAACATTATGAACAAAAGGGGAATGAAAAATTGCTGAAGGAGAATTCTGTGTAAATAATAAAAAAAGAGGAAAGTGTTGCATTGTTTTTCAACTGTTAAAATCGCTGTTCGACGATTTATTTGTAATTAAATTTTTTAAAATACTTGTTTTTTGTTGGAAAAAAGAAAAAATAGATGATTATTATTGATTTTTAAAAGGATTTAAAAATATTCAAACCAATGAAATCTCATCGCGTTTTGCTTACTACTTATTGCTTTTATCATTTCTACCATTACTATTCGTTGTGGTCGCTAGCTTTATCAGCTTATCAATAGCGTTATCAGCAGTAACGAATTTGCTGGCGAGTTATTCGGTGTTCCATTTTCCCACCGAATTTCTAGTCAATATTTCTATTTTTCGGTCTTTTAATCTGCGTACAACCACCTACACCGAGTGTATTTGAAATAATTTGGCGAAAAAAAGAGAAGAGAGGTATTTTAATGAAGATCTTCTGGGAAAGCGATAATTGGCCTGGTGCAGTTATTCAACCAGGTATCACATGCTTAGGATGGATGCCATGCGCTGATAAACCTGGTTTTGGTCTTCTTGCTGCTGGTAAGAGAATTTTTCCTTTCCTTTTCAATTTTCCAGTTTTAAACATTTTTATAATTATTTATTGGGTTCTTTTTTTTCTTATCCTGTGTTATAATCAGCATTGATGAAATGGTTTGGTCAGTATGACGAATGATATTCTCCTATTTCTTTCTTTCATTTTTTATTCTTCATTTTGTTCCTTTAGATTCGATCTGTTTCATCTCTTTAGAATAAATTGCTTAAAAAGATTTTATAGGATATAAAAAGATTTTTGGAATGAAATTTGTGTTTTATAAAAAAAGTGCATGGTTTTTCAAGTTCCTGATTGATGATTTCGGCTTTTTTAATATCATTTTCAGGTTCTGAATCAGGAGCAGTTGGTGTAACTTCAACGGAAATATGTCCGCGTGAAGACGATTTGCTACGAAATAATTTCAATTTACGCGGTCATCACAGTGCTATAAGTATTGTTGCTTGGAATCAAGGGCAGATGAAATTGGCAAGCTGTGATTTATCTGGGATTATTTATGTTTGGGTACCCAATGAAGAACGATGGAGTGTCGAATTAGTTAACGATCGCGGAGTTAAAGTTGGATATCCATTGAGAATTATGAAAATCTGTCAGTTGGTGAAAAAAAGTTTAAAGTACTGCGGAACACTTTTTTTAGATGTTTGAGTGATATGAAACGTTACGTGTTGTTCACTATATTAAAGGAGAAATTTTTATGGCTTAAGATGGTTTTTTGGAAATTAAATTAATACCGATTGCTATTTATTAAATTAATTAAATTGGTGTTAATTAAATTATATTTTAAAAAACTGGACGAATTTAAATAGATTCAAACTTTGTAGGTCCGTGATGTATGTTGGAGTTCAAATGGTAATTTGGCATTAATATGCTATGAAGATAATTTCGTATTAATTGGCTCTTCGTCTGGTCAGCGAATATGGTCAAGCTCATTTACTGTTGCAGTATCTTGTGGCGTTTGGGCACCAGATTCTCATGAGATTATATTAGGGTTAAGCACCGGTGTAATACAAGTGCTTACTGAGCAAGGTTTGGCTTCGATTTTTAAAAATATGTTATTAGATTATTTTAAATTTCATAGAATGGATTGAAATTTTTCTTTTTATTGGTTCCATATTTTTCGATGATGATCTTTATCCTATTTCTTATATTTTTATTTCCATTTTTATTTGACCTTATTTTTATTTCTTATTTTTTACAATATTGACAAAATTGAGGAAAACTTTGGTACTTCTTTTAAATTGCAGTAATTGCAGTTAGATTCTATCAAATTTTTACGTGAATAATTAAGGAGCAACTATTATGGAAAGAGCAATATCTTCATTTTCAATACAGCGTTTGGCTGCCTCACCATTTCGCAACAATGGAAAATGGACATTAGCTATTTGCTCATCTTCAAATCTTATTACTTTCCTTAGAAATTATGATGAAGTTAGTTTCATTTATCACCAGTCGCTATCAGTTATATTTGACCTTTTGCTATATTCGTGGCTGATCATTTTCAGACAAATGCAGTTGAGTGGCAAAGTGAAGATCCAGTATTAGACGTGCAGTGGAGTTCTTCTGGGACATTATTAGCCGTAGTCACTAAACCTAATCGATTGACTATTTTAAATGAAAGAGGAATTGTTATGTATTCGAAACCATTTCCATTCCATATATCAAAAACTTTAACTGCATTTACTTGGGCTCATAATGATCAAGTTATTGTTGCTGCTGCTGGTACTTTTTCTTATTTTTAAAGTTTCCAAAAATTTGAAAATTCATTCTAGATCGTTCATTAAAATCGTTTTTAATCGGACGCTTAGTATGACTTTATTACCAAGAAAATATTTATTCAATGAAAGTAAAAAATAGCAGATATTTTTATTGGCTTATATATATTTTTGGTATTTTAAAATTTTAAATATTTCAAGCACCCATTTTAATCTTCTTTAATGGTCCTTAATTTTCTATGGTTTAATTTTTTTTTGAAAGTTTGTTTTTTTATTTTTTATTGTTTTATTGGAATTTTCAAAGTGATAAATAACATTTTACGTGTTGAAAACCATTTTCTTATTTTAGATAAAATAGTGATAATTGGAGATAAAAACTGGAGATAACTTGAGATAAAATAGTGATAATTTTTCGTACCAATTCTTACAAATTTTTTTCAGGTGGTCATTTAGTTATCGGTCGAGTTGTGTTTGGTGTACCTCCATTATCTTCTTTAGTTACTTATAATATATGGGTTATGATGGGTCATTCATCGCAAAGGGTTGATTCACTTCCTTTGCCAAGTCGTGAGCGAAATGTAATTCGAGAATTAGATCACCATGTTATCCGGGTTTGTTTTCTTGAATTAATTGCCAGCATTTTTCGCAATTTTTTTTAATATTTTTTAAAAATATTTTTCACTTTTTTTCTCCTTTTTAAAGTTTTTTTCTTTGCTTATTGTCGTTTATATAATTCATTAAATATAAATGGCGATTATATTTTAAATATATAAGAGATTATATTATATAAACTGCTTAGATTCTTTGTGGCTCATTTGAAAAATATTTAGTGTCGTATGCCATCAAAAGAAACCTTGTGCGAAAGTGTATGCGAACCATCAGCTTGGCGATGGTATTGTACTGTGAGACCAATACCTCATAGAATGCATTGCTACACTTTGTGTTTCGAACATATGGGTGGATTGATACCTGTATTAATGGGTCGGCAGATTAATCGAATAATCCCTCAGTTTTATATTTCTCTTCTCGACTCGTCAGTTTTTACACCTTCGTCTCACTGTTCTACAATGGAAAATGGTTGTTCTGCGCGAGTCGGTTGGCCATTTTCTTTTTAAAAGTTTTTGCAATAATTTGGGACTTTTATTTCTAGTTTTTCTAGCTTTATATAGCATGGTTAGCAAAAATCAGTAATCGATTGGATGAGTCTTTTAAATTTTGAATGGTTCTGAAGAATGTTCTAAAATCTTTTAAAATTGGGTATTTTATTTATAGAAGATGTAGGGGCTTTCAATCGTCCTTCCGTTCAGCGTAATTCTGTTTGGAGGCGAAGTAAGCGACATATTAGAGCGTTGATGAATCGTCGCGTCGCCTCATGTCAAGTACCGAGTAAAACAAATGGGAAACTTGTTCAGGTATTATAAAATTAGGTTTTATATTATTGTAGAATTTTTTCTTGAATTATTTTAAATTGCTTTAAAATATATTTTCAAGACTGGTTGATAAAATCGTCACTTTAAGGTATCATCAAATGTATGGTGTACACGCTTCAAAATGACATCTCTTGCTGCATCATTGCTTCCTCCTTCTCTTGCTGAGGTATCATTTTGAAAATTATTCTTTATTGGTAGTTCTTATTAGTTCTTATATAATTGGATCCTAGGTAATTTATAAAACATCTGTTTTGCATCTTCAACCCCGACAAATGACAGTGCGTATCGCTGATTTGGCTAAACGGAGGAAGAAAAATTCTTCGAACATTAATGGCGAAGATAAATATCATAGCTTGCGACAGAGAAGAGGTCTAGTTGATGTAAGAGCTGCAAATATGGCTGCGATTTTAAGGTTACTTAAAATTATAATTTATCAGCTCGTTTAAATTATTATAATTAATATTATTATTTTTTCCTTCACTAATTTTTAAATTTTGTCATTACATTTGTCTATTTTTAATTTTATATTTAATTTTATATTTATTTTTAATTTTTTTGCTGATTTTCGATTATTTGAAGCGAAATATATGCTTTTGAAAATGACGAATATTCGCTGAGACAATGTTTACTGTCTGAAGAGAAAGATGTTTTTGATGATGATGATGATGTAGCGCTTCTTGAAGAAAGAATTCTGTATGAGGTTACAATTTCATAAGCTTCCATTCTTCAAATTTGTTTTTGTAATCGAAAATTTAAAGTTTACAGAATGTATTTGCGGAATTCAATGAACTTCGTGCAGCTGTCGATCGCCATATTGCAAGGATGAAATGTTTTGCGAATGATCTTGAAAAATCTTCTTTGAAGCTGGAAACTGTAAATGCTAGCGATATTTCTTCTACCAGTCTTAGGGCACAGAAGATCTCAGTATCACTTCGGGACGATCGACTAAGTGCTAATAAAAATAGAGTTGAGCTGGCAAGACCCTCAACTTCAGATCAGTGGCCTAGGTATTATGATGAAATTGAGGTATTATTAGTTTATTCATTATTCATTATTAGGTTTATTCTCATTTACTCGATTCTATATTTACCTTTTTTTTCAAAATTTTTTCTTTAATTGGAAAATTCCAAGAAAAAAAATTTTTTCAATCTTGAAAGTAAATGTTTCACAAATTTATTGTCAATCTTCAAGTTAGTTGAGATTTCCTAAAGTGAAAATGCTTATTATGTATTATCCAGTAGCGTTAGCCTCTGTTGGTTTCTCTTCGAAGGAAAAATTTAAAACAAGTAGTTCTTATCACCTTTTTTATTTGCAAAATTAGCCAATAAATTTTCCTTCAAAAAATCTGCAGAAAAAAAGAAAAGAAAATTTTTTTCTCTAATTATCTAATTGTTAGTATATTGATGAGGACGATTCGGTTGCAATCTGTACTAAGAATGATCATTATTCTGAACTTATACCACTGGTTGCTAATACTTCACGTTTAAGTGATCCTTCGCGAAAAGGTAGATTTTTAGTACTTTTTCAATTTTTGACATCAGTGTTTGGCATTAGTTTTATTACTTAGATTTGTATCAATTAAATTATATCAATTTTCATTTTACTGTAAATTTAGGACTTCGACAGCTCAATGATATATCATCGGTTTTGGATAAGCTATCAAAACTGGCTAATGATCTTACCACTCGTTGTGCTGTTGGTCAAGTGAGTAATCAAGCGAGTCCATCTCATGCCTCAAATATCGCTGTAATTACTGCAAATTACTGCAAATTTTTTTAATTTTAAATTCCATTACTAATTCCATTATGTTTCCACTAAATCAATTTTGAAATGGACTAAAGCTTCAAATAATCGACAAATAATCTACTGCATATCTTAAATTTTTTTATAAAAATTGGTTTAGATGGGTTATAATGGTAATACTACAACAGTTTTATCATTACGTACACAATTGAAAGATATTGCAACAAGAGTAACACAGATTGAAAGGAAAATTAATTATGGTATATATTTTTTATTTAATTATTTAATATTTTTATTTAACTATTTTTTATTTAATTATTTTTATTTAATTATTTGATATAATATGCGTTAGACTTATTTATTGGAAAGCAGATTGAATTTTTCTCCTGAAACGTCCTTCAAATTGAACAATCACATCTATTTATTTTCATTTTTTCAAAACTTTTGTCGAGAGTGTCTAGTAAAAATTCTTTTCATCGCTTAATTCAAAAGTTTATTTGATTTAAAATTTATTTTTCATATTCAGGTGATGAATTACTTGGTGAAGTTTGTGGTGATCTGCAACAACGAATTCAACATATTAAGCGAATTCTCGGTGAACATCCTCCCACGGTTGATGAAGTTTCATTTTTGACAATGTACAACAAAGCACCGTTTTGGAACGAAGCAAGCCAAGTTTATCAGGTTGGAAAAAATTCCTTTTTTCGATAGATTTTTGCATTTAAGTTATTTTTCACCATTGTATTTTAAACCATTTTTTATGATTAATAAAAATATAATCATGGAATGCAAATTCAATAATTCTTCTTTATTAATATGAAATATTTAATTTTTGTAGCTAGACTTTGGTGGACGAGTTACTCAAGAATCAGCAAAAAATTTTCAAGTTGAATTTGATAGTAAACAAGTCATGCAGTTTGGTCGTATTGAAAACGGTGCTTATACTTTAGATTTTCGTGCACCATTTAGTGCTGTTCAGGCATTTTCTGTTGCTCTGGCTTCTATAACGCAACGTTTGAAATAATTCAAGTTAAATAAAATATTCCTTTTTTATTTTAAAATTTGGCTGCTCATTGCTTGAAATGACCTTGAATGGTAATTAAATGGATGAATTTTTTTGTTCATTGTTTGATGCCTCTAGTTGTCGTGCTCAAAATTATAATCACTGTCGATCTTTGCGAATCAAATCTTGTGAATTAAAGAATTCTGTATCACTGGTATTTTTCGATTTTATTATTGCGATCAAGTATGGTTTTATCTGTATCATTTTGTACAATACTTTTTTAAGTGTTAATGGTAAATTTAACTAAGCTTTCATAAAATAGGCTTTATTTTTTTAAATTGTTCTCTAATTAAACATTTTAGAATTAAATTAGTATGAAAATATTGTTTATTTAAAATGACTATTGAAATTTAAAATGATATTGTTTATTTATGCCAATTAAGCGATGTAATTCAAGAATAATATCGTTGTTCTCGGAGAGAATACTGCTTTTCTCGGAAATTTTAAAGTTTCATTTTAAATTAGATTGTAAGCAAGCTAAATAACTTTTTGAAATTTCTTTTATACAGAAATACGGGGTTTAGTTAAACAAAAAACAATGAAAATGGGAAAAAAAAATTTTGAATACATAAGAATGTTCTTCATTAGAGGCAGTTTTCAATTTTTCCCTGTGAAAAATATTGTCTTTCTCATATTTTCTGATGGTATTTCTCACTTATACCTTTCGCTCTTAAATTAATAGCGATTTGGATTTCAGAAATATTTTAAAATTATTGCCAATCAATTACTGTATTCATGCTTTTTTCTTTTTGGAACAAATAAGATTACTTCTATTTCGGTCGTTGTATATATATATATATTGTAAATTTAGGATCTTTTGATATTGAATTTATATATGTATTGAATTTGACATGACTAGGTTTTCGCTAACTTTCCGTTTTACCGAAACAATACATGTTCATTTTCTTTCAATGTATTCTTTAATAATTTTACATTCGCCGCAGAACAGTCTTAAGTTTTTTTCTGTCTTTCATTGAAGAATGTGAATATTTTATAGATAAATGATAAATATTTAGAGTAATAAGTAGAAAAAAATAGGTAATGAACTTGGTTTTGCAGAAGTGGTTGTGTTTATACTTTTATACTTTTAATTTTTCATTTATAGCTTGTTGAAAACGATTTCAATAAACGATAAAAATTGATGACATTAATAGTTCAAACATTTTAATAAATGAAAAGAAAATGAGAAGGTTCAATTTCCAACAAAATCATTAATAAAAAAAGAATCCGACGAAATTTAAAAAGGCAAAAAGTCATGTTTCTACTACGTTAAAAATTAAAAATCATGTATGTTCATTAAATTGTTTCTTTGTATATTAAAATTTCCTAAAATTCGTCGATGGTAAATTTAGAAAAGGAATTTAGAATAGTGAGAAAGAAACAATACAGCTAAGAAAATTGAAAAAAATTTTTTTTGCGAATTTCATCGTTGATATAATAACTGAAAAAAACAATAAAAAACCAATCTCTTATTACTGCAACATTACTAGCGACTAACACCGACACCTATGACGTCTGTGATAAAAGCAAATGTAAATAGTTCTAAATGACACGAACAAATAATTACACGTATCTTCAATAACAGATTTAACCATTCGAAAAAATTATGCAATTATGCACCAATAAATCGTAAACGATAATTTTTTGTTTTGTTACATTAAAAAATTTTGAAAAAGACAAAAATAATCACTTGAACTGTTTAAGTTGAACGTTTCTAACTTATTGCTTGACGTTTTTTGATAATCTGTGCAAAACGAGTGGAAAACTGAAAAAAAAATTCCATAAAATTTTAAGCAAATAAAAACGCATTTCACTAAAAATAAAAAATAGTGTTAATGGGGAATACAGTCGAAAAATAGATGGCGACGAAAGCAAAAAAAGAATAAAATATGACTAATGAATAAAAATTTACTGAAAAAAAATAAGTAGAATTAAGAATTTAGAATTTACCATTTATATTTAAGAAGCAATGGCATCGGAAAATTCTTTCGCTGATCCACTAATTGTGGCTCCACTGGATTGTTTTCAAATCTATTCCCTCTTGAACCATTTCCCATAGTGGGCTCATATTTCTCAAACGATTTACATGTTTTATACAAAGATCAGCTGTGTAATCAACTTCCTTAAAAAAAGAATTGTTGACAAAAAAATTTATTTTTCAGTCGAATTGTAAACTCTTTTATTTTATATTTTATTAATAAAAAATCTCTAAAACAATTCACATTGGAGATTCACACCTCTTCAGTAGTAAAACGACCGATCCCAAACCGAATACTTGAATGAGCCAAATCTTCATCGGCACCAATAGCACGCAAAACATAAGACGGCTCCAACGATGCACTAGTGCATGCGCTTCCGGATGAAAGTGCAACATCTTTCAATGCCATCAAAAGGCTTTCACCTTCGACATATGCGAATGATAAATTGATGCAACCTAAATTTCTTTTCGTAGTGAAATCAAAAATTACATAAAACACGCATCTTAAGAATGTATTATAAAGCGAGAATACCAGGATATGAATTCTTTGAATCGCCGTTTCGAATTACATGCTGCAAATTTTGATTTATTCGATTCAATAGACGCAAAGAAAGACGTGCAACATGAGCGATATCCATTTCCATCTCATCATCAGCTATAGCACATGCCTAAATTTAAAATGATAGCTCATTTCATTATCAATACAATACAAGAATACATGAATATTCCACATTTCTTAGCAGAGAAACCAGCGCTTTGACGAACCTTACCCAAACCAACAACAAGTGGTGTTGGCAACGTTCCAGATCGCATACCTCTTTCTTGACCACCACCGGACATCTGAGCTTCAAGTCTTACTCGAGGTCGACGACGCACATATAATGCACCCACACCTGAATATCAATTTAAAATTGCATTTAAAACTCATAAAATTAACTCTTAAAAACCAAAAATAAAATATACCTTTGGGACCATAAATTTTATGCCCACTGATCGACATCAAATCGATATTCATTTTGTTAACATCAAGTGGGACCTTACCAACTGCTTGCGCCGCATCTGTATGGAAAAAAATTCCTTTTTTCCGACATAGAGTTCCTCAAAAAAAAATTAGCTCTTATTCAGAAAATGCCGCGCATAAAATAATAAAATAGATCATCAAATAAATAATGTTATCAATAATAATCAATAACATATGTTATTTTTATCAAAAATTTGAATTTAAATATTGGAAAATTATTCAGTATTAGTCAACTACATATACCAAAAAACACCATGTCATTTTATTAAAAAAAGCGAGAAATGACAAAATAAAGTTACCAATCGCCTCAATGGGCTGTTTAACACCAATTTCATTATTCACGGTCATTATCGAAACGAGTACAGTTTCTGGACGTAGCGCCTTCTCTAGTTCCTGAAATATTTTCATTAATCAAAGTTCCAATCCAGTAGGTTCGAAGAAAAAAATTAAAAAACTGAAAGAAAATAAAAACCAAGGCCAAAAAATGATTAAATTTGACCTCAAGATTTATAATTCCATTTTTCTGTACTGATAGATATGTTAAATCGAATCCTTCCATTTCGAGTGAACGACAAGAATCCAAAACGCATTTATGCTCCTAAATAAATATTCCCAGAATTTCTATTACCTTCTCACTATTTAATTACAACGAAAAATTGATCGTAAAAATACCGTCTGCAGTGTTATAACGTGCTTTTTGCCAGACTGACGATAAAAATGAGCGACGCCTTTAACAGCAATATTATTAGATTCGGTTGCTCCAGAAGTGAATATGATTTCCCGAGGATCAGCTCCGATTAAATTCGCCACCTAAAACACAGAAACAAATAATTCGATCTTTAAACAAGACCTCAAACTTCTGATTTCATTTGCAATCCAGCCATCAATCCTTTCTTTTTCTTCCTTTCTTTTTGTTGCAATTCATTTTAGCCAGGAGATTCATTAAGACTAATAAGATTAAGATTAATACTGACATGATTACGACAGATTTTAAAAGCAAAGGCGGTGATATATATATTTCGAGAAATGGAAAAAAAAGCGACTCAGTCTCATCCAGTGCAGCCAATCAAACTTAGCATGGTGTGTTGTGTTTTTTAAATTTTTTAACTAACTTATGGTATAACTTTTTTTTTTTAAAAGTCCCACCATTACTGGTAAAACTCTCTCCGCTGGATGAATATGCCAGGAATTTGCGACAGAATATAGGTGAATCACCAGCATAACCTGGATTTCTGGACAGGTTTACCACTGCGGGAAACAGAATCTCAGCATCGGCGCCTCGAATTGAGCAACAACCCACTGAATCATCCTATCCCATATGATATAATATTATTCTTTCTACTCAAAAAAAGCTGAGTAAAAAATTTAAAAATTTTAAATTTTATACTGCCTAATAATATGAGAAATGAACCTGACGTCTAGCATCTTCCACCGCTTCCTCGGCATTCCATCCATATTTGTGTGTACGACTATGAGGATTACCAAATTCATATGTCATATACGGAAGCATAGCATCAATGACACGAGGATCCTCAAAACAAATCTAATCGGTTCATGAAAAATATCGAAAATTTCCAGAACAAATACCACATTAAAAGACATTAAATAAATGATTATATTTTCAATTTAATCTATTCAAAACAATGCATCGAATAATTTCGACCGAAATTAAAAATCGACGAAATGGATAACTTAATGATCCATTTGAACAACTTAATAATTCAGGTCAATCAAATAAAAATCAATTTCTCAAAATCTTTTCATACATAATTTCCTTTCCTCGCATATGTAAATCTCTAACCATAGGAGTAGTAGCTTGTAAATCCAGATAGATTGGACTCAAACTGCATCCAGAAGATTCTTGTTGCGATGGTTCTTTACTTTTCATCTCCACCACTGGACGCGCATTCTCATGAATGGCTGAGTTCGATTCCCACTTTCCCTCTTTATCATCAACTGACACAAAAGACACAACGGTGCGAAGTGCGATTCGCCGAAATATCGAAACTGTTAACCTCGAGCATGGATGAAACAGAATATTCATACATGAAAATTTTAAAATTGCGAAAAAAAATGCAAAAAAAAACGAAAAAGCTATTGCTTAAAAATTATATAGGAAGATGGATGAAATTAAATCAAATATTTTTAATTAATTAAATTTTAAAATGGCTATGTATTGAAATGTTTTAGAACAAATACGAACGCAATGACGTATATACAAAGCCAAACGATACGATTAGTCAAAAGGAAGTTAATTAATGATCTTTCAGATTTAATATTTTTATTATTATGAAAAATAAATAATATAAATATAAAAACTTGCGCTTTTCACAAAAAATAATTAATTTCATAATATTTACGATAATTTATCGGCAAAAAACAAACAAAGCACATACATATATGTAATTTTACTTAATATAAAATGTATCAATCAAAAACATATCGATTCATATTTATCACCTTTTAAAAACAAATTTTCTTCCTGTCAATATTAAAATTATTTCAGATTTATAAAAAATTAATCTAAGACTGTAAATATTTATATTTTAAATACTTTAAATTTCAATTATAAACATTTCCAAGAAATAAATGAATTAGAAATAAATTTGCATATAAGTCAAAGAAAAATCTATTTTTTCAAATTTTCCAGTATATGATACTTCCCATTACGATTTATAAACAAATAATTAAACATTAACACATGAAAATTAAGAGGATGGATTATATAAAACCTTCAAATAATTCACTTATTAAGATTGAGCAGATTGACTTGCTGTAGGTGAAACCACTCCAGCTGAAGAAATCATTGGTATGCCCATAGGTATACTTGATGATGTAGACGGACCATCTGTGAAAATATACTATATACTATGAAATATACTACATTTATATTTCATAAATTTCATTCAATAATATGTGAAATTCATTTGAATTTTTGTCGATTAAAAAATTTTTTGGAAACTCAATTATGACCGATTCTACTACAAATATTTAGAATAAAATGATGGTAAGAAGCATGAAATTACAAATCAGCTCACTCAGATTAGGTTGACTTAACTCTTCTTGTTTGAAGCGTTGTTCATTCTCCACTACCGGATAGAAATATGGATGTTGCATAGCTTCTTTAGCAGTTAACCTTTCTTGATGATCATAACGCAACAACTTGTCCAAGAAATCGATGGCTTCTACAGAAACTAAATGCTGATTTTCACTGTGCACGAAGCGTTCCCAACGTTTTTTCGAATGTCTACCAAAAAAAGTTTCATTACTTTTCTTATTATTTTTTTTCATATTTTCATATTTTTTTTATTTCAAGCGTTAAATAAAATGCAAAAAAATACAAAAAGAAAAATATTCATTATATTTAAATAATGATTTACATAATTCTCGCTTACAATAAGAAATAATTTAAAAGGAGCTAAAAAATATTTACCGCCCCAAAATATCGTTAAACCGAGGATCAAGTTCAATTTGATACTTGTCGATATAATCATAAAGTTCTTCTGTGCCAAGAACCTTTGCTATTCGCACCAGCTAGAAATAAGCTTGCATGATTAACTGCCTAAGTATATCAATAAAAAATTGAACAAAACAAAAAACAAGATTACTTGGTCATAATTATCGTGACCGTGGAAGAAAGGCTCTTTCCTGAATATCATACTCGCTAACATACAACCCAGGCTCCACATATCCAGAGAATAATCATAACACTGCAATGATTTACGACGTTTTCAATCGATGAAAACATTAAAAATATTGGAAAGATTAATAATAAATAAAAGATAGCATTTTAAGCAGAATTATAAACCAAAAGATTGAAATCTTACTTGATAATCAACAAGTAATTCAGGTCCCTTGAAATAGCGCGAAGCAACTCTCACATTGTATTCTTGCCGAGGATGGTAAAATTCGGCTAATCCCCAATCAATAAGTCTCAGCTAAATATATTAAAAAATTTTTAATATAGTTGGCAAAAAAAAAACCATAAACCAACATATATTAAAACAAAAAAAGTATATAAGTATATAAACAAAAAAAGGAAAGAATCATCTAAAAAATTGAATAAAGAAAAATAAAAACACCGTTCTCTTTTCATGATCGATCATTACATTATGAGGTTTCACATCACGATGCATTATTCCTTGGGAATGACAATAATCAAGCGCCTTTAGTAACTCGTAAAGATAATAGCGTATATCATAATCTGTCAATGTTTGATACAATATCTAAATGATAAATGATATCTAAATGATACAATATCTAAATGATAAATTAGAAAAAAAAGGTTAAATCATTAAGCGACCTTTATCCACTGTCAACCACATTAAATCAGAAAAACTTCAGAAATAGTTCAGTTAAACCAAAATCTCCTAGCTTAATAAACCAGATTTCTATTTTACAACAAAATTTCAAAATTTCCATTTTAACCTTGAAATCAGTATTATTAATATATTCAAATATAAGAGCTGGAGTCCTAGAAATTGGGTCCTTCACAACATCAAGTAACGTAATGATATTTGTTCCTCCACGTAAATTTTCCAAAATTTTGATTTCTCGCTTAATTTTCTTCTTTTTTACCGGCTGAAAAAAATGACATTAAACAGCTAGAAAAAAATTTTAAATTTTAATTTAAATTACACTCTTTTTTATCCATTTTATAAACATCACAGCAAAAATGCCAACCAAGTAAACTGCATCATATTAGTTACATTATATCGCTTCGTAAGTGGTCATGATCATTCTCAACTTCGGATCCTCTACCAGAGGCCTGGGAGATTGAGGGTTCTGGTATCTTAGATGTCCCTGATAGTGGGCTCTTCTGGACAGAGATAAAAGAGGTCTCATTCTGTTATAAAAGAAAAACGAAACCGAACTGATAATTGTTAAACACTAACTATTAAACTCTAATTATGAACTATAATAATAAAGCAAATGAGCGAAACAACAACCAAATTTATTTTAACTGATATTGATACTATTCCTCTGATATTGTTCAATTTTTTAGTTTAGGAGTTATAATTCCAAGTGCTCCAATTTTCAATGGGATTATTTTGGCTTTTACTTTCCACATCTTTCTCTATTACCAAAATACCTGGTTGACTGGCCAGTATTTGCTTGTCTGTTTGAATGGGGAGATCCCACAGGATTTTTGCTTTATTATTCTCTACGATTTTCTGAGGAATCTTCCATTTAGCTCTTGGAAGATTCCATATAAACCATATACCGAGTATGTTCCTGTAGATGATGCCAACTACTTGGTTAACCATTCAGTTTATGTTTTTCCTGCTTGCATTTTCCTGCCATTTTACTATGTGTTGGACTGTTTCTAAGGAGTTTTTGCATAATCTGCATCTTATCTAGTTATATCTGGTGTAGATCCTTGTTTTGATGGATCTCGTGCTTACTGCTTGCTATAATCAATGCCTCAATATTGCCTTTTAATCCATCTTTCTCCAATCAATGGTACAATTTCACTATGGCAGCTATCTCAGCTATCTGTCGATGGTTAATCCAATCCACGGAAGATTTTGTTTTGCTATGGTATTTCCTCTACTTGGTCGTTTTCCACAGTTTTTTTTTTACTGGTGCCATCTTGCTGATGTACTTACGAATTCAAGAATTTTCAAGATAGTGACTTTCACAATCGCCAAGTTCCATCCATCTTCTTTCCGGCTAGTGTGCAGCCTTTGGGTATTAAACTTGGGGTGGAAATTTCTTTGTATTGTGAGTGCAAGATGGTATCAAAGGAATGAATTTCTGAGAGAATTCTGAAACATAAAAACTGTGGAAAACGATCAAGCAGAGGAAATACCATAGCAAAACAAAGCCCTCCGTGGATTGGATTATACCATTGATAGATAGCTGAGATAGCTGTCATTGTGAAATTCCACCACTGATTGGAGAAAGACGAACTATAAGGCAATATTGAGGCATTGATTATAGCAAGCATTAAGCATAAGATCATCAAAACAAGGATCTACACCAGATATAACTAGATATAATCAGATACAACTAGATAAGAAGCAGACTGTAAAAGTGTAAAAAAAAAACGCCTTAGAAACAGTCTAATACAAAGTAAAATGACAGGAAAATGCAAGCGGGAAAAACATACACTAAATGGTTAACCAAGTAGTTGGCATCATCTACAGGAACATGTGCTCGGTATATGGTTTACACCCTTCCAAGGCTAAATGAGAGACTCCTCAAAAAATCGTAGAGAATAATGAGGAGAAGATCCTGTGTAACTTTCCTATATAAACAGACAAGCAAATACTCGCAAATCAACCAGATATTGTAGTAATAGACAAGAATCAGAAATCAGCAATGGTGATTGAAATAGCAATACCAAGTGACAGGAACGTCAGAAAGAAGGAATATGAGGAGTTGGAGAAACATTAAAGGTGAAGGAGGAAATAGAGAAGATGTGGAAAGCCAAAAGCCAAAATCCCAGTGATAATTACATCACTTGGAACTATGACTCCTAACTAGAAAAGTGGTTTCAGCAGATTCCAGGAACAATATCAGATATCTCTATCCAGAAGAGTGCACTATTAAGAACTAAGATATTACGCGGAACCTCCAATCTCCCCAGGCCACTGATCTTTTCATATTTATATACTGTATCGCTTTTTACTTAATTAGCAATTCCTTCTAGTTTTCATTCGTTTTTCAAGAATCATTTAATGAATTTACAAGAAATATTTGCAATAATTAGGTTAATCCGAGGTTAAGGATGATTATGACCACCCACAGAAGGTGAGAGAGAAGTTTAACGGCACCAAAATTAGATCAATTTAAAAAAAAATTATCACCTTAAGAATCTTGATAACACATTTTTGGTCAAATGTCGTTTTTAAGCCTTCAAAAACTTCGCTATATTTTCCCCGACCAATTTTCTTATATAATTGATAATCATCAATATTTCCCCACGAAATCATATGATTTTCATAATCCCAATATTCGCGAGGTTTCTGTTGAGTTACCTAAACAAATAATTTATGAGAAAAGCAAAAAAGAATTACACATAAAATAAATAAGCAAAAAAGGATTTACGTCAGCGTAAACTCGTGCACGACTCGGCAAATGCATTGTTTCTTTTGCTTTTTTTAAATATTTTTTGCCAAAAACCTTAAAATAAAAAATAATAAAAATATAGTTTAAAGCTAAATATTTATCCAAACGATAGAAAGCGTCATGAATGAAATTTAAAAAAACAAAATTTACATGCAAATCAATTGGCAAACAACATACAAATGTGACAATGCCAATCAAAATTACCAATAAATCCTCCTTAGAAGCGTACACTTTTCAATTAACTAATTTGCAGCCAAACTTACTTATTGGCGAAAAAACAGCAATTTACTGGAGATCAAACGTCTGAATATAAATAATCAGTTTTAAATAAATAAATTTTCAGTAATAAATTTTCAGAACGAAACGTGACTAATTGTAAGCGGTTAGAGCTCAGCATTTCTGGTTTGCCTCGTTCATCTAACTATTAGTACGCTGATTAATCGGCACATCGGCACTTGGCAGGTTTACGAGGATCGACGCTCAAGACGATAGCCTAGGCAATAACCATTCGGCTGCTGTGCATTTTACTTACTTCTAGCCCAAATACATTGAAAGAAAAGTAAGGATTTAATACCAAACCGACAGCAGAAGTGAAAGGACTTAGGTTTTTAAGGACTTTACGGTAACTTATCAGTTAAAATATTCATTCTTTCCATAAATTTCTGATTCACCTAATTTTAAAATATTTAAATCATCAAAAACATTCATAAACAAAGTTTGGCTGAGAACTGGAAAACAATTTCAGAATGAATGAGAGAATCAACAGAAGTAGTAACCATTGCAACGATTATAGGGCTCGGTAAGTGCTTTAACGTGGGGGAGCCACGTCGTTTAGATGAGATGCGAATGGTGATGAAGTGGTGGAGTGGTCTCCATTTGTTTCTGCCTCGGTGACTCTTTAGTCGAGATGGCAGCCCACGTTAAAGCGGAAATGAGGCCCAAACAGTTAATGATTAAGCAATTGCTTTACCCTCCCACCGAACTTCGAAATCACTAAATCACTTTTTTAAGCCATCCATTACTATCTTCCATCCGAATTTTAGTAAATGATTCCGTGAACGTTTGGCTTTGTGCCAATTTTATCTTCAGGCTTAAAACATTTAAATTTCACCGCTCCACAGTTTCAGACTTTCAGTCTCAGTGAAGGGGTGCATTTTGTTGAAAATGGTTTTTAATAATTTTTAGATAGATGATTTAAAGTTTTTTGTCGCTTTAGTCGTTGTAACCAATTTATTGTTCTATGAATTTTTTCATTAAAAAACAATGACTTCGTCAAAGCGCTCGCAGATAACGCTGTTTCAGGTGGTCACGTAGCCGACAAGTGCCTCCCTCACTTCTGACTTCTTCCATGCGGGCGGACTTCGGTGAATTGTGAACTGGTCAACGGGTGAGTGGTACTCACTCGTCGTACTCACCACGCAGTTACAATCCTCTTAAGTTCGCCTGTATTAGATTTTCTTGTTCTTGTACTTTTCACTTATCTAGTTCCATACTTATTGGATCTTAGCGTATTTGTTTCTTTCTTTAGTCCCATTTTCTTTTCTTTTTCTTTTATTACTTCATTTAACCTTCTGTCGTTGTTTTCATGCTATTGGTTAGCTATTTCCTCACCAACAGTTTTCATTGTTCCTTTCATTTCTTGCAACTTTAACCACTAACGAGGAGGAAACCGCAGAGCAAATGAGCAGAAAGTACAATAATGTTTCTGTATTTATTAGAACTAATAAAGATTTTCTAGGAACGATTCACATAAAGTGCCACGCAGACGGTTTATTTATCTTTTATGTTGTTTCCATAAAGTTTTTTAGGCAACAGTATTCTGTCATTTTATTTAATTTAATTCTCTATTTTTAATTCTAAAGACATACGAGCGACTTTAATTGAAAAAATTGAACTGAAAAAATTCAGTTGAGCGTTGGCGATGGCTTGTACAGCACACTGGAAGTAAGTTTCCAAGTTCTATTTTATATTTATAGGATGGATTCCAAAGATTATGTTGAAAGGGGAAATTTCATATTTTTAAAGAAAACAATATTTTATCGTAGTTTGGTGGTTCCATTCTATTGCCCAAGATCGTTTTAAAATCATGCTAAAACTTAGTGGCTTTCTTTATGAGAGTTTGTCCCATATGCAAATGAAAATTTATTCTATAATTCAAAGCTTGTTTCGATATAATAAAGTCCTATCAAAAATAGAAAAATATGAACATTTCTCGCTTTAAATAGAATCTCTTAATTTTTTCATCATTCTTCAGTGGATTTCCTGGTAAAATAAAAAAAAAAACATCAGTAAATACCAGTATTCCAATTTTATCATGAATGTTTGAACAATTTCAGATTGCAAGAGGAAGGTCGTTACCTTAGGTTTCATCAGAATCATAGTGAAAATATTTCACTGCTTGATGATAGACGAAGGTAATTGTTTTATAAATTTTTTCAAAATTCCCCGTTATTAGTAATTTTTCCTCTGATTTCAAAATTTTCATCATTAAAATATCCTAGTTTGCAAAAATATCGTTATAAAATATTTTTTTAAAGTGCTCTTCGACGCGAATCGTTTGAAAAAGGTTTGGTATTTAGTGAACGACCACTTTTGCCATATGAACCTTTTTTTGTTGCAATTGAGCGTATAGAAGGAGGGTGGAATGGTCATTTAAGGTATTCGTGTATGATTATATTTGAAACATTTTGTACATTTTGTTTCGCTTGTAATTTTAATATTTTACATTTGAAATTTTATAAGTATTTCAGGCTTGGTTTATCTCATTTAGATCCTAACGAACAATCCCTTCTTCAATTTAGAGAATATAATAGCAAGTGCGTTATTTCTTTACTTTTTGGTTTTTGGTTTATTTGCAGAGATTAAAGTAATGTACATATTATATTATATAATTTAATAATGTGAAGATATAAAATTTTTATGCAAATCATTTGTTATAACATATTTTATTATAGATGAATTATCCAATATTTTGCATTTTATTAATTATGGGATTTGGGAAATAAAAAATTGGGAATTAAGAAATTTTTATTAATTCCTGCTTTTTTTAGGAGAAATCCTGCTAATGCGTGGATGGTTGCTATTCTTGCTTCGTCTATCCCTTGTATCAGACAAATTTCGGATAATTTCCAAGCTTCGACTCATCTTTCAATGCTTTTTCCCTTAGATAGCCCTCCTTCGTCTTATCCTCCCATGTTCTTACCTACAGATGTTGGTTCAGTCATTGGTGTTTATTATGAACCCGTTGATTTCCATCAGGCCCGTTTACATATACTCTTGAACAATAATGATCTCGAACCTAAAGTGAATTTTATTTACAATTTCTTATCCCAAGATACTTTTCTTATAAAATTGGAAGTTTTAAAAATTATGAAAAAGTGAAGGTTTGAAGAATTTTTAAAATTAATAACATATAAAAAATAAATCAGATTGACAGGCCTATTGACAGGTTTTCGTCCCTCTTGATGTACCTTTATATGCTGTGGTGGATGTTTATGGAATTACCAAGCAAGTACGAGTGGTTCCGGTTATTAGAACAGGTTCATTGTTTATTTTTCAGCTGCTTTTCTATTATTATTTTGTATTACAAAAGCTTAAATTTTGCAGTACCACGTTTGAGCGATCTTTGCGAGCGCCTCATTCATAAACTAATAATTTCTGAAGCAGCACCAGTTCACACGTCTCGATTGCCAGATCGTTTTAGAGCAATCTTTCAATCGAAAAATTCAGAAATAATTAATGCTGCCCAAGCAATATCTATGAGCGCTTTGCGACCAATTTGATTGAACAAACATTACTGTTATTTGGACACATTTTCATTTATAAATGTCTTATTTTATCACTATTTATTTATTTATTTGTAACACTTTTAACAGTTATTATAAATTCGAAAATTGCAATTGATTTTTATAATTCATTATATTATATATGGCATAATTTTTTTTCGAAGATCCTTTAATTATTCAAGGTTTACTTTTTTTGTTAATTGTTCAGATATCAGCTAGAGTACGTAAAGCATTTTGCAGAAATTTTACATTAACCACTGAAGTTCGATATCAGCTAGAATCCCTTCGTCCCTCTTGATGTACCTTTATATGCTGTGGTGTATGTTTATGGAATTACCAATTTTTCGAATTCCAAATACTATGGATTGTGAAATTTTGTTTAAAATTCGATTTTCGAATTCCAAATACTATGGATTGTGAAATTTTATTTAAAATTTAATTTTATTTAAATTCATTTTTTTCCCTTCTTTTGTCCCTTATTTTTCATTTATTTAGGTTTTTTAATTTTTATTTTTATTTATTCATTTGTTTCCACTGTTCATTTGAAAATTTAGTTTCGATTCATATAAATTCATTAATTCATATAAATTAATTTCAACTATTTATTGATTATTTAATTAATTGATTAATTTTTTCTGTTAAATCTGATTGTAGTTTTATTATTCTTTTATGGATTATTCCAACATTAACTTGCTCAGTAATAATTTAAGATTTCCACAAAGATTTAATTCATTGCTTTGGTGCTTCATTCACCTTAAAATATGAAAATATGAAATATGAAAATAATATTAATTTTTTACGAAGTGAACCACATAAAATATTTGCTGAAAAATTCGAAAGTTGGCTCGATTAGTTATTTGACCAAATATTTATGTGAAGCTCCTCTTATATTGGGAGTTATATATATCATAAAATTATGTACTTTCATAAATCTCTTGCAATTTTTTTCTAGTAGGTTTATAAAATCCGTCAAAATTGAAATACATTTTTAAGGATCCAACATGAAGAACAGTTATATTGTAATTTGGCATCTCATAGCCCTCAGCACGAGTGTTTTAGAAAAAGTTAACCTGGAGGTCAGGTTTTAGGTTTTTTCCTTTCTTTCTGAATATAGATAAATGCACTCGTTTCATGGATAAATGAAATTCCTGTCACATTAAAACGGTGCTGTTCTGGTTTTCCGTTGTTTTGAAAGCATATGTTTATTTCTAATATCAGATGGTCCTATGGTGAACGATTTTCATTGGTTTGAATGTGAGTGGAGTCAGTTAAACTGGAAATCTTTAGAAGTCATTCATAAATGGGAATTAGCAAACTATAAATTTAAAATTTGCCGAAGCAAAATCTTTTCTGTCATTCGGAGCAGAGTATTTCAGGTATATATTTGTAATGTTTGGTAAATTCAAAGGTAGGGAAATCTTATTCGATGACCAACAACGGCAGGCGAAAAGCTTCTCTTTACTTTTGTTCTGGGAATTTCTAGTTCGTCCATCGCCCTACAGTACCGAATTTTAAATCAAAGAGAAAGATAGCCGGAACAATAGAAATGTATTTGGCAGGGGTTTATTTTGTTTTTCAGGTTGAACTATTTTATTCGAGGAATTATTCGAGTAATTCAAGTGTTCCATTTTCTTCATTCTAAAACAATTCCTTAGCCAATTTTTTGTAATTTTCTATGATTTCAATACTTTATTGAATTTTTTTATCTAATAATTTGAAGATTAAAAGCTGAAATGGGTAAGTAACAAATGATCAAAATCGCACTTTGCTTTGCCATTTTAGAAGTTTCAATTTTAAATTTGCGAATCTTTTTGGCAAAAAGTGGAGATCAATAAATATAAATCGTGCATCCCTTATTATTGCCAGCAAATATTTGCTTAATTTTATAATTTAAATAATAATTTTCGAACAAATTCATGGTTTTAAATTTTTTGAATCTGTTAAGTTTTTAGGAGAGGCCGCGTTTTTTCAACTGACCGCAGCTGCATTTGTTCATATTTGTTTCTGTCTTATTGATGAGAATTCTTTAAGATTATTTTTGCACTTTTTTCTTGTCTATTAATTTATGGTAATGAATTTTTTAGCTAAAAGTGTAGTCAGTCAAAGGCCAACGATATATCCATTCTCGAAATTGCTACGGATGAGTAGTAGGAAGAGTCCGGAAAGGTCAAAAGGTCAAGTGAAATATTTAAGGTTAATTCAAGTTTTCTTTCTTATTAAGTTCTATTTCAAATTTCAATTTAGTACTTATGTATCTTCTGCAATGCTCTGCAACTATTGCGTTCATTTATTATTTCCCATGCAACGCCACTTCTAAAATTTTGAGAAATTCGCTTTTTTTATTTTTTAAATATTTTTTCATTGTTTTTATTTGTTATTATTTGTTTGTTGAGTTGATCATTATTCAGTTTAATTTATTATGTGGTAACTAAGTCCACGTTATTTCCTTTCCATAATTATGAATTTTTATTTATTTATATTTGTTTATTTATTTGTATTTTATTTATTTTTATTCAAATTATTGTAATTATACTTATTTATTCCTTATATTTATTATTCTAATTACATCAATAATATTTTACAGTCAAAATGAAGCAATCGCTATAGATCAAGAACTTTTCACTGAATATGGATTTAGTGTTGATCAGTTGATGGAACTTGCTGGCTTGAGTTGCGCAAATGCAGTCGTACGTCTTGCAAATAAATGCGACGATATATTAGTGATTTCAGGTCCTGGAAATAATGGTGGTGATGGTTTAGTATGTGCTCGACATCTCAAATTATTCGTTAGTTTTTTTTTTATTGATTTACTAATCAAAATTTTTGGTTGAGAGAATAACAGTTTGTTGCTATCGTATTAATATCAGGAAAAAAGGAAGAAAGTTATGGGAGAGTATGATAGATAAAATATATTATTCTAAATCACTGATAAAAGATGGAAGGAAAACGAATAAAGCCAGGAAAAAAAAGAAAGGCAATGCATGTATTCCACAGTCTAATATTCCCATTCTCTTTTTTGGTGAAATCATTGTTGACTTTATAATTAGTAAAATTTATAATTTTAGAATTTGTTATAATTAATTAATAAATCATGCATTTGCTTCTTTTATCTTTAAGTTAATTGGAATATATTGGTAATCCCTGGTAAAAATGAATTTTCCAGGGATATAAGCCAACAGTTTTGTATCCAAAGCAATCGAAATCGGATTTAATGAGTCGATTGATAACTCAAATTACAAAGATGGAAATACCTTTTATCAAGGAAGAATCTATTCAAAATCCATCAGATATTGAAAAAAATTTTTCATTTATTGTTGACGCAATATTCGGATTCAGTTTCATTCCACCGCTAAGACCACCATTCGATCGGCTTATTGATATTGTTGCCAGATGTAAAACACGCGTTCTTTCTATCGATATACCATCAGGTTTTTCTATTATTTTATTGATAAATTACTGCTTTTTTTATATTGATTATAGAGTTAATATTTTAGTTATTTTATTTCTTATTCATTGGCCATTCTGAACTTAAATTTCATATGAAAATACATATGAAAAATTATCTTTTGATTAAATCTTTTCTGGACTGTAATCGCATAATACGGAAAGCTTTATGAATTTGCCAAGGCTTTAAATGACATTTTGGTCTACAGTGCATTAGTTTAATTTTTTTAAATTTATTAAATTTTTTAATTTTTTATTGCTGCTTTAGTTTTCAGTGTTTTTCATCTTTCTTCTCTTCCATTTCCCTGGTACTGGTACTTTTAAGTTGTGTGCTCATTTGCACTTCATTTAAATTTATTTTTCTATTGGTGATTTTATTATTCATTTATTATTATTTATTATTTATTAATTATTATTATATTAAATTGTTTCTTTACATTTTTATTCTATATGATTTAGCTCAATTATTAAGCACAGTCAGCGGAGAAAGGGTATAATTTTCATGGAATAGTAAAAAAAATTGAACTTATCAGTTTTCACTCATTACATTTGCTTTGTATATTAGTTAAAAATCCATAATTATTCTTAAATATAAAAATAGCACATATAAACATAAATGGCAATAATATTAATGATTCCATTAGATGATTTTTGTAAATTCCCTGATTTATACATTTTTAACAAATGAAATTTAAGTTAATTAATGGTGATCTTTTTTCAAGAATGCTAAATTGCGAGCAATGTTCGCTTGAAATTTTCCATAAGTTAAGTAGAAACAAATTGAATTTTTGCAATAATTATCGATAATTTATATAAATACCAATAAAAAGACGAGTTTTTTTAATCGTTTTTTCGTTTTCTTTTTCTCACCTTATCGTCGGCTCGTTTACATCGAATTAATTTATTTCGCCTCTTATTGCCTTTTCTTCTGTAAATTTTAGTCCCCTGCTGATTTATTGTAAATTTTGTTTGTATCATTTCTCTTTGAGTTTTGCCACCAACATTTAACACATTTGATGAATTTGATTGTTTAACAGATGTTCTATTCAGATGGTTTTATGGTGATAACTACAAAATGCCTTCTTTGCTTAAATATATCTTCAAATTAGTTTTATCTCCTTTTTTCTATTTTTATTTACCCATAGATTAGATTATAGTCAATAAAAAATTGGTTCATTATTAGGTTTGCGGACCACATAAGTAGCTAAAAATCTTTCTAATACTAAAATATTCTAATTTTATTTTTAATATTTATTTTTAATTTTGATTTGTTTTGTTATTTTAATTATTTATTTGAATATTTAAATTTTTTATTTGATTGGTTGATTATTTGTTTTATTTTTCGACCATCTTCAGTTATTCAGCTATTTTTGCTTTAACTATTTTTATTAATATTATTGTATTATTGTTTATATTATTGTTAATAAGAAAATAAAGATTAATTTTCAGGTTGGCATGTGGAAGATGGACCGTCCGCTTTTAGTGTCGCTATCAAACCATATGCGCTTATATCATTGACCGCGCCAAAAATGTGCGCGAAACACTTCGATGGTACGCATTTTCTTGGAGGCAGGTTTGTACCGAATTCGCTAATCGACAGATATTCGCTTAATCTGCCGGAATATCCAGACTTTGAATCGATCATGGTTTTATCGAAATAATAGGGCAACATTTCTCAGTGGATTAGATTATCATAATCTTATTACCGTGGAATTTTTAATATCTTACAGAAATCGCTGATAAATCTTCCAGGATTAAAAGGAGCCTGAAGAATTTGATATATATATTATTATTATTTATATAATTTAGTCTAACTGTTGTGGAATGTGTTTTTTATATGAGATTATATCGCACAAAACTATCTTTGATCCTAAATTCATCTTTAAGTTTCTATTTTTTTAAAATTGTTTATCACATTTATAGATTAATCTGTCTTTCATCATCTGAATTTTCAACATTTTCAATATTAATCAATGTCCTAATGCAAAAAAAATTTCTTCATTGGTTTTGCTAGAATAAGGCCAAGTTAATTTTTTATGTATTAGCAAAAAATTATCAGTACTATTAGAAAAAAACTTTTATAAAAGTAGATTTGTGAAATTAAATCGGATTTTTTGTCTCGATTCATCATTCAATTCATTAACTGATGTAATAGGAACCATCAAATTATTGATGTGTTTGCACCATAGATTATTTGTTAATGAATGATATAATTTTACTGAAAATTGATGTGCAAATATTTAAATTTTAAAGGTTTTGAGACTATTGAGACTATCCAAACTATTTAAAAATCCTTCTTTTTTCGTTTTTAGAAGGAATAAAAAATAATATATGGCAGTTATCTATATTTTGAAAAAAATGAATAAATAAGAATATTGAAGGCTGATTGGTATGTTGCTTTGATTGGGATCAGTGGTTCCTTGGTTTCGAGCCTATCATCGAAAATGAAGTTCGGGTAGTTCGATTGACTTTTACTACTTTTGTCTTTTAAGTGATCGCTTTTCAGCAATCTCATAATATTCAGCGCGGTTAGCAACATCTATTAGAAGATAATGACAATGGAAGATAATGATAATGGTAATGGTAAGCTAATGATAATTGATAATGTTCGTCTGGAATGTTTTCTATAAGTTGAACAGAAAAATAATAGCAATAATAGCTGTAGGAATGAATATATAAATGATTACAATACTATTAAACAACTACGAGAGGAACGATAGAAACAATTTTGGGTGAACGCTGATAAATGATGAAATATGGGGAAAATCATCAAACTCCTTGGATTAACGTTGAGAAATGCAATAAAGAAGATAAAAAATGTTTTAAAACAAAAAAAGCATATCTGTTATCGGCGATGTTAGATTCCATGTGCATTTTGCATATTTTGCATTTTATTTGTTTTTACGGAAAAAATAAAATGGATGGAGAAAGAATTAATAGAACAACAAGTGATTTCAACACATGAAAACGTTGGTTGATATAATCCAATTTGATGGACCGTCTGCTGCTTAGAAAGAAGGCCTAAATCGAATTACGGTAAGTGCGAGTTACAATTTATCGCTGTGGGGTGTCGTATTTATCGTGAAACATAAGTAGATATTATGGACTAACTAACTGTACGTACGATTGCTGCGACATTGTCCAATAACGCCATACGACCACGCCTTGTGCATTTGCGGATAAGGTGGAGCATTTTCGGAATTTTAGAAATTTTCAACGAAAATATATTCCCCACTAGCGTTCGCTTAGATACCGAAAACGATTATGAGCGACACGGATAATTCACCGAGGACGGTTAGAATTTTTCTTTTTTTGTCTTATAATGGATCACTAAATACCAACTAAATCTGTATTTCTATCGCCAAGCGACTCTTTGGCAAAAATTTCTTGTCGTTGCAAAAGCGAGTCTAATCAGAATGCGAGCGCTAACTACTTGTTTACTTTAAACCTGAAATGGTAAGAAGGAAAATGATATTAAAATGAAGAAAATTGGCCAAATTGTCGAATTCCACGACTTTGACTTAAAATTTAAGGATTTATTTTAAAAGACTCTGAAAATGACAAATTTACTTTTTATAACATTTTAAATAAGAAAAAAAGACTGATTGACCAGTGGCAATTTTTCTATCGCTTATTTCGTTGGATCTTTTTATGATTTCTTCGAATATTCATTTTATCGAAAATACTGTGGACACTTAAAAATTTACAAATATGGTGCTTAGGAGGCATTTCATTACGGTATGAATACTGATTATTTAAGTTCATTTATTGTTGCGCTTTAGTTGTAGCTAAAGCTAAAAGATATTGGCTTTTGATGAAGCCATTTTTGATGAAAACCAACCATTTAGGTAAATTCGGGTGATTTCAGTTTCTAAGTGGATTTTATACTTTTCTTACGATATAATTATCTGCTGATCATACAATCGTTTGTGTCCTTTTCCATTTTATTGAACGACAAACACTTCAGCAAATAATAAATGCGATATTTCCCTGTGTTTTAAGTAATTTTCAACTAATAAGCACAACAAAGCATATTTTTCTCTCTTTTCAGTTTATAATTATGAATAAAAATTTTCGTTATTTCATATAACATATATCATATACTTTTTAAAAAAAAACAACTACAGTACTTGTTCAGTTATTTTTTATCGTAGTTAGTTGAAAAACGTGATTTAGCAATCCTCCCTGCGAAAAGCCGTGTCTCACTAGTCAAAAATAGAATTTTATGCATTCCATCTTTAGAGTTTAGAGTCCAAAGAGTCCATCTAGTCCATCTGTTTCTCATCTTAATCTTCTATCGAGTGATGTCAATGGCCCACACTGGACTGGAACCAACTCCGATTAGGGGAATTAATGAAGTCAGAAATGAAAAGTATTATTAGAAGTACTATCAGAAAATTTAATCTTCTATTAGTACGAGAATTTTGTGAGACACGGCAATATTCTCGTGAAATCCACGTTTTCTGCTGAGGAACTAAGTGATTTCGAAAGAGGTACATCCTATTTCTTCTGAAATTAATCGACTGTTTTATCAACTTGTTTCAATAACAAATTAATTTCCTTGCAATATTTTGCCGAATAAATCTTCCAGGGAAATCGGTCTTTTTATTAATGTATGTTTAACTTTCTGATTTTTTCCATTCTCTTATCGATCAATTTGCTTTCTTTCCTCAATCAAAGATGGCACCGTTTCCTATTCCTTCTTATTTAGATAACTAAAATTTATAGAGGAAAAGGAATAAAAGGAAACAAAAGATTTAGAGGTGAAAAATAAATTTTTAGTGGACCAATCCTCTGCTGATTCCTATGAATAAAATAAATCTGTTCAATTATCCGTGATAAATTTCATTCTAAGGTAATAAATTATCAACGCTAGGAAAAAAAGGGAGGTAACTTTGGTTTCTGGTTCCCTTTTGACGATAGTAATGCTATTATCAAAAATGAAACCTAAGTAATGCCAGAGATTGAGCTGCTACTCAGTAATGCTAGAGACTGAGCTACTTTCGACTCCAAATTGTGATAAAGAAGTCCTAACAATCCGTGGAGCCAGCCAAACCACAAATAATTCAAGGAGAAGAAAGAGCTATTGAGAAACAGCAAATTATTGAGAAAGATGAAAATTTAGAGCAGTCTGGTGAGTATGGAAGAAATCGAGCCATATGTTAGAAGAAAAAGGGTCAATCCTGTGAAATCAAATAAACTGATTGGTCTCAATGAAGAGGTAAATTTTATAATTTTTTTAAAATTTTTCAATTTTTTTTGCCTTTTGGCAAGCCAGTTTGCATTATAAATATTCGTTTCACACTAGCTATTAATTATCAAAATTGGAGTCATCAAGCATTCCTAGAGCTGATGTTTGCGGTTTCAGTCACAAGAGTCACAATCTACGTCAAAAATTTCTTGCGATCCCTTCAATTTTCTCTTGTCAAATCCTATATCTGAATTTGAATTTGTATTTTGGTTAGATTTCATTGGAGGAAAATTTCTTATGGCCTACGCAATGGTCACAGTGCTCATAAAAATTAAGCATATGGGCGAATAGGTGAAAATTTGCTGGCGTCATAATAAATCGCGAAAATATTTTCCAATGAACAAATTCTTTATAGCAAAAAGGCGATGGCAAAAGAATTAATTAAAATTGTAGTTTTATCGTAAGAACGTTGATCAACAAACTTTAAAATATTCAAGTTAAACTTAAATTAATCGTCAATTGCCATATCTGATTTACCCATTTCCCTTTAATGATATTAGAATGTAGGGTTATCGACGATTAATGAATACGGTAATATGTGACTCCAAAGATGAAAATTAAGGCATTTTCACACTTTTTGTTTTTCACCACTATCCTTCCGAAAAAACGACGATTACTTTAATTTCATCAGATATTTTAAATTAATTACTATACTATACTATTACTATTAAACCTTCTGAACACGGCAAATTTTAGGAGCAGACAGTTTTAAGGATGAATATTAACTCGAGGGAGCGAAAGCGAATGCACGATTTAAACGATGCGTTGGATGAATTACGGCAGTGTCTTCCATATTCGCAGAACGCAAGCACAAGAAAAATGTCGAAAATTAATACTTTACTTCTCGCTAGTAGTTGGTAAAATATTTCTCAACCCTAATCGAAATAGTTGAAATTTTTTACTTCTACATAATTCTACTTCTATTCCCAGTCGGCTCTTTGGTGAGTGGACTGACCCTAGTAGCGAACAGAGCCGGCCAAGCGCTGTGCTATTATAACAGGAAATTTTTCCCAATATGAGAATTTTTAATGATGACATTCACTTAATCGCCATAAGTAGATTTTTAATAAAAGTAGGATAATGCTGCACGTTTACTAAACCATTACTTTATCTATCATTACGTAAATATGTAAATATGTTTGTTCTATCATTGTCGTGTAGCGGATTAACGTTAGTCCTTTTTATTAGTTTAATATTAGTAGTTGTAAGTATTAAAAGATAGATTACACAAATGTCAGACAACTCTTCTAGAGATTAGCCATAACTTTTAAAATGGCCAGATTAGGCTATTTAAAATGAAACTAATAACTTGTGATTGGTAATAAATCAGAACAATATTGCATTTCATTTTATTTATTTATTTAAAAAGAAATAATTAGGGCGACAAGCGCCATTTGCTTCCATTTAAATAATAATAATAATAATAATAATAATAATAATATAATAATAATAATAATAATAATAATAATAATAATAATAATAATGACAATACGAAATGGCAACAAAATGAACTTTATACTGATGTATAAGAAAAAATATATTTTTTATTATTTAGATTGTTTCCTTTTCTTTTTTAAGTTTTCCTCTTGAAAACCGAAAAAAATTTGTAAAAAAACAATGACTATCAAACAATGACTTACAAGTTTCAGGATAAAACAGTTGACAAATACGAATAATGAGTTACGCCGACAGCTTGAAGAGATTCGTGGTAATGAACAAAAAGCGCAGAACTGGGAAACACCGAGTTCTCACAATCCATTTGCTGTACAACTAAGAACACCGATTGCCACTCCAACTCCATTTAATTCAATTGATCTACTTAGGCCAACCTCACTTCCAATAAGGTTTCTTTCAGATCCGCAAAAAGCCTTTTTTAGATTTGCTCCTGCAAATCCTTGTGTTAAAGCAATTAATGGTATATGCTTTTGTGTAAATTGTATTATAGCTAATTCTACTCAAATGAACAATGATTGTAAAATTAAGAAAAATAAGTTGAATTAGTTTATACTTATATTAATAATTTATTGATATTATTTATATTTAAATACGAAGGGAATAATTTCACTCCTGAAAAAAATTTAAATATAGCTTAAATATAAAATTGCGACACCGAATCATAGATATCTCAGCGTATTTTAAGTCTTCTATGCCGGCTTTTCTGGAATTTCAGATATCGAAGCTATCCAACTTAGAGTCCGTTTTATTCATTTTTTTTTGTCCTTTTTCCTCTTGATTCTTTCTCCATCCTTTTGTGAAAATTATTCGATATTAATTCTTAGAAGTATTTAGAAATGTATTCTCCTAAATTCCCTATTTTTACTGTAAATTATTGATCTGGTTGAATCGAATTGTTGCTTTTTAGAATGACTTATCGAAAGGTAATCAGATTTATTGATAACCAGCCAAGCAGGGCGACAACGCCATGTGCTTGTATTAATAATAACAATTAAGATAACAGAAAAAGAAAACACAAAAAAAATAACACAAACAAAATTAATTATAAAACAATATGACAAAAATTAACAATTTAAAGAGGAAATTACAGATCAATATAATATAGTACAATTCGAAGTAACATATATAAGATGAAGATAAAATCAAGATTTTTCATTTCCTGCAGTTCTTGCCTGGTGTAAATTCTTCTCTTTTTTTTTTAAATAATATCGTAAATGATATTATCTAGTCTTTTTTTAAAGACAGCTAAGGATGACGCACAAGCTACATCGTTCGGTAATCCAGAGTCTCTACCTTGCCACAATTGCTACGGCAATTCTTGTTGAAGCATTGAAACCAGTACAAAAATTATTCTTATTCTTCTTGTACTGACCATTTCCTAGCATTTTATGAGTTTTCTTATTTTAGACTAAGGTAGGCCACTATTACTTATTTTTATTTAAAAGTTATTAAAATTGCGCCAAAATTTCCATTTTAATGATCTTAACTCAACTTCTAATACCACTTCTTTTGCGAGAATGTAGAGATGGAGATCCAAACAAACGAGTCACTGTTGTTAACAGACAATATTGTTAGTTTCTTCCAAGTGCCATGTGGGATTACATATTAAATGAGATCATTTTTTGTCAAGTTTTATTCTTTTTTAATTTTTCATAGCCTCCGTTGCATTTACTGTTCCGGTGCAGTCATTATTATGTTAATTAAAATATATTAAATGAATTTAAACAGTCCAACTTACTCGCACCATATTTTTTGTACAGATCTTTAAGTTTACGATTCTGTTGAGCGGAATAGTTGAGTGGAAAATGGCTTAAATTATTGTGTTGAGGTATAAGAGCCCGGTTCATGCTTTTGGTTTATTAAGAAATTTAGGAGTTGTACTGGCGGCTTCTCTGAGTTTCTATCGTCAAGTCTCCCAGCAAACACAAGTAGAGCTAACGCAATCCGAAATTGTAATCACTAACCATTTACTTATTTCGTATCTTTAATTCCTATAATTTATATTCCTATAACTCGTTTCGTTTTATCTTTAATTTAATCGAGGTGGTAAAATTATCATGGCACATATATTCAATATTTTTAATTCAATGCCACTATAGTATTTTAAATTTCAAAGTTTTAAAACTATTTCAAATTTGTTTTGTGATATTTGCAAAAATGTACAGAGCAAAGTTTAAAAGAGATAATATTATTTTTCGACATAAATAATCATTTTAATTATTTTATTAAATTTATTTTATCTGTTTTATCAATAATTATTTTATCTTATCTTTCTTTTGTTGTTTCTTTAGCAATTATCAGTTCCGGCTTGATTGCCATAGTTTGCCGAATACTGTGGTTATTTGGGAGTAGAAATACAGGCCAATGCCGCTTAAAATTTTTTTTTCACTGGAAAGACCAAAACACATGATAACTGATAACTGAGATTAATTGAAGATTTAGATCATCATGTTCCATTTAATTTTACAGTTATTTTGTTCAAATTAGCTCTCGCAGAAATCCTCAAAATTAAGCCATCACCATTTTTTTAAAACGACAAATAGATAAAGATAATCGTTAAAATCCGCAAATTGTTAGCACATATGCAGATATTTGAGTGCTAACGGACATTTGATAATATAATTGAACGTTATCGGCAAGGTCAAGTTGTGTCAATTGAGATACATAAAAGATACCGATCAAACAATACATTCACAGCGGTCATCGACACATTTAATTCAATAATATTTATGTATTCAACTAACAATTTTTTTTAAGAAAAATTTTTATTACGGTCTTGTTCAATGGCAATTTTATCTTGTTGAAGTTCCTGGAAAAGGAGGGGATGTGTATTGTTTTTTTGTTGAAATCTCAGTAACGATTTGTTAACAATTCGCCTAGTTGCCACAGTTCTTTGAATTTTTGCTTTGCTTTTAACGATAAGGATTGGCACAATGAGGAATTTTTGCCAAAGTGCCATTTGGTGGCAGAAAACCAAATCTTTTAATGAATCATTCCAAGCGGACCGTATCCTACCGTTCGGAACGATAATCTAGCCACACCACTGGACTATCATGGACTTGCCTTTCATCTCACTGAAATCGATTTTTATCCAGGTCTATTGAATATCGTTGAATGCCTAAAGAACATTTCTTTTGCACATGTTCACTGAAGAAAAATTCGAATAGTTTTCCATTTTATATTTATATTACATTAAGTTTTTCCTATTTTGGATGGTGATGTGACGATGTTCCAGAAAAAATTATTCGTCTCATAAAGGCATAGTAAGGCATTGATCAATGTACAGGTCTATATATATATATATATATATATATATGAGGAATTAATAAGACCCCGAAATAAGAACTGGTGTCTATCAAGACTGGGTGCTTTCCCCTACAATATTGAACTATGTGATAGGCTGGATAATCGACATCGCTTGTCGGCACCCAAGTGTCCAGATCAGTCCAGAGCATCGTATCATAGATCTTGAACACGCTGATAATATAGTCTTTTTTGCTAACAATTATGCAAATAATGCTAAACAATGTGTCGACAACTGCAACGTGAATTGGACTCAGGATCAATGTAAATAAAATAAAAGTTTTTTCGACTTGTCAAGTCAAAAAGTTGTTAAAATTTATTTTATCAATTCTTCGCCATCTGAGAAAGAGCCAAGTATCAAATGTATCAAGTATCAAATATCTCTGATCCACTCTAATCTCAAATAACCAAGCGAAAGACAAAATTACAGCATGGATAATGGCAGCTAAATATTTTTTTCCGGTTTCTTCCGGTTACTTTCTTCCGATTGATGAAATTATTATGGTCTCATCGCGAAATCATTATAAAAACGAAAGCTCGTGTCTATGTAGTCTATGTGTCTATGTAGTTCCCTCGATCTTGCTATATGGCTGCGAGACCTGGCTACTGAGAATGAAGGATATTAAGAAGCTATCTGCTTTTGGCCACTTATGGCTGAATCTTAGGCGTCCGCCGAGCGGATAAAATCGCACATGATTGCATTCACTCTCGCATAAATACCACTTACAATTCCATCACAAAACATTTCTTCATTGGTTAAGGCATTCTTTCTTGCCCATTGTTCTTTACTAAATTCTGTCGTCAAAAGCAAAGGTGGGCCAATCAAGACTTGGACTGGCACAGTCAGGAAAGATTTTGAACGCATAGAAAGACCATCGAAAAAGATATAAAAAGATATAGCTTAGAAAAAGATATAGCTTTTATTACTGTCGACGATGGTGTCAGATTAAATTAATTGGAGGCATCATATCTTTATAGCCAGGGAGCCAGCCTAACCAGTAATAGAGAGAGCTGTTAGAAGATGTTTTCTTATGTCATATATCATCATATCATATATAAATATGACATTTTATAAATTTCTTTATGTCTAAATTCACCTTTCAGATTTTTTGTTCATTTTTTAGTTAATCATATTATTAGTGGTTAGACTGGCTGAACTGATTGTAATAGCACTTCCAAAGCACTCAATCTGCTTCAAATTCATTAAATAATTTAAATTTTTAAATCAGAAAGAGAAGTTTGACATTTTTATTATTTTTTAAATGCCTAAGGGATAAACGATCCGTAATATATAACTTATTGGTATTTAAATTTAAGGAGAATTTAAAGAGAGAATCGCATGGAAATTCTATCCAAGTGATTAATAATTAATATATTTTCCTGAAAATCCGATTCGCCTATTGTAATCAATAAGCTCGAGAAACTCTACAGTGAACGAAAGTATAGATTTAATGATTCTAATGGGGAACAATGCTATGAAAATCAGAATTTTCATACCACTTTGTGCAAAATATTCAGTAAACTGGAAACTCCTTTAATAACAATTTTCTTCCATCATTTCCGTAAATGTTCTCAGCATTTTTTTTGAAAAATAGCATGCAAGTCTTGCAATCTGTAACAACTGGTTCATCTTCAGATCACAACTATCTTAGGTTGTCCGAATTAATTAACTGAGTAAAGCGGAGGAAAGCTATATTTATTTTTAAAAAGCTATATTTATTTTATTTTGTCAATATTACAATTATTTATCCATGTTGGATAATAAAAAAATTTAAGTATACCTATTAGTTAATATTATTATAATATTAACGGAATGTCTATTGACTGTAATGAGCATATAATATAATAAAAGTAAATGCCCTTGAAATGATATATATCTAAGGATTACTCAAAGTTAATGACAATAGTTATGGCAAGCACCTTGAAAACTTCATTTGCATTAAATTCAATATATCTTCGACCACAGACCCCTTATTTGTCATTAAAATTTATCGACGATCATTCATTTGAACTGATTTATAGAAACATTTATTCATTTTCCTATAGTTTAACGATTCCAATCTTTACTCGCATCAATCAACTATTCAGAAATTATTTCAGTTCAGAGCTATAATCGTCATTATAGACAAATGTTACTTTCTTTTCTAATAAATACTGCAAAAATAGATTACTAGAATAAGCATCGTGTTAGTCATTCCACAGAACTCAACACCACAGGAATTATTTGAACAGTAAAAAGTAAAATAAAAAATGAATCATAAATTACAAAATGAATACAATTGAATGAAATAACTGGTTAGTGTTGGCTGGTTAACCTTGTTAGTACGGCGAGGAATTTCAAGATTCCACTCCAGGATTTTTTCGATTGACAGATTTATTTTTGCTGGAAGCGGAAAATGAATGAAGACAATTATTATAAAATAAATGGAAAAAATAAATTAAAATGGATTAATTATAAAAATTAAAATTAGAATTATAAAGTATATAAAATTTCATATATAAAATTGCATATATAAAATTTCGTGGTAAAAAATCTCTTCAATATAGTTAAACCCATAACAATGTTGACTGTTTAAAATGCCCTTAGCACATGTCGTTGTGCCAAAACAATAGAAACACCGGAATTCATTAATGAACCACTGATATTTATGAAAATAATTGCCTCATAATCTTATAATAGTAAAATGAAGCTTATTATTCTGATATTTGATATTTAGTGGCAAATCAAGAGATTAGATCGGATAAATTCATAGCCAGAATAAGAGATTGCATTCTTTTCTTCATCTCCTATCAGTTCCAATTTTGCTAGCTCGGCTCACTGTTTGAGGCTCTTTCGATAGGAAGTGACTTGGATATAAATGTATAGGCTTATCTCCCGGACGATATGGCCGTACCATCTCTGAAGATAATTCTGCGTTTTTCTAAGAAATTAGCTTTATTTGTTTATTCATTTTTAAACGATTAAATCAAGTAACGAAAGTATTTCGATTGTGCTGGATATAGAGATTTTAAAGATATTTCCACACAATAAATTTCTGTAAATTGCGGATTAGCGACCGTCTGGTATCTTAATTGGTCATCGATTAGTCATCATTTATCCACTTTTATTGAGGCTTTTTGCAGCGACATAAGGTGCTACACTAATACGACATATAGCTTTCTTCATTTATACGGTAATGAGATGCGCAGGTGGTGATGGTCAAGTCGTTGCACTGCGGGAGGTTAACTTAAAAATTATATATACTGATTAGTTGGTAATATAGGAGAGGGGAAGGGAGCAGATGAGTCAAGAGCTTACAACATACACACTTCTCACGATTGTCCTTTGAATTCATTTAACTCATTGGATTACGTCAACGAGTCCAAAAATACTACTACAATACAATTGTTTAGCGACGCAATCGCTATTTCAGAGCTACAAATCGCGCTTATGTGCTAAAGATTAGTTCAGTTAATCATTAGGTGTGAATTTTCTATTTTTGCTTGATCGAATAAGGAAAATGTGGGGATAAAATGCTCGAATAATATGTTGCTTACCGTTAAAGCGAGAAATATGGCTCCGATTTACCATCGCTTGATATAAGCTTTATCAGAAGACCAGCCCAGATGGTGTCTGAGACCCTTTCCATACTTCCACCGTCAAATAATTCCACATAATCAAATAGTAAAACGATTTCATCCTGATAACCAACAGGGGCGAAACTGCCGCGTGTATAATAGTTTGAATTATCGGGTTAAATTAAGGAAAAAATTTGAATTAAGGAAAGAGTTCAGTTGCTTTCTCCAATAGAAGTATTTTTGCTATCAACGAATCAGGGTGGCTGAGCCCCTATCTATAGATAAATGAATTCCTAGCAAAAATTTTCTACTGTATTGACTAGAAAAAAACAGCAGAATTAGCCAGATAAGCGCTAACTACTTATTCATTTTTACTAGCAATCAGCCACAGGATGCTAAAAGATTAAATATCGAGAAAAAACTTACCAAAAAAAATTATAAAACACATGGAATGCAAATTGGAATTATTAATTGGAATTATTAATATTAATGCTAAATATTTTTATAATATTAATTATAAATTGGGGTTGGAACGGCTCAGTGGGTTGTTGCTCAATTGCGAGAGCCGATTCTGAGGCTCGATTCCTCGCAAGGATAAACCTGTGCAAAAATCCGGTCGATGCTGGTGACTCACCTGTATTTCTATCGCTAAGGGACTCTCTGGCATATAGCCCAATGCGGCAAGCCAGTGGAGCGAGTTTAACCAGTTATAGTGAGGACTCTTTAAAAAGAAAAAAAATTATAAATTACTTATCAATTTTAATAATTTTTTAATAAGTATTTATATTCAAATAAAAATTGTTTCCGTAGTTTTTTAAAATATATACCAACCGTTAATGCAAATTAGGCCTTACTTCATATTTCTTTGCATTTCAAACGGTTTTTATATTTTTTGGATGTGTAGTGGTGTTCTATCAGTATTTAATATACAGTTTATTGCAATCTCTAGAAATTTCCGAGTTTTTTTGGTTCTTTTTTACCTTTTGCATTTTCACCTTTCGTAGCCAATTGAAAATAGGAATTTAAACTACCACATTTGCAAGCCAACTTAATGTGGTCCATCTTAGGATTAGGATTGCCCATATGCAATCATCCAGTAAGGGTTTTTTATTTCATGAGCGAAAATTTTGCGAAAAAGAAAGATAAAAATTGCTAAAATATATTTACAATAAGACCATAATAAATATTAATGAACAAAATTTTTAGGTTTTCATTTTAAGGATATCCAATGCTCTTCGTGATAAATCCAAACGAAGCATTCATTCACGAATTGCTTTAGTCATTCATTGTTTAATGCATTTTTCTAATAAAATTATCTTCAAATTATTTTTACTGGTTTTTTTCATTAATTTTAAATTTATTATTATGAATTAAAAAATTTTATAATCATCTAAGCCTATTTATTGCTCAGAAATTTGGCCACTTAAAATATTTTTAATTAGCTGAAACAGCTTTATCTATTTCATTCAGTCCTCTTATCGTATGACATATTAATTCTGTTCTAATGTGACAGCAAGAAAAAATTTCTCATTTAAAATATAAAATTATTCATCGCAAATGCATTCATACACAGTAATTCATATAAAGAACAGATTCTTTATGAGATCAATAGCTAATATAACATTAAAACCCCGAAAAGCGAGCGATTGGTACTCCTTGGCGTTTATCGATATAGGTTATATTGCAAAATAACTTAAGCAGTTTCAGAATATTTTATTTCAAAATATCTTATTTAACATACATATAATACGCTTATCACCATGTCAATTTGATAAGAATATGAAATGAACGAAAAGAGTGGCGAAAGAGGACAGGTTGGTCGTCTAATAATAATAATATAAATAGTCAGGAAAATCATTGTTGCCTCGCTTGCCAAACTGCAATGGTCGAAAACTTTTTTTGCCGAACTGTAATGGACGATAGCCATCTCGTTTACCGAACTGAAATTGAAATTGTTTAAGATGATCAGAAGCAGGAAATTTATGAATTTTCCGACATGTGAATTAACTTGTGAAAATGTGTCAGCAGATAACCTTTGGTTGCAACACTGTTGAAAATCAAGGAAACACAAAAAAGAGTAACAACTCATATGCAAACAGACAAACTGATTTGGCCTGGGCGAGCAATTTTTAGTGGAAAGCTATAGGCCGAGCTTTTTAGTTTTTTAAATTCTATTTCTACTTAATTTAAGCCTTAAAAAACAGAGAGATTAAGGCTAAATAAAGTATTTCTTCTTCTTAAATCATTTCTATAACTTAATGATATGATTTTATGATTTTATCTCGAAAATTTGCCGGAAACCAGAAATCTATAAAATGGAATCTATATCTTTTGCGTAGCTTGCGAGTTAACCGCTGCTTCAAATGGTGCATAAAGGGTTTCAACTTTTACTCCTTGCCATAAATAAACCATCCGTGTGCCACTGGGGACCCCAACTGCATTTCAAGTGATTCAAGTGATTTTATATGAATAATACTGAAAAAATAATTCCATGTTTGCAAATTTTTTTTTTAATTTGATAATTTTTGTGAAAAAATTATAAAATGAAAATAAGGGAGCTATTGAAAAACTTGAGGACAAAAATTGCTTGATCGTGTCAGAAATCAAAAGCGATAAAATTGTCGCTCTTGCAAGCCATAATGCAGAACGTACACAGAAGAGTACAGAATTTTTTTAAAATATTAATTTTTGTAGATTCACATCTAGAAAGCAGTTTAATGAAAAAATTTGAAATTCTCCAATTTTATGGTTATTCGAATTATATTTGTTGTGAACTTTATGTTTTTAATATTCTTCTGAAAACTCAAACTGGAAACTATTTTATAAAATCTTCAATCATGGAATAAAAAATCTGCACATGCATACATAAATTTTAAATAGATTAGATTCCTTTTCATTCATAAATGTCGTATGAAGAGCATTGAATTAAGTAGTTAAAACCATAGGCCTAGTCAGATTTTATTCAATGAGCTAAAAAGTGTGGAGGTACCAAGAAAACCAGTACGAAATCTAGATCTGTCATTCATTTTTCTAAAATTTAAATCTCAGGCTAAAAGGAAAGAATAAATGAAATACTTATAAAGCTTATTAAAAAATGTGGATTTTTAATTTCTTTTAAAATTTTCTTGCAAACCTAAAAGATGGGTAAAGATCCAACTAGATTTATTTACCCAGTGGTTAGACTGTGAAACTTAGCAAACACTCCAATTAAAAAATATTAGACAGATTAACTAATTTGTCTTAATATTTGATGAAATTCTGGAAGAAAATATTCAGAGAATATCCAGAGTATTTAATTAAGAATAATTTCGTTCCAGAATTAATTTGCAATAGTTGTCGTGAATTAAATCTGAAAAAAAAAATAACCTGAAGTGGCCGATAATCTCTGTCCTGCCTGTCAAACCCTGTTGGAGCTGGTTCAGATTTAACAGTAGATGCGATGCACAATAAAAGTAAGATTTGAAACCAAACAAGCAACATCCTGTCTCCTTCTTTGATTAAACCTCCTTCTAATTCAGTTATCGGAGATTTAAGCCGATTTTGCTGTTTAAGTTGACTAGGACGACCCTTTTGGGAATTATGTTCATTACAATCACCAGGCCCCATTCCTATATAATTAATTTACTAATCTGCTCTGTCCCACGCAATGATGAATTCAATATGCATGTATTCCAAAAAAATTAATCGTGCAAGGAATTTTCCATGACATTTTGCATTTTTTTAAAGGAAAACTTTTCATTACAAAAAACATCTGGCATTGCAAAATGTCCATTTAGAACAGCTTCATCCCTTAGCGAATAACTAATATTTATTCTTATAAGGAGGCAATAATCCTATTATTATCCAAAAATAAGCCCACATTTTCCATTGAAGATCCGAGACTATTAGTTATTTCAGACTAAAAAGATCCGAGAAAGTGAGGGTAATTCTTAAATAGTGACTTGCATTTAGTGATTTGTAAACATTAGGCTTTGACTGTATTTAGTAAATATAGATCTAAGATTTAAGTATTAACTAAGGAATGCTTTACCATAATGAATTAATATGTGACAGTTAAATAATTTCGAGGAGAAGCTAGACTTGCTAAGATAAAATATAGAAGTAGTGAATCTATATGCGATTATGTTGGATAATATTGAAAATATTTGTGCTAAAATTGTTTAAATTAATTCATTATTTGCATTTAAACGAAATTTAAGTTTTTATTTTGATAAGAATGAACGAAAAATTTCAAATTGACTTGGCCAAACATCTGCGCCATTACTCAATTTGTTCATCTATTGGATTTATCTCGCAAAACCTTCATTTTTATTACTTTTAATGACAAATTAAAATTGCTCTTAAATTCATTTTTTTTATTCAAATGAATTGAATATAAAATTTTTAAAAATTTGCCATAAATTAAGCTATAAAAAATTGGCGAAGTTGGCTGAATTACAGTCTTCTCGATATGATTTTCCCATACCAGAATAGTAGAATCGAGTAATACTTAGACTATCATTTACCGTTTAGATCACTGTTGAAAGTTGACCTTGGCTCAGGAAGCAAGCAAGCAAGCTTGTATCCATATTCAAAATATTAATTACCGTAACCATTCAAGGAACAATTATCGAAAATCTCGGAGCTGTGAGGGTCCATTAATATTTTCCAAATGATTCATTGACAAAATTCGCATCTTACAAATGACCAATGGAGCTGATTTTGCGAGAAATAGTGAGTGCTGACTAATTATTTTAAAATATGGAAAAAATTTCTTCTTTTTAACATTTTAATCATTCGAATAATTATCTATATAATTAAACGATTACAAATAAATACCAACAAAGTATAGCAAACAATTTCCAAGCACTGATCAATGAATAACTCTGAAGAATAAACAAGGAATATTTTCCGAGCAAATATTTTATACTGTTGATTATTTTGAGTATAGATAAAAGCTTGCTTCCTGAGCCACGGTAATTGTTTATATGGCATGAATGACGTAAAATTTCCTGATTCAGTTCATCTTACATGGTACTTCGAAAATTTAGATGGAAGGAAACGATCCAACTAAAAATTAATATTTTGTTCTTGGATTCGCAAGATTCCAGGAGCTTAGATATTTTCATCAAAAAAGAAAATGCAAAAAATACGAATTTCTTAGAAAATGGTTAATTTTTAGAAGTTAAAATACCATGTTTCTTGGAAGATTAGAAAAAAGGCACGAACGCTAGGAACGCAAAAATCGTATTAATAATAATAAAGCCAAGGGAAATAAAATGACTTCTTAAATCAACTTACATAATTTATCTATTTACCAAATGTGAAGGCTGTTTAAGAAATATTTATTTATCAAGTCGGAAAACTTCTGGCTTTTTGTTTTCGATGCGAAAAAAGGCTGTGCCAACTTATTAACAATATTATTGTATATATTAATACAAAGAATAATCAAAATAAAAACATGGGATGAGAATGATTGCTGAAAATAATGACAACTGAGCGATGATCAAAATTGTGATCTTGAAATACGTGAACAAACTGCGACGACGAACATTCCACAAGTGTGTAGCAACGAGTATCGAGAGTGATAACGCGGCGCAAAATGCATGTTTTATCTAGAAAAGAGATTTATTTCTGATGAATTTATCTTTCAAAATCAGTTAAACTGAAAGAATAAAATGCTAAAAATCTGATGAATGCTGAACAATTTCATCCACGAATAACATTTCAAAATCCTTCAATTAATATGTTTTCCGAGAAATGAAACTTTAATCCAATATATAATAAAACGAGAAATACTCATCTCATTCCAATATAGTAAATACACCACACTAATCCATTCTCCCCAGCCAAATGTTTTCGATAAATTCACCGCAAATAAGCCTGTATTACTATATAATACACCCTAAATTATCACAGGTTGCCACCACTTTGCATTGCATTACGATGCGTATAAATTTATTTTTTCTTAACTGAAACAAGCATCTAAGAAAATATGGATCACTGTTCGCCATTAAGTCTTAGGTCACGTCGTTCACCTCAAAAATTGACGCATATCTCAGTAGAACTTTGCGAAACTTCTCAAGAGAGATTTTAAAACCTAGCAACCTAGCGATATAAAGGCTTAGACGTTGCAAAAAAGACATAATTTAGGCATGGAATAATCGGATCGGAAGGCCTAGGAATGTTTTATTGGTTAATAGAACCAGCCAAGTCAGAAATAATTAAATAAAACAAAACAATTAAAATTAGGAAATTTCGCAAGTTTTTTTTCTTTTACTTTTTCTTTCTCCAAACTATGATAAAAGAAAAAAAAAAAAACTTCGTTATACTGCAATTTGATCGTCGATTTTGACAAATAATTCATCGTCCAAATTATAAAAATTACAAAAATCCAACCAAATACGGTTATGAACGAAGTTAAAAACCGAAAAACTACATTCCTTGGATATTTTATCCAACATAAAATTGTAGTCATTAGATATATCAAAAGATGAATGGACCAAAGCGCATCATTCTGAAATATTATATTTAATAATTGCAATAGATGCAGATCGAAAATTAGGTCTCTATTTTCGGATTTATCGTTGTATGGTGCACTGGTGCAAGGTCCATCTTCAGCGGAAGCTAGCCCAGTTTAAATCTTTCATCATTTAGAGCATCTATATTAGCTTATATGCGAGTGCAAAGCAAAGTTTAGCAATACCCACTCTCTCCTATAACTCGCTCCAACTCGCGAATTCCGGATTTATGGTTGTTATTTACGATTGCATAATGTTGCGACACTCTACTGCTGATATGAAATAAACAAAATCCATGAAATTTAATAAAAAACACCTCGAAAAATTCAAAAATATTAAGAACAATAATAGGGAAAACTTACATTGTTCATTGGTAATATGGCAATAACTAAGGCAACACTGATAAGAAATCGAATAGTTCTAATAGACATTGATTGATGAAATTTTTTAAGGAACAAGAAAGCATTTATCGATGGCAAAACGAACGACCCGATTTATTTTCTTTACCAGTTGAATAACCCTCACTGAAACCTCTTTATTCAGTTAGAAGGATCAACCTTCATTCTTCCCTTTCTTTTATTTACAAATGTTTAATCTTTGATGACTTTTACTCTTTTATTTCTCCTGGAGGCAATATTCGGAACCCGACTTGGAGCCAAGAAGTTAATTTAAACAAAAACCACTCGGTTATCCTATTCCCTTAAATTATAGGATACCTGAATGGTTAGGAAATCGTTTAATGCAATATAAATATTCAATAAAATAGAAATTTTTATCATATTTTAAATGAAATAAAACAATTAATAATAAATACAATTATTTAAAACAAAATATTTTAAAAAACCACGGAAAAACCTATTAAAATGAAATCATAAAATGAAATATGGAAAATCGGAACAATATTTCTCATAAACCTCTTCAATCATGATAAATAGGATGATAGATATAAATCTCTACATAATAAATCTAAACTTCCATTCTTCCTTAATAATACTAAAATTTTTTCATTATGAAGTTCAGTATAAAAATTTTGTTAGTTAGTTTGTTCAAATAAAAAATTAAGCGAATTTCACTATTTTTTTCGTTTTAAAACCATAATTATTAATCTAAAACATGAAAAAATATTAGCTAAAGAAATTTTCTGATATTTTCTGATATTTTTTCTGTTTAAAATTTTGATAAGTCAGAAGCAATGAATAAATGAATCAAACAAATGATTAAAATCGCAACGAAAATGAGCAGTACATTTTAAATTCACATTATATTTTACATAAAATCATTACTAAAAATTATAAGTGAGAATTACTGCACATATATTATGAAAATCCCTCATCACCATACTGACTTTGATGTGGTTTGCGTACTGTATCAACAGTCGGTGTACCAGGCATATACGCAGGCTGGTCATCCAAAAAACTACTGATGACTTTTTTATCTTTTTCTGACCATGTTGAAGCAAGCTCTTGCATAGCTGTTCGCTTAGCTGCATGACGTTCACCTATTTGTTGAGGAGATTCGAGAATATTTTCAGTTTTTGTGCCATAATCTGGTTCTTGAACCCATTTTTCACGAAGAATTGTTGCTGGCATCTGTCGTAACGTTTCACTTGGTTCAGCTTGTCGTACACTAAGCAATTCATAATCCATTTGACCAAGCTGGTCTGTTTTTTTGTTGCGCATACCAATGATACTCGATTTTCCCACATACTAAAAAAATTTTTTTAATAGCTTAAAGAATATTGGCCTTTATAAAACTCAAAATAGCATAACAATCGATGAAAATAAGCAAATAAAATAAAAATGCACAAAAGAACCTTTTCAAAAATACTTTGCACAGTAGGATTGACGCGATCGTAACATAAACGCATCGAACTTCCCAAAGAATATAGGGCTGCACCAGTAATGATCATGCCCAGACCAACAGGTGAAACAACCAACTTATTCGGAAATATTTTACGAGCAGCAAATGTACATCCGCCAGCAATCGCCACTGCTGGTACCACTGAAAAAATGAGACAAATGAAACAGTAGAAATGTTTCAAAAGTTGGAATGTGGGGGGAGGGGATGGCAAATTTCATCCAAATCCAAATCGAAGTGCTTGTTATTGAATAATTTTGAACAGATTCATCGCCCTATTTGCACTGGAAAATAAATATCACTTCATGCTTAAAAACACCAATCAACTAAAAGTTTAATGTTTAAACATATTTAAATGGTTTTTTCATAAAATTATTTCATTTATCATTAATTCATTTTCTATTCGTCTTTTTATTTTATTATTATTCGTTTAATTTGAATTCTAAATGACAAAAAAACCTTAGAAATAGAAAAAATAACCCTTTTTGAAAAACATTTCCCTTAAACAATTTCCCTGTTGTTCAGCAATCATTCGCCTTTCTTCTTCAGTTAGCATTTTCGCAATTTCGTTTAATTCATTCATCGATAAATTTTTTAACGAAAAACTCTCCTTCATTGGTTCCATTATCACCTGAAGTAATACATTACATAATTCCGATTATGCGTATAGCAGAATAAGAGGAACAATGGAGCTTCCAAGGTAAAGGCTGATGAAGCGATGGACGAACAGACCATTTATTCCAAACTGCTGGCAGGGAAATGGCACAGCAAGAAAACACCTCATCCTAAGCCTGAGACGAACGATCAACCCTCCATCCCTCAAGTTATTTTCTAAAAAAACTACTCAAATACCATCCGACTTTTCAAGGCCGATTTTTCAAGAAACTCAGATCATCTCTAGAGACTCCGTTTCCAAAAGAGGTTGTTAATTTTTTAATTTTATTGTGTGTCTGGAGGTTCAGCTCAGTCAACTTACTCGGGTTGAGTCAGTCATCTAATAAATTATTTAATTGAAATTTTGGAAATTTGCGGAAAAATGGTGAATTCAGGGTGAAGTGGCGCCTCGCGTTGCGCGAAAATGTGGAACTTAAGCCATCGAATTCTCATAAAGCTACATTAGCATAAATAAATTTAAGTGCGATGTATTTAGGCCATTTTTGCAATTAGTGGGTTTTTATTATTTTAAAAGTGCAAATTTCCTATTTCTTTGATTTTATGCTTTTTTGCTGTTTATTTTTCGTTTATAGTTTATTTTCTTTGAAACTTAGTTAACAACAAATAAATAATAATAATTAACGATTTTTTTCGGGAGATGTTTTTATTGCTTATTGCTTTTTTGCTTTGCTTTTTATTTATTTCCACTTTTTTAATTTCTTTATTCATTTGAGGCGATTTAGGGATTTTATATTCCCATTTCCCGCTTTCCTTTTCCCTTTTCTCGTACATTCTTTTGAAAAATTCGTCATTTGTTTCCTTTCCGATGACCGTGTTGTTTCGCCGTTAAGAATTTTGTTGTGTGTCCGTCACAAAACGTGGTGAGGGACGTGAAGACGTGTCGTTTTTCTTTTTCTCTTTCCATTTTGCCGTAATTTCATCCATACCGCACGCCTGTTATAATTTTCGTTTTCTCGTTATTTTATGCGTTCAGTAACTGAGAATTGCTATAGGCCAAACTTATGGGAGATGTCAGATTTTTCTCCGCCATTCTTGTCGAGTTTATCCATATGAAGAAGCATTTATATATTAAATTTATAGGGGAAAAAAAGATGTCATGTTGTATAAAATTAATTTATCCGCTATTCAGTCTTAATTATCGGTCATTGTCGAACAAATTGCTCGCTTATTATTCATCATCAACGAATGGACGAATTCCTGATGATAATGATAACGATGAATTAGTTATTTATACAAAAATTAATGAACGACGATTTAATTATGGTCAAAAATGGGTTATAAGAGCAGCAAACCATTGTAAAGACTGCGGAAAAACATTGAGAACTATTGGAACATTTATACGTAAGTTTTTTTTTAATTTTAGGTTGTTTAACAAGATTTATATTGAGTTATGCCCTTCTTATTTAGCTCGTTTAATTTCTTTTTTGAAATTTTAATTTTTTTATTAGATTACTTTTTAGATGCGTAATCATGTGTGGAAAATCTCTTCATAAGGTTTAGGCTTCATAAGGTTAATCTGCAATAATAATAACTTTATAAATAACATTCCTAAACCCCACTTATGGCAAAAGATAATGGTAATGAATAATGAATTAGCAAATGCAAGAAACAGGATTCGAATTATCAATTGATTTATCAGCAATTATTGTTAAAGATCAGCAAGAATCGGTGAGTAAAGAACTTGATGAGACCTTAACAACCGTTTCGGAGAGATGCATCGGTGGCTTATTGGCAAGATCATGACAAGGATTTAAATAGTGATAAGGCGACGCCAATAAGAAGAGAAGTAGGGCAAGAGGCTATTGAATAAGAATCTAAATAGAAAATAATTACAACTATCTTTGATGGCTTGAAATAGGAGAAATATAAATAAAATAAAATATTTTAAGAATGACTTTTTTTTTAGCTCTTAAATTTTCTTTCTGTTTCAGCCACGACTCGTTTCCTTAGTTGCGATAAATGTAATAAATTATATATGATGGATGCAGTCGGTGATAATGCTAATAATAATAAAACTTCAGAAGTACTAAAAGCACAAGAAATACAATCTCGAGGTCCATATCCTCGCCAGGTAGAAATTTATTTTCTTAGGCTTTCTTATATTTATCATTCTACATAATTATTTACAGATCCATGAATATCTTGACAAGTTTGTTGTTGGACAGACTGAAGCAAAGAAAACTCTGTCAGTCGGTGTTTACCAACATTATAGGCGGTTAGAATATAATGCAGAAGTATGTGCTGCTGAGCAAGCGAAGAAGACTATGGAATTAGCTCGTCAAAGCATGATCGCTCCTCGAGGAGTTTTATTTCAAGATGATATCCGTGCTGCAAGTGTTGGCGTTTATGAAACTATTCAGCAATCGAATGCTGGACCGCAAACGTCATATTTTCGCTCTTTTCCAGAAGTCAATAATACAATTCGTTTGGAAAAATCAAATATTCTGTTACTTGGTCCATCTGGTGTTGGCAAAACTTTTATTACGCAAATTTTGGCAAAAATATTGGATGTTCCAATTGCTCTATGTGATTGCACTTCGATGACTCAGGCCGGGTATTTTTCTGATTCATAAAATTCTCTTTATTGTATTTGCAAGAAAGTGTTATTAAAGGTTTTAATGAAAGTATCTCATGAACAATGTCCATTTATCCATTTTTAATATTTATATTTTTTGAAGATAAATTCCAGAATATGTTCAGTCTTGATAAAAGTTTTATTTTGACATATATTTAATGTGTTAGAAATTAAGTTAAATTTACTATAATATTTAATATGTTAATATGTTAGTTTTTTTTAGCATTTTTATATTTTTCTCATCATTTTTTTGGGAAATTTCTTAAATTTTCAGTTACGTCGGAGATGATGTGGAGAGTGTAGTGCAAAAATTGTTGCAATGTGCGAATGGAAATGTGGAACGGGCCCAACAAGGCATCGTTTTTCTGGATGAAATCGACAAGATAGCTGCCACACATAGTATGCATACTCATGCATACAGAGATGTTAGTGGTGAAGGAGTCCAACATGCTCTTCTCAAGCTTGTTGAAGGTTGGTTCCGAAGAAAAGAAAATTTCTCTTAACAAAAATAAGAAGACTAATGATATTTGGAAATGCTTTCGTTTCTTCCTGTAGTTTCTGAAAGTTTTAAGATTTAAAAATCCTTTCATTTTTAAATTGAAGATTTTGTTGATTAAAGATTTGTGAAATTAATTTCAATTTTAAGGAAATATTGTTTCTGTGAAAAGTATACGAAAGCCAATAGGGTCTTCACAAGATACAGTGCAAATTGATACAAAGGACATACTGTTCGTTGCTTCAGGCGCATTCACTGCTCTCGATCGAATCGTTGGAAAAAGATTAGATAAACAATTAATGGGTTTTGGTTAGTGCGTGCATATATATTTCTCGCGTGCATATATTGAAATATAGTAAGAATTATTTTATATGCATATTTCAAATAGATTTTTACGGCTTTTTATTTTGTGCGTCAAAAAGCTTTTTGTGATATTTTTATTTCATCTAAATTTATGATGCTGTGAGTGTTAAAAATTTATTTTTATTGTGTATTTAATTTTAAATTTATTTTTTATTCAATTTGAAAGAAGGCGTTTCAAATATTGAAGGCGTTAAAAGCGGAGATGTAAGGATCACCGAAGATGACAGACTTGAAAGTGCGATCGCTCGAAAAAGAGATGAACTTTTGCGTCAAGCAGATCAAGGAGATCTCATAAATTTTGGCCTTGTTCCTGAGCTTGTTGGACGATTTCCAATTATAGTGCCTTTTCATAGTCTTGATAAGGTTAAAATTATGGTTTTGTCATATTTAATATTTATATGATATTATAATTTTTATAATATTCTTTTAGGATATGCTTGTACGAGTCTTAACGGAACCTTCCAATTCATTGTTAGCGCAGATGAAGTTATTATTTGCTATTGATCGGATACGGTTAACTTTTGCAGATGACGCTTTAGAAGAAATGGCTAATATGGCTCTAGAGCGTAAAACTGGAGCACGCGCATTACGTTCTATATTAGAAAAGGTATGGTTCATGAGTTTGTCGTATTTTCCAAATTTCACTATAAGATTTCATAAGATCACTATAAGATTGCTGTTTTTAGGTTTTGCTTGATGCTAAATATACAGCACCAGGTAGCGACATCGACTCAATTCATATTACAAAGAACTGCGTGAAAGGTATAGAAGAATATGAATTAACGCGGCGAGTTGATTCTACGTCAGTGTCCGTTGCACAGTAAAATTTTTTTTGTTGGTTTATTCAAAAAAGGGCCTTTAATATTTTTTTTTAGGTTTCATCAATTGTATGATTCAATAATGATAGGCTAATCCAGTGAGGAAACATTTTCTGATTTTATTTCTTTAACATTCCACAGTTATAAACGTTATCAGAGAAATTCGAGTTAAAAATGATTTCGGATGAATGGTTTTTAGTAGACTGTAAATTTTATTATAAATCAGACAAGCTTTGGCTTTGGTATTCTAGTTTCTGGTTTGATATTAAATTTAAATTTCTTTATAATTAATTTTTCGATAATTATTTTAAATTTAATTATAATATTCGTGAATAAAGAATGAATTTAATAAATAACAAATTCTAAAATCCAAATGAAGGTTAAAATCGGTTTTTAGAGAAACCAGAATTTAGAACATTGAAAACTGGACAAATTAATGAATTACTTACTGATTATATAAATTACTGATATACGCCATAAAATTTGTACAGATATAAATATATAAATTTATATAAAATTTATGGATAAAAGTATTCCCTATTTCTGTTGTGAGGATCCACTTCAGTTTTTTTCTAGTAAAATCATAGGTTTTTATCCACTTTTTTCCCATTTATATTAATTAAACATATTCTTCACGTGTAATATATCGTTTTTTAGATTCTTTTTTTAGATTAGATTAGATTCACAGTTTGTTTATAGTTTCTAATTTTTAAATATATTACTTTGAAACAAAAATTATTTTTTTATTTTTTATTGTTTTTTCACATCACAATTGAGGAAATTTTCTCCTTATTTTCTTTATCCTTATCGAGATTAAACGATAAATCGCGCACAAAAATTCCACTACTACATCCTTTCTAGGCATATAAAGAGCAAAAAAAATTAAAATCATTATTTTACAATGTCATTAGCGGAAATTACCTATAAAAATACCATTCCAAATTTTATCTCAAAAATTTATTAGCGAATAAAACATAAAATATGTGAAACCATTAAATAAAAGAGGAAAACCAATCATCATTATGAAATCGCGAGACAAATGGCGAGGAGAGCAATAAAGCCGAAAAAAAAATGAGAAAACGAAGAAGGAATGAATAGTAAATTGCTTTTCTTCATATCTTGGCAGTGAAATTATGAGAAAGACGATGTGATTTTAGTTGATAAGTAGAAAGAAATTAGACATAAAACTTGGCAAGAGTACATATGAGGCCGAAGATGTATCAGTATAAAAAAATGACACAAAAACGAAAACAGAACATAAAGCATAAAGATTCAAGAGGCAAATCAGATCCTTAGGAATATTTCGTATACCTCGTAGAGTATATCAATCATGACGAATAATGAAAAAAACCTAAATCAACCTATCTTAAAACAATTTGATCATGCTTTTTTCTTATTTCTTTTCATTTCTAGGATTAAAAAAAAGAATATAATTAAAGTACTTGTAACCCAAGTAATATCAGGACTGAAGCATCTGAAATTAACCCATGTTTTACATTCGAATTTAACAGAATTGGGAGAATTTAATCCTGAAAAAAATATGAAATTATTTACGATCATTGGTTATCAATGTTTTTCCTTACTTTCCTATCAGGCAAAATATTTTAATTTATACTGAACAAAAAAAATAAGGTGAGATGTTAAGGTGCAAAAATAAGGCAAGAATTTTGAATTCTCGAAAAAAAAATGGTTCCAATTTACCGACGTAGTCGACATGGTTATAGAGATTCACTTTAACAACAATAAAAATGCAAAGGCTTTTCAAAAACATAACTACACATATATAGATACATAAAATATATAAAGTTCAGCCTAACGATATAACTTGTAAGGCAAATTGGCAAGGAGAAACATCTAAGCAATTTTAATCGATAATTTTTTAAAATTATGATTTTAAAAGAGACTATTTGCGCCGATTTTTCCTCCCACGTATTTCATTATTATTTAACGCTTTTTGCTTACGACGACCACGCTTTGGACCCCCTAATGCTGATGCAGGATCTGTTGAGGCAGTGTACGGTGGCGGTGGTTCTACAACAATTATGCTAGATGGTGGCGGAGCGGAAGGAGGAGGTGGAGCCGAAGGTACATTATGGAACGCTTGACTCGACGTCCGATCTGTATGAGTGCCATGTCTACCTCGAGAAGCATGCATCGGACCACCATTAACTCGAGTCTGATGAAAATAATTAAATTATTTTAAGAATTTGGTTTGCCTAAACTACTGGCAAAAATGAATAAAACTTATAGCAAAAAACATCTCTTAAAAAGAAAATAAAGACTAAAAACTTTAGATTTTTCCTTAAAAAAACGTAGTTTACTTGTGATCGAGTTCGCCGTTGTCCTTGAATAAATGTTTTAGGACGCCTCAATGTATCATAAATATTCAATGCTGGAGCTTTATTAGGATTGGTACTAGGTGTATGCACAGCACAACATTTTATGAATGCGGCCATAAATATAAGAATACCAATGCCACATAAAAGGACAATCCACCAATTGATCTATCAATAAATTAGCATGCATTCGCAGTCAAATATTAAAATAAAGAAATTCATTTAAAACTTACCTGTATCCAGTAGCGAACTTCTGAAAGCGTTTTCGGATTGAAAATAACATTTTTCAGTCGAGCCAGTGGACCATCAGCATCAACACTTCGACACTTTCGAAAAATATCACAATAGCCTGCAAACCATTCATTATAAAATGATACAACTATGTCGAATAAGCAGTTCTCAATAATTCTAGCGCAAAAATGAAAATGAATGTGAACCTTTGTAATTATTACAAGGAGAACCAGGAAGAAGTATCAGGCCTTGTTTATTCTCACGACTAATTTGATTGAAACGACCATTAGCAAAATGAGGCAATTCGAAACTAGATTTGCATACTGAAATTTAATTAAATAAGTGAGCGAGCTTAAACATTAAAATCAAAATTAATAGATAATGCGCATCTTTTGATTATTATGGAAGTGGATCACTTTTTCTTGAAATGTGCATGTCGCAGTTGAATCATATGGCGACATTAATAAAAATTACATATTACTAAAAATCCCAACTTTTGGAACAAGAGTAAGAAAGTAACCATAAAATTATGTCACATACCTCCCTTTTCCTCACATGCTAAGTGACAAAGGATTTCTGGCGTTCCTTTGGTTAAAAAACAATCTTTTAAACCGATCTGTAAAAAAATAAATATGGCACTGAAACAATCAAGTTGAAATCCCATATGTCTTCTGATAAAGTCATTGAATTACTTAATTAATAAAAAAGTTAATAAAATCTCAATGAATAAAGTTAACGAAACTCTTCAAGATTTATCTAAAAAATTAAGAAAAATTAACCTCAGCACAAACAGAACCATTGCAACTACCGGCATTGCAAACTTTGGTTGAATCCTGACAAGGTAATCCATTTTTTTTAGCTTTTGAAGGAGGACATTCAGCAGTTCGACCATCACAACGCTGTTCTTCAAGACACTCAGAAACGGCACGGCAGATTCTAAAAAGCAAAAGACTAGGAAAAATTTTGAAAATTTTGACACAGATCATTGTAAATATTTCAATGAATTTGCTGTAATTATATCCTTAAGCTCAAAATTCTAGTTTTTCAATTCGATAAATTTTTATTTTTATGAGATTAAATACAACTTTTTTGCAGAAGAAGGATGGAAGGCACATTCCTGAGCGTTACAGCATGGCCCTTCGGATGGGCTGCAAGTTGCTTTACTACGACGCTTACATCCCGATCCCGTATCACGAGAATGACAACATTTATCGTTCATGGTTTCACAATCAGCGGCCGTATATCCACAATCACATTCTTCTCCGGGTTCTTTAACTTGATTACCACAGAATGCAGACTTTGTTTCTAAAAAAAATTACAATATGAAATGAACGTTTAATAACTAAACTGATTTCCGATTTATATCTATATGTAAGAATTGTAAAGAATTGTAAATATTTTAAAATTTCAAATCATTCAAATAATTTAAAGCAACTATTTACAGGATAGATAATATCGCACCTCTAAAACAATTTCTTTTGCCGGCACCAATTCCAAAACCACCAAGCCGTAAATATGAATTTTCCGTATCAATGGGACGTTGTTGTAGAACCTCAAATTATCCTTTAAAAAAAAAAAACCACAATTCAAAATCAAATGCATGCCCAAGAATTTATGTCAAACCTTATAAAAAACCGACCAGCATTTTCGGATCTCCAACAGACGTTTAATTTTAGTGAATTTAGTTAACTAGATATAATAATAAAGAAAACCTCGCTAAGGACTATGCTAATATTAGCAATTGAACATTTAGAAAATTGCGCGTTATTCTTCTTGTCACCAGAGGTGGCTGAAGCAAACATAATGTAATTGCCATCCGGAAGACCAGGCTGGCATTCCAGTGGATAGTCATGCTGCAAAAAATATTTGTACATAATTGTAAATATTTATATTATATATTTGTATATATCTTTTCTCACAACCAGCACAATTAGTTCTTCATGAAATGCAACAGTTCGAAAAAACAAGAAGAAAAAATAAAAATAAATGTTTGTCGAAAGTTGACAGATCCCACAAATATCATACCGGAGATCCGAAATTGTGACCTATTTCATGAGCAAGCGTAAGTTGCGAAACACGATTCGGTACGCGATTTCCATAATTTACCAATGTTATAATACCCGTATTCAAAGATCGATAAACGAAATTCGTCCCTTCGCTGTATTTTGTATATTGTTGACAAATTCCACCAGCAGTATCTAGAAATTATATATTTATGATAAGAGTCGTCAAACATTAATATAAAATAACTACTATTCGGAAGATCAAAAATAAAAAGAGAAGAAATTTATGAGTCTTACTATGGTTTTGACTAGCCACCCAAGCTAACCCAAGCGTTCCACCGACGAAATCTCGGAAAGTAAAAGCATAAGCGAGACAGAAATCGGAGTGATTCTTGCGTGAATTTAGATTCAAAAAATTGGAAACATCAACGTTGTCCTCACAAAACGGGTTTTCTGATATTCCATCTGTTTTTCCAGAACATGTTTGCGGTGTATAGAGCTGAAACACTTACATAAACAAAAACTTGTTATGATACGACGCGATAATTCAAAAAACTATTCACGATTTAATTCACAGTAATAAACAATTTTTCTTTCGTAAATATTTAAAGATCTAAATTTTTAAATCATTTTATAGTACAAATTTTTTCACCGAAATTCTCTGGATGACAAATGTCACTCCATTTATGCCATTGAAATCCGTGTCCTCATATATTTGATTAACAGCTTTTATATGATTATAAAATAAGCTTGCAATCTCCTCTCGCGTCCTGGAAATGATAAAGGGAAACTATTTTTTAGAACAAATTCTTCCATTATATTAGCTAGAAAAAAAGCTTATCTGACCGTCATAATTTCATAATTAAAATGTAATTCAAATGAAATAATTATTTGAAATAATTATTATAATTATTGAAACGCCAATTTAAAAATTAATGTGAAATATTAATATAACCGAATTTCACAGAGAAAAATGCAGATACATACCTAACTTCATCAAAATTACCTTCCTTTTCGAAAATATGTTGATAAAGTTTGTGATCAGCTTGTAGATAAACATAACAAGCTCTAAAGGATAAAAGAATATGAATTTCAAATATTTTTGACTTCAGAGTTTAAAAATAATATAGAAAATATTATCAACATTTGTATTATTCATTCATTTAACTACCATTTTTCGTCTTAATTCGAAAATCCTTAAAAAAATTTAGAACATTATCAACAATATCAAATTTTCTTTCAATTTTAACAACTCATAAAAACTACTAAGATTTTTTTTGAAATTAATACATACATAAATTAATACAATAGATACAAAAATACAATAGATATAAAAATAAATAGCCAAAAAATCATACCTAACTGTATAAATTTGTTTGCCGTTGATAATTTTTGTTTCTGGAACATCACGCTTTGTTCTCTGTGAGTCCATGAAATAGCTATAAAAGAGATTAAAAAGAAATTTTATTCAACAAAAGAGAAAAACCCAAAAAACAAACTCAAAGTAAAACATCAACAAAAAAAGGATGAAAACCATCAAAAAAAAATTTTCTAACCGATAAGGAAAAGAGTCCTGTATGGGATGATGCACCTTGAAGCTTGATGAAACGACTGGATCGTTATCTAAGATCACACTTTTCTGAAATGCTTCCATATCTTTTCGCACTCTACCATGTAAACCGCAACCGTGTTTATCTTTTGCTGAACGTTTCTTACGGCTTTTCCAAAAATTAATTGAATCATCTAAAAAATTTTCGCACATGAATAAATTGCAAATATTATCAGCTGATTTAGTTTATTTAATCCAAAAATAACCCGAATAAACGATAGAATGAAAATGTAGTGGTCTTTCATTCACTGGAAAAAATTGGTTAGCTCTTACGATAGTAAATACATGACCGTCATTGTGATAAATAAGCCCATCTAATATACCATCTTGAATCGAACCATAAACAGCCGATCCGCGATTGTCTTAATAAAGATTTGTTTATTTGAAAAAAAAATAAAAATAAATAAGAATTAATAACATTATTAATTAATGATGTGAATTCGAAACAAAAATAATGTTAAAATAATAAAATAGTGTTTCAGTTTTTCCTGTAAAAAAAAAACTAAAAAAAAACTAACTTTTGTCAATACCATGCAAAAGATATTCATCCGGTCTAAAGTCAACAGGAATACCATCGACATCAAACATAATCTGACTGTCGAACACTGGCGAAGGATCATTATTGATGGAATACAGTATCAAATCGAAAGACCTGAAAATAAGATAAATTCAATTATCGAGCTAACCACCTATACAAAGCAGAGTTGCTGCATTTTTCATAAGAATTACTGCATAACAATCGCACATTGAGAAATAATGAGAGGGCTAATAAACTAAACTACGAGCATTCTGGTTTCTTTTATTTAATCGGGTCATAAAAAAAATTCTAAAAATCTTTTCAATAAAATTTTATTTAAATTGTTATTAAACCTATTATGAGTATTAAATCGAATATTCGTAGCAACAATCGATCCATCTGCTGAGCGTTTCAAACGATGCTTGATCGGTTCATAGTTCAGTGTTTCATATGAATTCAAAAACTTATTCATACAAAAACCTAAAAATCTGTTAAAATTTAATTATAAAAATATAAGAAACCAATCATAAATTTGCTTTTCTCTTATAAACTTTCAGCATTCAAACAGAATATTGTTTACTGAAGAATTTTTTTTATCACTCACTGACTGAACACCTGGCATGATATTCAAATTCATTCACTAAAAATCAACTGCGAAATAAAAATAAAAATTATAAAAATAATAAAAATATATAAAATATAAAAATATATAAAATAAACAGATTTTTTGTAAATTTAAGTTTTTCTAAAAATTTCATAAAATTTTAATTCTAAATTTTTTTGTCATATTATTTTAAATGGACACAAAGAAATATTTATCGTTTGTCGTTGCTTTTGTTTACTTCTTTCTTTTCTTTATTTATGACTAATTTCAGAAAGCGATATACTGCGTCTCACCCCAATAGATTTCTGCCATAATAATTTTTAAAAATGTTGCATAAAAACAATTAAAAGAGCAAACCAAAATGCACATTATATACAATAATAATAATAAAAAATAGGAATTGCATGACAGAAATGCGGAGATATTCATTTACGTGCATATAATACAACGATATTTAGCTAATCGACACTCGATATCCTGAAAATCACGGACAGTGATTTTTAAGCAACGATCAATTATTTCGACAGATTTAATCAGTTTCCTTCAGGCAGAGTTTGCCAAACTTTGAGGCAAATTTTTATTTCCCTAAGAAAACTGGAAAACGCTCTTCGTCGAAGAAAATCTGGAAAGAAAGCACCTCAAAACTGCTAAAATTAAAAATAAGAATTTTTTTCAACCAGCAAAATTATTTATGTATTTATAAATTTTAAAGTACGTTCATCATTTGAGAGCAGACTCGCTCTGTTGGCTTAGTCGTAGCGGACTTGTCGAGAGTACTGCTGGGTTGTCAGCGCCACCCGAATTTTTGAAGCACAACTTAAGTCCTGCGGGGAGGACTCAAGGACCAGCGCTCCAGCGATGGCACCAACAACTCGCAAAGACATTTTCTCTTCGCACAATTATTGTACGAACTATTTCAAATAAAAAAACTCGTGTTTGACTTTGTAGCAAAATCGTATTATTAAATGCCGAATTAATTTATCAAAATTGTACTAAAATTACAAAAATAACAACCAGCAACCAACTAAACCACCGATCTAAAAGTCAGGAAAAATGAAAACTGACCGGTCATCGCGCAGATTAATTGATTCTCGCAGCCTCCGATTTTTAGTATCGGTTCGATTGCTAAATGTCGGAGGATTTTTACCAAATCACGATGAAAGCAGTTTCGGAGTTTTGAGTTTCCATGGGGAGTTTCGTCATTGTACTTCGTTGTTTTTGTCAATTCCGTGGTGGCCCCGCGTTTTTCTTTCCCAACTACTTTCCACCACCTTACCTTTCCATTTAAAAATGAGGATCAGCGCTGTCCATTAACCAAAAACTATCGTAAAAATTTTCTGGTTTTGTAAAGGAGACGAATGTTTGTTTTTGTTTTCTCTTTTAGGATTTTTTTAAATTGAATGAACTGTTTATTATTTGTATTAAAATTGTTTATTTCGATGAGTTCTGCGGCTATCAAAACAACTGATTTAAGCGACGAACGATTTCCGAGAGACGACGATTCATTGTTTGTTTCATTCTTCGTTTTTCTTTAATGAAATTTTTACTCTAAAAAAATGATACATAACAAGTTTGTTAATGACGTAATGGATAAATTTTGGCACTTATCGGATGTCCGTTAGAATGGAAGCAAAGAGATGACCATTCGTAACCTTTTTCCCACGTAACTGCGTGACATGGTGGTTCAGTTTTATTAGTGGAGCCAAACTAGAAATCTTGAGTTCAGTTGGATAATGAGGAGTTCACTGGTGAGGAATTAAGGCTGCAATGAGAGCGGATTCCAAGCTGGTGACATACTGGATAACTGGCAAATACAAAATTCATTATACAAAATTCAAAACACAGTTGATCTCAGATTATCGCAATATAAGTGAAATTCGTTAGCTGGTTCAGCTGGTTATTAGCTGGTTCTTTTCTTTTCCTGGCAAGCAATATAAACCAAGATTTCTTATCTGGTTGAGCACACTGACTTTTAATGTGAGGTTTTTAAGTATAATGGTTCAGAATATCTGGTTTAAACGTTCTGCTCTTTTATAAAAATTTTTTAATACAAAAATTCATAAGTAAAGAAACCACCACTCTTGCTGGAAATTCGAATTTTACATATATTTTAGAATTTTATGTACGATATACTGAAGGAGATACTGGAGAAGGAGTAATTCTTTTGATTAAATTTTGTATTAATAAGTAAAAAGTATATATATATAAACGGCAGCGAATGATCTAAAAGGCAATGTAGCCAGTTTTTATTCTTATGGAAAATCTGAAATTTTTTCAACTGCAGTTGTAGCAAATCTGATTGCTCAACGCATGCATCATGTCTCGATTGTGCATTTTTTCCCTGTAATTACGGCGAAGCTATTAATGTAACGTGTTCAACAAAAAATGTTTGCTCTCGAAAATACTCTATAAAAAAGGAGGCAATTTGTCGATATTGTTGGCAGTTGCATTCGAGCGATTATGATTGTACACCGGTTTGTTGAATTGAAAGAATTATTATATTTTATTACAGTGTGCATAAAGTGTGTTATACCATTGCAATAAAAATTCTGATATACACCTGCAACTGAATATCTCAGTGGGTTATTTGCTGTCACTTCGGAATGTAGATATTGATATTATTTTCCTAACAAAAGTGTCTTTCAAAATTTATCTTTCAAAAATGAAGGTTATGCTGACTATCATCTTATGTTGACTCTCTGGCGAATTTTTTCGCAAACTATCGTGTTTGTGGCGAATTTGACTGGAAATAGTGAACGCTCCTCAGAAAAAGGGAAGATATAGATGCCATAATAAAATAATAGAGTGGTACTGGGGACCAGTGATTTTGCCCTATTAATCATCAACAATGACGCAGGAAAAATAATCAAGTGGAAATAGCTCATTTTCAGGTGAAGAATTGCACAACGTCATCAGTGTTTCTTGTTCGTACGGTTTGTCATACTCATCAAAATGTCATTTGTATGGGACGAAGAGTCTTTTTCAAAAACGTCAGGTCCATCCAATATTTTATAAAGTTTTTAAATAAGAAATAACTGATTTTGTGATTGTTGAAACGAAATAAAATTTCAGATGTAATTGGTCATCAGGATATAGCTGGTGGAAAGCAATGGTCTTATCGATTACACTTGGTGGCTTTGGAGCTGATCGTTTCTATTTAGGAATGTGGAAAAGCGCTATAGGTAAATTATTCAGTTTTGGTGGTCTAGGAATCTGGACTTTAGTTGATGTTATTTTAATTGGCGTTGGATACATTGGTCCAGCAGATGGATCTCTTTATATTTGAAGTTTTCGCAATCTTTATTTACCATTTATTTATCATCTATATTTAGTTATATGTATGTAAATATCGTGATCCGAATGTAAAAAGTGATTGCAAACTTTTTAATTTCATGCAACAATTTCATAAAATCTTTAAAACAAATTTAAAATCTTTTGTGCAAGAAAAATCCCGAGAAAAAAAAAAGCTCTCAGATGGATTGATTAATAATAATAAATATCTCAAATAATAATAATAAATATTTTTGCATAAAAAAACAGAAATCTCTTCGATTCATTTCTGGTTTTCTTTTCCTCTCCTAAAAAACAATAAATTGGTGACTTATTTCTTTTCAACGATAATTTAATGATTATGACGATAATGATTAAGTAAATGATCTTTTTAACAATCGAAACAAATAAAAATATACAATTTGGAAGACTAAATTTGAAAGAAACAATCAAGATTTAAACACAGATTAAATGGTACTAACGATGCATTATGATTTATCTGTAGCATATAGAAAACACAATCGTTTAAAATTGCTTGGATATTCGAGAAAGTAGACGAAGAATTTTTCACTGCTTGCAATGACCTGTTAAGAATTTATTAGAAATGGAAAATACGAAAACATTTTTGGATTTTTAGTTTTAATTTTTTATCACACAATTGCCTATTCATCATCATTAGTGATAAGTTAATTCACCAAAAGCATAAAAATTAAATTTACGCTAAATCGTTGTCCAAATCAAAACAAGCGCCCTGAAGTTGAGCATTTGCTTCCATCATTATATATTTGCGATTAACTAACACAGGCAAAGATTTACCAATATGCTCCTTAAATTATTGAATTCATATCATATAGAAATTGAAGGCCTCTATTCTGAAAACCAAACTTTAATGGAATAGAATAATAAAATACACCACCTGTAGCCTGTACAACGCTAACGATGGGTCGTGATCAATGATATGTATACTTTCCGATATTCTTTCAGCCACTGCAATTTTTTCTCAAAGACTATAGAAATGCAATTTATTAATGAATTCCTCATCAAGTAAACAAAAAAAATTATAAAAACATCCTAAAAGACATGTTAGTGTGAAGATTTCACATTTAGAAATGCTGGCATCCTTTAATGCAAAAAAATACTTACAAAGACGACAACGTGCTTGTAATTCCTTCGACGCCACTGCTGTAACTCCTGTAGAAATCAAAATAACAATTACAAAACAAATTTGACATCATCTTCGCCACTAATCCTCAATCAAATTTTTGTGAAATATTCAATTTTAAACATAGTCAATCCAACTTTTGTTTAATCTCTTCGCTAAGAAAACTAAAAGTTTCTATAAACCACTTAACCTAGCTAATCAATATTATTTCATGGAATAAAAAAATAGTTATTTCAAATATTCGAGTTAACGATTGACGAATGCAACCCATATGCGTATATGATAATTATATTATAATATACAATTAAAATAATAACAAATAATATAAAAAGTTGTACAAAACTTTTTGATTATTTATAAGCCTATGAAAAATAAAAATTGTATCTTCCAGGAAAAAGCGGTTGAGTTTTTGAAATGAAAGAGGTTTCAAAATTTCAGTAATAATTTTATAATAATTAATAATTTCCAATGAAATTATTTGCTATAGATATAGCAGATAAAGTTAAGAGGAATCTTTATCATAGCGATTCCTAATTCTTTCGAAAAGTTCACTGGCATATTTTGCTTCTGCTTCTTGTTTATTGAGTATCGCATCACTTAACGATTCAAGTGCTTGAGTTTTTTGCTCGGCCAAATTTTCCCATTTTAGACGATTTTCAAAGAAATACATCATTTCTTTCTTCATTTCAATTTCATTAAGTTCCTTCTTCAGCTGCTCGAGTTTGAGTTTGAGATTTATTCGCTCAGCCTGAAAAAAAGAAAAAAATATTCGAATTTATTTAAAGCATTTCCAAAAACATGCATGCAAAGAATATGAATATGTTGTTTGTTACAGTGGATACCATCAACAATAACTCCTTCCAAATGAATAGACTGAGCAAAATTACTGTATATATAGATGATGGCGCAAGCAGATAAATTATTTTAATTTAATATAAATTCTTTTTTTTTTCTAATTCCTTCAATCTTTCATTTATATGTGACTATCAACGAATCATTTTTTGATTTATAATTGATCTATTCTCTTTTTTCTTATATCTTTACCGTTTTCTCAAAAATTACTTATTCATCCACAAAAGATTTCTGTCATCGCTTCAAGCGCAATTTCCTCATCGGCAGTAATGTATTTCATAAATAAAGCATCTCTATATTCGTTGTCTATTTTCCAGCCAAGATTCTCAGAATCTTGTGTAGCACAGAAAAAAAAATCAGTTTTATCTTCATTATTTTATAAGTTAATATAAACGAAATTTAGCGACCATCCTATAAATATTACCCTTCCAAAAACAATTAAAACTGGTGAAATGACACCTGGGCTTCAATCAATGTCTGTCGAAGTTCCCTCCATTTTCTAAAATGTTCAATTTGCTCATTCTTTAATTTAGATTCCTCATATTGCTGCACTTCCAAAAATTTCTTTTTAATGGTTTCAGATAACTTTTCATTCCGTTCCTCTACTTCACTTTCATTGAACAATATCTAAGGAAATAATCAATAAAATACAGAAATAGAATATACTTTTAAACAATAAACAAATAAGAATAAACAAATATATCTTAAAAAGATCAAACGGAAGCAAAAGCATAGTCGATTTTTCTTGCAAAAACAAATTTGAAATATCAAAGAAAATGGAAAAATAAGAAAATTGAAAGTTAAAAAACTGAATTTTTATATTGGAACGAGTCGTAAGCTCTTAAACAATAAAAGAAAGAAAAGACCTCTGAAATTTTAAACTTTTAATAAGAAAAAAACCAACTTTAATTTTTTCATAAATATTCACAGAATTATTGTCTTCTTTCTTGATTTCTATTAATTCACTGATTCTCGATAAGCAAATATCAGCTGATGGTGATAAAACACTTCGCTTTAATAAAGCAGAACGAACAGAATCCAAATTCTCAAGAAAAACATTTCCAATAAGGCGAATATTATGAATGACTTTTACTTCTATAGGTAAATGATAAGAAAACCACACCAAAGCTTTGCCAATGAGCTTATTGGGATCAGTAATATCGAAATGTCCGTCGTTGTAATGATTTTTCAGATAAGGAAATTTAAATATTTTCTGAAAAAAAGCAAATTTTCGAACCCAATAAAATTACATATTTCGTCATATTTTTTAACTGGAAAACCATCGAAAACAAATACCACACTAGTTGAACATCTTCTTTCCATATTGTAAAGTGATAAGGGACAAATTGATATTACGCGAGAAAAATCGAAAAAGTAAACGAGTAAAGGTAAAAAGTAAAGAACTTACTATATCGTCATCTCTAACATCTTCTTCTTGTTCAGAAATTGGATCGCAAATTTCGACTCGTTCTTCGCTAGGCATTTCAAACCATTTTAACAGAGAATAAATGCAAATCAAATTTAATAGTTTAGATGAAAACATTTCTTGTAACATAACCGTACTCGCAATTTTTGCAGCCCCTGTAAATTTCATAAATTACAAATTAAATTATAAAATATAAATAAATTAAGACCTAAAAGTCCCAATTTCTGGCAAAACTCATTTCGTCGGCTAGAAATTTTTACCAGAGAGCAAAAGAATTGCGAGCAGAATTGCCAGCATTATTTTTGAATTTGATTTTATAGGAAGTAGATACGAAAATCTAAGTTATTAACCACTGGTTCCAATTAATATTAATATTTGCATTAAACAAAAAAAGATCCACAAAAATAAAACTAAAAAATTCAAATATAGAAAACACCAGAAATTTTGCCACTTTTAAGCAGATGATCGATCGCAAGACATGCTGAATGTTCATTAAAAAATATCCCATAATTAATCTGGAAAAAAAAAATAAAACAGACAATGAAATAAAATCACTTTCCAGTAGAATTTATGAAAAATCTTTTTCTTCTTCACCTTCTACTTTTTTTTTCCCTTATTTTTTCACATTCGCTATCATCGCATAGATAACTAACAATAATTCTATTCGTTCTACATTTATAACTTTATCATCCTTCTTCTTTCTCCTCACTTATATGAGAACCAGTTCTTCATTAACAATAATCATAATCATAATCACCTTATCTTCTTAAATTTCCAAAATTTCAAAAAGTATAAAAAAATAGACGAAAAGAAAAAGTAACTGGATCACCGATGACTTTGAAAAGTAAATCCATCCTATCATGATCGACTAAAATTCGAGTTAAAGCATATTCAGTTGAAGGTAACATATCCGCTGTATTCGATGAATGTCGTAATTTATAAGCCAAATCAACAACTTCGTCCAATTGATCAATTTCTGTTGCTCCACATATTGCCAAGTCAACATCGACAGCACTAAATTTGAATAAATTACGTAATTACGAACACAAAAAGAAATGGACGAGTAATTCTAATGCAGAGTAAAATGATTCAGTGGAGATTATACTTCAGCACGAATAAACCTTACCAAAAATCCGGGTGGTGCTGGCGCTCAACTATATCGCCAAATGATTGAATCTTTGGCCTATCTATGCAACAAGCTAGCGGGAAAAGTGCAATTAGTAGTGCTGAGGGCATTAGTAGTCCAACAAAAATTTAAGGCAAATTTCCCTTAAATCTTAAAAATAAATCAAATCGGCTCGATCTCACAAGCAAAGGTTTCGAAAGACCCATAGGAATCGTTTTCCTTTAAAGAACACTTTCTAATGGTTCTCAGGAAAATATTTTATATTTAATATTATATATTTTTATATTTTATAATTCTTCTTAGGCATTTCTCAAGAAAAAATACAGGAATAATCAATGAATTTTGTTAATATAATATATAAATTGCTAGTTAAGTGTTTAAGAATATTTTCCTAAAAATCGAACCGTAGTTCGCACGAGACAATGAAGGAGATCCATAGTTCACCAGGCTCCTAGAGACTCAAAAAAATCCGTCGGATTAGGAGATTCTCAAAGAATTCAACAGCTTTCAATATATTAAAATAAAAGAAAACGACCTAGCTAGAGCACCTCCAATATATTTCTTCTGTACCGCAGTAATCCATTCGTAACTCGTACCAAGCGAAAAACGTTCAAAATCTTCGTGTCTTTCGTTCCATTCATTATTTAATCGAAATGCTTCCGTAAAAAGATTTCGTCGCTTTCGTATAAAAAAACGTGAACTAGCACCAAAATATTTCGAAAAATGCAACAAACAACCATTCATTAACACGGCAAAATCTTTTGTCTGAAAAAAGAAAGGTTTTTTAATCGGTGTAAGCAAAGCGCGACGTGGCCGATGGTACATAATCCGCACTTCCTTTTCCTCATTCCTTCCTTTGATTATTAGTTCCCTTCGGCAGAGCCGAGGCGGTCAAGTTCCTCCAGCTGAAGCCAAAGGTGCGATTCATGACGGGAACTGTAATTAGAAACGACGTTAGCAGCGGCCGCCAGCCTTCCATCCCTGAGAAATTCTCTCACGAAACGTGCTGGCAGCCAACAAAAGCAATCAAAACAGAAGTGATCAACACTAGTAGAAGAAATTAGCGAGTTAAACGCGACGGAAGAGATCCCATTTAAGCGGTTAACCTATTTCAGACTCGAATAGTACCAAAATACTGCCATTTCGACTAAACAATTTGCAAAACTACTCGGAGTTGACGCAATTTGAATTGAAAGCTGCAGATTGCGGTTGTGTTTTAGTGCAAAATTACTATTTTGCAGCCATATTTTTACAATAAATCATGAATCATGAATTAACACCGATAAAGTTGATGGAATTTGTAGATCAATTGGTAATTCGACGCAGGGTCGTGTTGATTACTTATTCTTCTCAAAGGTTGCGAAATACCAGTGCGGGAAGACGAGTGATGAATTGTTCTTCTTCTTCTGCTAGTGCTAATTGCTCGGATAAAAGCGTTGCGTTAAGAGAGTCATGGATTGTGAATGAGTCGCAGGCGTCAGTGGCAGTGGCTCCGTCAACGAACCGACTTCACCCGAACTCGGCTATCGTCCCCCACTGCCTAATAGGTCACTGTCGACTTTTCAAATATTTGGAATCGTTGTCCTCTTCAATTAATTTCAAGTAATTGAAGTGATGTTCGAAATAAATCAAGAAAAATCCATATTCCCATGGAAACACATGCTCCGCACGCATCAAAAGTCTTTAAATATTAATTGATTGAAGGTTATTAACGAATAGAAATCATAGAGAATTTATGCTAGCGATTCATTGTAACTAATTCACTATGATCGACCCAAATCCTCCGTTATCCTTGCTTTCATGTGTTTTTCTTTCCTTTAGTACCTCCCACCGTTTCTCACCGCTTAGCTGCTCAGCTACCACTGATATGAGGTAAAAGTGAGGATACTTGCGGCACCTCGATAACTCTTATCACTGATTTCGTTCATTCAGTAAAGTTTGTTTTGAAGGCTGAAGTCTTTAAATTAAAAACTTCAGGATAACTTTTGTTTAAGCCAAACTGCTTAAGGTTTTGCTCGATGAATTTGCTTGAAGAAGATAAATTTGCATGAAAGTTATTGTTCAGAAAAAACTAACGAAGGAAATTCTATAAATATGTTATAGCAACAAAACAAATTTAATTAATGCATTTGCACTGACTTTTTACCGAAATTTCCAAGAATTTTATCGCCCTTTTGCTTGTATAAGTCGGATTTCGAGTTATTCGAAATCTCGTTTTGTTAATTCAAATCATTTTAGGTAGCGTTGGGTTCAATCAGTAGAACTCCAATAATATGTTTGTTTAAATTTAATGTGTATAAATTTAATGGAAATGGTTGTTTTTCCTTTGGTGAGAAATTATTATGCTTTGAAAATCTTCGAATAAAAAATGATAATTTATGCAGTAAATTTGTTGTTTTCTTGTGATTGCGCTCATCAGCGTTATTGGATTGGCTAAATCGAATAAGGTCGGAAAATTGTTTCACCGGGAAAGCGGAGCACGAGCGGATTCACAGCACCATTCGGAGTGATTAAACACCCACGAATTTTTAATTTCGATCAGAAAATGGGGGAAATTTCTCGACTGCCAATTAAATATGCACTTTTTATGTAAATTTATAAATTTTTCCAGAGGAATAACTGTGGTAATTTTAAAGCTTTTAGCAAGAAAAAAATTCAATAAGGAATTGTTGTAATATAATGGTGGATCGACGAATTTTTCGAGGATCAGTTATCGCTGAACGCAGAAAAGCGATGGAAAATGTGGAAAAGGCTCAAATGCTTAGAACTAAAAGATATCAACAAATGATGTATGTGAATGAAGATGGCGATAAGTAATCCAAGTAACCTCTGAAGTAAATAAATGCATTGCATGTTCGTAATAATTCTTTGAATCTGATTCGTTTGAAGTTTTTTTACTACCCTTTCACATCATAGATTAGTATCCACGATTCAGTAGTGATAATTAATCAGTGTTTTGCCCACTAGGATTACTTTGAATTTCGGATATTTGCTCATTTTAGATGGATCGTCATTTCTGGTTATGCTAGCACTACTGGCCATAACAAATTTACGATAACATTTTGGTCACTTTCGGACAGAAATATAGGTGAATCGCTAGCACCACCCATACTTTCGAATCGCGGATTCAACCTTGGTGCGAGCAGCAACAGAATCTTTACCTCTCAACACGAATCCCTCTTTCGCACTCTCCTTACCCTTCTGTTATTAACTAATTTCCTCCGATATTATTTATTACGATGGAAGGCAAATTGTCCGATAATATTTTTTTGATATTTCTAAATGTACTCATCATTTCCAGTTTGGTTCTCTCTACTGATTATAAGGCTGAGAAGAATACTTTGTCAGAGTTAGTGAAAATACAGAGGGGATCCATGGACGACCTGAATTTCATTTTTATTGATAGGTCTTTTCTTCTAAAGGTACAAATTCGAATCTATGATGGCTTAACCTCAATCGAAATAACATGCCAGTTGGCTACCTTATTTCTCGAATAGCTCAGAAGGAAATTTCGCCTTCCCATCTCCTGTGTGCCTATCGATGGAAATGACTGCCTATATGGCCTTTTCGCACCCAAAAATTTAATAATTCATAAATTCGTCAATGAGTTTTAATTTCATTATTAATTAATTTATTAATTTCATTAGGTCGCAAATGCGAGATGAAATAACCGAAACGCCGATTTTCCCTATTATAACACCTATAATCCCACTCAAGGAGCGAAAATGTAATTTTACGAAGCCTATTAATTCACCAAAAAGTGCAACGAAATGTGTGCTTCTCGAGAAAATTTCCTCTGTATCGTCCATGTTAAACAACAAAAGAACCAACAACGTTTATCAAAAATCCCGTAGAAATGGTGCTCGCAAACATCAAGTTTCTGTTAATAGAGGTTCTTTTTTTTTCATTTTTCATTCATTTAAGATTTTAATCCGACATAATTCAGCCCAGATAATCTCATTTTCAATTCTATCTTTAAATTTTATTTAAGAATTCTGATTTTTTAAATCAAATTTATCAGTCGGCAAATTATGCTTTTTTTTTGTGAAAAGTAATTTATGCAATTAGAACGAATTTCATAGTAGCTTTTTTCTTTTACCTTCATTCATCGTTTCTGATTAAGCTTCTCCACTATTAAAATGAAATCCTCGCAAAATGAAATCCCCATGCATGGGGATAGGAAAAGTACAAATAAGTGTTAAATAACTCTCTTAACATTGACATTGATGACAGATGAAACAACGCCAAAAGTCACTGGCATCTTAATATTCCTTAGTAAATTATCGACTAATGAAGATAGGATAGGCGAACGGTTATTGCTTTGATTATTGCTTTGATTATCGAATATTACAAAACATAAACCTATCATTAGCAAATTTTATGATCCAAGTATATTCTGGGCTGAACTGACTCACTTACAAGAATTTCTCATGTGAAGGCCGCTGGAGCTCATTTTGCACTTTGAAATGGTGGACGCTTTTGCACTTAATAATTGATGAACCAAGAAAAATGAACCAAGAAATTCAAAAAGCCACAATGTGCTCGTATTAGAAAGAATTTTATGAAGAATCGACTTTACGGAGATATCAGTTTAATCTTTCGCGTCATTTCGAAGCACGTAAAAGTTAAGTGGGTTAATGCTCATCATTAGACTCATTCGACTCGTTAGACTCATTCCGCTGCTTAACAATACGGTGAGGAACTCTCGGCAGCGACAGAAATTTATTTGGCCAGCAAATTTTACAGGTTTACTCATGTCAGATATTGTGAATTACCAAAAATTTAAAATATCGTTGCATATCATTTATGAAATGCAAAATGAAAGAAAAATTAGTTCGGGTTTAGAATTTAATTCCAATACAATTGTTGTTGTTAAAACTAATTTAAATAAATCAATTTGTCATAAAAATTGTTGTGATTGGACAAAATGGATGAACGGCATTTTTTATAATATTTGTAATCATGCTCCTCTGTATAATTTTTCTTTAATTAGTTTATATTATGTAGAAATCGCGTTATTTTGACGATGTGAACTGCGAACGAGATAAGAGTATAATAAGAATGATGGTGACAGTTAGGCATAGGCAATTAGGCTAAATTTTTAGTTTTTTTTCTTTATATGAAAAGGTACAAATGTGGAAAATGCTTGGATTAAATTCAACTCAGTTATCCATTTCACATTTAAATTAGATATATTTCGTACCGATAGGCCTTTGCTAGGAATCTGTGCGGAAGATCTCCCAATATTAAAATTTATTACGTCGATGAATTCTTCCTTCACTAAACTGATTAAATATTTATTTCACGGAGCCAGTGGTTCCTTTTATTTGAGTTGTGATTTGGCTCGCTCCACTGATCACTGTGATCCTTTCAAATATTCGCTCGGGGAAAGATGCGAGCTCAGAATCTTTTTATTTTTAATTCATTTTCATTTTCAATTCATAATTTTTAAAGAGAATATTAATGCTGATTCTAAATAACAGTTATTTAATATGTTGTGTTTATGTGAACAGAAGGTGCTTCAACTTAGTCAAAATAAACCAACTATCATGCAGTTTAGTCAGTTATTTCCTGTATATACCATACCATATCGAGTTAAAAAATCGAAATTATTTTACTGATGAAATTTTCAGTACCAAATATTATGCCAGCAAAATTACCACCGTTGCCAAAAGCAAAAACTGTATCATTCGCAAAAAAGCCTAAAAAAGAAATCGAAGCTCACATGCAAATTATTCCTTCTTCCCTTCCTCACGACGTGGTAATTTTATCATTTCTTATATTTTCAATATTTATGTTGATTAATTTCCTCATTAATATGGAATCACTTTTTTAAAGCAAAGGGTGCTTAATAAATCTTTATTTTTCTGAGGATTTTCTTTTTTCAGTATATTTTGCAGCGAATTTATTTATTTAATATGTTGTGTTTATGTGTGCGTGTCCGGAAAGAGAACGCGACAGCGACATCTAGATGTGACATTCTTAAATGCCATTAGACGAGCACATTAGACACAAAAACACAAAAAAAGCCTACTTACCATATTTTGAGGAAACTTTTTGCAATCCGGGTATCATCTGAAGATAAAATATTACTTCAATTATTTCCCTTTTAGATCACATCTCCAAAATTTTCATTTGCTCTCAAGTGTAATATTATCCCCTTAAAAATTACCACAACCAATTTTAACTTTCAATTAACCTATGATACCTAATTCATATTCTTCGAAATCCTGTCATATATATATATATATATATATATATATATAGGTGAATACACATATATCTTTTATATCTGCGTTTCTGTCCAAAGAAAGAGCGACTCAACTTGAAATCTTTTGGAAAATTTTTCAGGCCCAGTTGAATGGCCTTATTACTGCTTAATAGGTCCGAAGTCCAGTCGTATACCTTTGCCATAAGCCGTAAGTAAAATTATCTTTATCTCTTTTCTGTCACTTGAAACCTCTCCAACCCATTTATAGCCCTACGACACCACTTTTTTTTGCTAGTTATAAAATCGTAAAGGGCAACGTGAACTTCTGGTAGTAAAGGAATACGGATGAAAAAGCAATTTCAAAGGAGTGTAATAAGGATATGCGAATGCAAAAACAGTTCAACGGAATTCAAAGTAATGTTAAGGTAATATAGTGAATTTTATGAAGGTTCTGGTTTGTTGGCAGTTGTAAACTTCCGGGGACAAACTATTTTACTAATATCCTAACTATCCTAATTAAGAAAAGTATAAGAAAAGTATAAAAGTATAATTATAAGATTATGCAGCAAATTTATAGACAAGTAATTTAATATATAACCATCATGTATAGTTTATTTTTTCAAATTTCTTGGGAACCGACGTTGGTTTCGACATTGGTGATTTTATCTGATGAAGTAATGAAGTCGAAGATTTTAAAAGATTAAATTTATATGAAAATCTTTCCAGATGAAGTTGTTTTGAAGCTGATTTTAATTTATTTTAATTCATTTTGATGTCCATAAATTGCTGCTTTCTCGATTAGATTATACGTTATAGATAATTATTCATAATTACTCTAATCGAGCAGAGCTGAGAATCCTTCCTTTTTTACTTCAAATTTCTTTTTTATAATAATACTCACCATTTCTGATTTGGCTCGGTCCATCAGCTATTAGGATAATTCGTCAGAGAGGCATTTGAGAATAAAAGTGTTTCTTTCAGATTTCACTAATGATAGATTTACTGTTATTAACGGAAAGGAATCGAATATGACTTGACGTTTATCAAAGCAATTCGCTAAAGATGATTTACAATTGAGGGTGATCCTGGAGAAAAATTACTATTCCTTCCAGTTGGTTTTCAGGGATTCGATGACAACATACAATTATTAGCACACGAATTAGCCACTCTAATAATCGATTCAGCGATTCAAACATTGAATAACGAAAACGAATGGAACAAAATAATCGCTGAAAACGAAATACTGCTGAGAAAGCTAAACGAAGAAAAGAAAAAAACTAATGAACTGATGGAAAAAATTGACAAAACGAATCAACTTCGCGTAGGTTTTTTTGATTCCTTTTTCAATTCGTTTCTCCAAAATCATCTCGAATTGTCCTTCGTCTGATTTAACAAGAAAACTGCCAAGAAAGAGTTAATCAGTCTAACAGCCATACTCATCAACTTTGAAACTTTCGATCCTTTTAATTTTTTTCCTCTGTTCATTCCTTTAATGCAATTTCGAAGACCTTTGCACTATTTTCCAATTTGCCAAGTCCCTATTATCATCCCTTAAGAATTCCCGACTTCCGTGTGTTAATCATTACGGTCTTATCTAACTCAACAGTATTTCTCTCAGGAAATATTAAAAAATCACTGAGAATTCCCAAACAGTTTCCCTTAAGTGGATTATATTTATCCATATTTATCGTATTAGAAATTAAAATTTAGAAATTTTTAAAAGGTTTATTAAATAATAATAATATACTTCTTGAAAAAATAACTAAAAACAAAAAAATTTATTAAAAATAGTATCGTTTTGCTGAATTTCTCTCGTGAAAAAAGTTTTGATCTAATAGACCTCCTGAAAGAATATCGAAGCCCCTCAATAAAGGTCCAATAAAAGGACCATACTTTGAGAACCGCTAATGCAACTATGACTATAAAAACTGGCGGTGCATTTCGCATAAGTGTCCAAATGTCCATCACATTAAAGATTCATTCATTGCATCTGATGCAACCATAAATTTTGCCTTGCAGATTACTACAAAATTCATTTTTCATATTTGTGGTTGATTTCCAAAAATAAAGAAATTTCATTTGGTAAATATTAATTGATCCTCGCTGGTGTTGGTGACTTACTTGGTCCTCCTTAGCAAAAATTTCTAACCGTATTATCTGCCATCGAAGGCAGTCCAACTAGAAATGCTAAATCAAATATCTTAATTTACTATCTTATTTCCTGCTTACTATCTTAATTCAATAGTGAATCTAGCAGGTACTACTCTTTAAGTTATTCGTTTTTTGTTTAGAATATTTTGGTTTTTTCTACGAAGTTATTCGCTTTTCCCTGCAAAATTTTCTTTTTTAATCCCAATTGAATTTTAATGAGACAATAATCAATAAAAATTGGATTTATCAAGCGAATCAGTAAAATTGGATTTATTATGAACTAACGGATTATCAGGATTCAAAGACCGCATTTTTGATGGAATAACATCCATTTAGAATTTGTAAACAATTAATCAGCTGCTATTACACTTATCCGAGTTTTATTACAACTCGGATCACGGCAGCTAGAAATACGTTTCTTCCGGTTGACGAAACCTTTATGGAATCGTGAAATCACCATAAAAACAAAAGACCGCATCTATATTGTCGTGATCCGTTCGATCTTATTATATGACTCTCAGACATGGCCAATGAGAGTGGAGGATATCAAGAAGTTATCTGCCTTTGACCACTCTTATCTAAGGTATATATTACGGATCCGTCGAACGGATAAGATAACACAAGATCGCATCCATCTTCATTCAAATACCACTTGCATAAATAATGTTATCACAGAACGCCGCTTTCGCTAATTAGGGCACATTCTCCGTCATCCACCAAAGGAATTAAGGTATATTTCGTAATTTGCTAAACCGTGTGATGAATGGCGTCAAAAGCAATGTAGGCCAATCAAGACCTGGGCTGATACGGTTAGGAAAGATTTTGAACGTATAGGTGGACCAGCAATATATGGACTTAGACGATGGAAAAAAATGGCTACCATTACTGTCGACGATGGCATCAGACCGCAGCGCTTGGAAGCATTTTACCCTTGTAGCTATTGGAGCCAGCCTAATCAGTAATGGTGAAAGGTCTTAGAAGAAGAAGAAGAAAATCTTACACTTTATTGTTTTTAGATTGGCGAGAAAAGATGAATTCATTTTTTATGGGACTTTTGTTGACTTTTGACTTCTTTAAAGCTCGCACCAGAAAATGTGCCAGGGAGCCCCTTGAAGATAAAATTGCAGGTAAATCGCCAGCATTACCTGGATTTTTGGATATTTTTACTCGTGCCGGGAATAGAACGATCCTACAATCCATTCTACTCTCCTTTATTTTCTCCGTTAGGCAACATTGCTGAAGTGTGGTGCGTCGGCTAGATTCGAACCCAAGCTTCGATTCGCGGTGGCGAATCAATTATCTTGCCACCGCACGTGATAATTTTTGGTTATGTTCGCTCCATTTGCTATTGGTACGATTAGAAATTTAACCAGATAGCCACTTAACAATATAAAAAAATAAATTGGGTCCCTGGTACCAGACTTTTTAAAGGCTCATGGGTGATTTTTTACAGGTTTTACAGGTTCACTTCTGTCGGAAACAGTATTCCAACACCTTGACTATGAAATCTAATATCTGATTGGTATTTTCTCAACATATCATATATATCAAAATAACCAATATCAAAAATTCTCATACTGTAAATGCCAATTTTAAAGATTGAATTCTTCGAACAAAGACGTGAGCTTGAAAGTAATGCTATAGCAGCATCAATCGTCGATGGAATCATCACTACGGTTATAGAAGATAGTATAGAGCATAAAACTTGCCAGGAATTGGAAAATTGCCCTTCTGCAAGTTTTTTAACAAATATCACCACGAATCCAAATCTTCTGAAATCAGGTCGTTTATTAGAATTTGTACCTTTAAATGAATTAAAGAAATTAAGGGACTAAGATGGGTTCCGCTTCATATAGTTTCTTAATAAAGTAAAAAAGTTCCAAAAAAAACTCTCCTGAGACTTCGACTTATTTGATAGATTCATTAGGGTGAAGACATCTTTGGACCATATTTCTTGATAAACTCGAATAAAATATCCTAAATTTTCTTTTTAGAACTTGAAAACGACTTTCTGCCTTGGTTATTTAATCAAGTTAATAAGGTTAGTTAAACTGATTACAGTTACTTTATACATTTTAAAAATGACCACTTCCCTAGGAATATTTAAACATTAAGTATGAAATAACGTTAAATATTTTATCTGAGGATAAAAAATGCAAATGGAAATGCAGTACCACTCGAGCCTTTTTATTGCCAGGTCCACTCCTTCAGGATGCAAAGTCTGGATCTTGATGTTCGCGACTCAGCCATCTTACTTCCTGGATTTTTTAAAATATCTGAATAATTTGAGCCAAAATAATAATGAAACCTCTTTTTTAAAAGTGTAAAAATCAACTTTCCTATGAAAAATCAAAATCAATTTCATTTTCAGCAAAAATGAACTGCTCAAAGAACGAATAAACGTCAATGAAACGTCAATGTATTCACTTTGAAGATAACGGGCATGACTTTCTCAAAATATTTAACGTTATTTGTAAAACCGGCCTAATTCCATTTACTATAAATTTAATTTTACATTGCAAATTTTACATTGAGAATTCATTTAGAATTCACTTATTTTTAAAATTGTCAAACAAAGATTTTTCAACAACGAAACCTAATGAAAACATAATTTTTGAGAATAAGAATTGAGGGTCTTACTTAACCATAAGAATCTGGAAAAATGCCACGACCCTTTGGTCCCGATTCTTAAAAAAATTTTCCAGATATGGTAATGTTTTTTTCTAATTTCAAGATTGCTGATCGAGTTTAGGATAAAATGTAATTTGACAACTTCGCCGGTACAATGTACAATGATACTAAAAGCCACTAAAAAAAAAATGAAAGCTTTAGAACATAATATATATAATCCAATTTGTTGCACTATGTCACCATTTTTAAATTTGATAAAATCTCTAACTTTATGCAGAGATGTAAGGATAATAAAAAATCCCACTTTTATTATCATTTTCCAAAAGCACGAATTTTAATAGACTATCCCTGATCGGTGTAATATGGATAAAAAAAATATTCGTCGAAATCTTTCTTTAAACAATGGAAATCTCCAACGTGGACAATTTGAATGATTAAATTAATCTCTGGTAATATCTTCCAAGTTGGATTATGTTGAATTGATTAAATTGCAGGTAAAATAATATAAATTAAAAAAAAAAAGTTCAGGAAGGATATGTGCGCTACTTTAATATGTAAAGGATATATTTTAATAAATTCGATATAAGTAATTTGCATTTCTATCTAATAATTTTCTATATTCCTTAAACTGAATGTGAAAATGCAAGTAAATAATTATTCTGAAGAAAATGTTTGAATTATAAACAAAAAAACGACAAGAATTTTAACTATTCATTTATAAACGATTTATGAGAGAAGAGTTCATCACATGATGACTGATCAAATTGAAACTCATTTTCTGCCTCGTTGAAGAATTCATTTGTGACACAACGTAAATTCATTTGGTTTTCAAATTTCTCCTAAAAAATTGAATTGAGAATTGAGAAAGTAGCAAGAAAGTAGAAAATAAAAATTAAAAAATTTACTTGAGCAGTAAAATTGCGCACGAATATTGGACGTATAAAAAGCTCATTAAATCGAGATGCAAAATTATTTGATTTAACTGATGGACGTCGCGTTGCAATAATGCAGCTCCCATCTTCTGCAGCTGAAGTCATCTCGGAATGTTCAAGAAGTGCCTAAATTAAACTAAAATGCCTATTTTATGTATTTGAATCAATGAATTGGAAAGAAATTCGATATTACAAATTACCATTTCTTGAGTCTTGCTTAATAACACATGAGATTTGAAGATTTTACGCTTTTCTCGAAATCTTCTAGCACGTCGTTTCTTCTTTGATCGTTCCTGATCAGAGAAAATTTCATCAAGAACCTGAAAAGAAAAGTGCAAATTTAAATAATCAAAATATATTTTCATAATTTTAATTTTAGATATATTTTAAATATATCTAAAAAATTTTAAAAATATGTCTTTCATTAGATTTTTGACTGAAATTTTATGAGTCTAATTATATCTCTTTAATTTTTTAATAGCCTTTTCTTTAACAGCGGAATGGTACTGGACTAATCCAACTAAATACTTTCAAAAGTGGAAGAGCTGATCCGCCAAGAAATACGACAGTGAATAAAACAATAAATAAAGTGGTTGTTAAAAGAATTCGCTTCGTCAAATCATCTTCGATCGATATATGTAATGCAAGGGCAAATGCAACAGCGCCACGCATTCCTTTGAAATATTTAAAATAATCATTATAAAGTAATCCCAAAACAGTATCCCTGAAGGACTAAAACTAGACTAAAATCCCAAAATGATGCAAATATATTGCCAATTTCTTAGAATATAAAATAATTTTAAGCAAAAAGTCAGCCATGAAAAATTAAATGATTTAAAAATTCCATTAAACCAAGAACTTATAAAAGCAACTAACCACTGAACCACATTATGAACTGATTCTTTTTTGATATTTGTGTTTCGCGACATTTGTTTACCAAGTAAGAAAGAGGAAAAACATTAAATGCTCGACTTATTATACAGAGAAGCTGAAAAAAATTTAATTAATTTCCAAAGAATATTAAGAATGTTACGAAAAAATATTTTTTAAAAAATCATCTAAATCGGAGAGTAAAAGAAACATCCTGTTCGAAATGAAAGATGAGGTGTAACACAATCGTTTCTAATTTGACTGGCTCTGCTGGTTATTCGGATTTCTTTGCCAAATAGGAACTTTAGGATAGAAGTATAATGAATCCACAACATCAGTTTTCTCAATAACTTTGAAGAAAAATGTGTAATATAAAAGTGAAAGTGAAAGTAAAAGTGAAAGTTATAAGTAAAAAATAGTTTTGACAAATAAAACGAGACTTACAATGCTCCAAAAAATAAACATAGGCTCAAATTCAAGTGTAATGGTAAATAAAGCCATACCAAGATAAGCAAACGTGCATGTTTCTGAAACAATAAATGCCCGAAAAAAGCAAAAAAAATAAGAATAATAAAATAGGCAAAAAAAATGAAATTAAAAAAAACTAAAATTAAAACTAAAGTTTACAAAGACAAAAAATTTGTATTTCCTAGATTTCACAATTTCAAGAGGAACAGATTTCAAGAGGTATATTTTCAAAAAAATTAAGCAGAAATAATCTGATATATTAATTAGGAATTGAATTACCAGCAACGAATGATAATGCTCTTAGCGTTTGTTTCATAGTAATTTGCGTTATTGGAGAGATATTGAAATGCGTATACTGCGACATCGTTATAGAGCAAAATAATATCGCCATAATTCCTAAATTAATGATATTACGAAGTCGAAGTCGATGATCATCGCAAAGAATAAGTAATCCGTTCTAAAAAAAAAATAATTCGAAAAAAATAGAAGAAAAAAGTTAATGAACTCCATACCAGAGAGTGATATAGTTTCAGCCAATCCATAAGGAAGATAAGCGAACACAAGAAGTAAAGCGAATTCTAAAGCAGGAGTTTTTCGAAGGTCGATATACTTGAAAAGCTGAAAACTATCGATAGAAAATTAATTCGCTATAAAAATTAATAGAAAAGATTTTAACTTACTTTTGACTTATTTTAAAGAATTAAAATTTTTTATTTACATACAATTACATAGAAACTTGGGGGGAAAAATGGTGCAGTGGGTTCTTGCTCAATTGGGAGCGCCGATGCTGAGGTTCGATTCCCTGCAGGATTCCCTGCACAAAAAACTGGGTGATGCTGGCGAATTACCTGTACTATCGTCAAGAGATTCCTTGATCCAATGTGACAAGCCAGTGGAGTTTAACCAGTAATGGTAAGGACTTTAAAAAAAAAACATATAGAATAGAAACTTACAATTTCTAATTAAAATTTCTAGAATGATTTAAATCATAAACGAAATCTCACGGTTTTTAAAATAATAGGTAAGAAACCTATAAGGTAAAAGAAATAGCATAGAAGAGAAAAAATGTAAGGTAATGTAATTGAACCACTAATTCGGCAATATTTTGAAAGAAAACAATGAAAAAATAAATACAAACTAAGGCAGAAAAAAATCCAACAATAGCACCAACGAGTGCAGATACGATGAAAACGTAAGTGAATCTATATAAAGCAGCAAGAAGAGTTTCGCCCGCTGTTTTGGCAAAAGGATCTGGCTGCTGAACTATTTCCAGCGCCGTTGAAGTAAGCACAATCGATACCGCATCATTCAGCATAGATTCACCGAAAACAAGCATATACAATAATGGTTCAACCTAAAACAAAACGATCAACAAGAGAAAAGCAATTTATAAGAATGAATGGAAAAAATGAAATAAGAAGGCTGTAAAACTTTATCACATTGAGCGCTTGAAATATTGCAAGTGTAGCAACTGGATCCACAGCAGATATTAAGGATCCAAAAATAAAACATTCAACAAAGTTGAGAGGATAAATAAGATCGGCCTGCAACTAATTAATTAAATCTCTACTCTACTTCTCTACTTCTTTCATCCGTTTAAATGAATTTTAGACAGGCAGTTAATCAAACTATTAAAAAACCATTAAAAAATACCAGAAGAAATCTCAGAAAAAGAATATTTTATTGAGACATGAAAAATCAAGAATGTTGAATAGATTTATTTGAATAGATTTATTGAAAAAAGAATTTTTTTTACCTGACCGAGAATATACAATGAACATGCAATAGTAAAAGCAGATATTGTTGTTCCAATAATTGAAAAAGTAAGAATGGGAAACATGTTTGCGAAAAAATCACCCTAAAACAACTGAAAAAATTTCATATGGCAGATCTTTTAATTATATAATGCTTTCTTAGTTATTTTTTATCGATGGGCCTAATTTTTTAAAAACGATAAAAAAAGTGACGAAAATTATAAATGTAAATATAATGAAGAATTGTATAATAATTATTTTTACAAGAACTTCACGAATATCAACATTTTTTATTAGAAATTTCAAAACATAGCTAATACATTTCGAAATTCATTTCGGAAAAAAAGACAATCGAACATTTTCCTCTTCAACCAGCGCTAACCATTATAGATTTAATCGACTTTGTTCATTGTTAGTCCTCACTAGAAGCCATTAGTTATCAAGAAAGTGCACTCATTTATTCGAAAAGAACCAACCTTATGCAAATTGTAACCACTTTCAAAAATAATTGGCGGAAGAAGAACGAGAAAAAAGATATTCGGACTAAATGATTCTACTTCGCTCCAATCACGTTTACTGTATGATAAAACGAGACTGATAAAGGCACCTGAAATTAAATAAAATTAAATAATTATAGTAGTTTATTCTATTGAAAATTCATTTTTTAAAATTTATTTTAAGTAAATAATATAGTAAACAGACGATTCATCCTTCTTGCGTCATTTTTGATAAAAATCTATTTGACGCGATAACTGCAAAAATGAAAAAATATTTTCATTCAGTTTCAAATAAAAGAACTTTACCGAGCATAACGATTGCAAGACTTTCAGGAATGTAATAAAATTTTGTAATAATAAGTATATGAACAAGAAGAATTGCAACAACAATAACGAGTAATATAAAGAATATTGCCTAAAGAAGAAATTGGAAATATTTAAATGATATTTATTAATTTAATAAACAAAAAGTAATGAAAATTTAAGAAAACTATGAAGAATAAGCTCATAAATTTTTTGAAATTGAAATTTTATATGAATTATTTTATGACCGCAAACCTCTTATTTTATAAATTAGCATTGGATTAACATTGTTTTTATCATTCTTTGTACTTAGAACGACAAACTTTCTTGAATAGTATCTTTCTGTGGTCATAAAATAATTCAAATAAGGCTCCACAAATTACGGAATCGAAAATCAGGCAGGCATATATTTGCTTGAAATAAGTTTTGCAAAAATTCATACAAACGAGCTCCTCTTTTCCTGAGTTTCAGCTTCTGATCCACGATGTTGAATCAGCGGTATTTTTGTTGTTTCATTTTCGAAACTTAATTAAAAATATACTCGTAAAGTAAGCAAGTGAGTGAATAACTAAGCAAAAATGTGCGATTAACTTCTTTTTCATACATTTAATCTGTCAATGATTAAAATAATTTGCCTTTAAACCAAATTTGAATGATTGCTGCTCACATAATCGTATCGAAAAGCATCTATTCGTTATCTAATCTTACGATATTCTAAAAAATCGCAAATTCTCGAATCGTAAAAACAAAAAAAGAAGGAACCCATCATTCATCGACGAATTAATCGCTCTTATAAACTCGGAATTTGATCGATTTTCGATGGAAATAGTATAACTCGTAAAAGAAGAAAATATTAACCAATAAACACACATTTTTACTAATAATTCATTCACGAAGAACCCCGATTTTCCACCGATTCCAAATCTCTGAAAAAAAGGTGATTTTAAATCACTGAATTTTGTGGCAGAAATTATGCTTCCGTTTTTTAAAACCTTATTTCGCCACTGTAAAATATCGCATCCTTGTCATAAGATCTTGTATTTGTTATAAACAAGATTCTCGTCTTTAATAATAATAGAATATTTGTCTAAAAATAGTAACATATTCGTTTGGTACCATATTATTAATACATACTATTTCGCTAAATGTATAAACTCTGAAACAAGTAATTACAACAACACAGAGCAAAGACTTATGGTCGAGGCCATCGGTGCTTTCGACCGACTGCCTTGTTTTGAGTTATTATGCAGATATAAGGTATGTTATGAAGTGGCATTTGTCAATGTTTCGTTGCTGTGGAACGCAACAAACTTATCAAAGTAAGTTTCCTTCCGAATAACATTCAACGTCTATGGTTTGGCTGAAACTGTTAGTAAAGTCCGTCCGTTTTATTAAAGTCTGTCCGTTGTCGGATCAGACAGGTTTTGCCAGTAAACCAATTGTAGGCGAAAATGAGATGGCAGCGGCACTCGGCTTTTTTGATCGCCAGACAAGAAGGCAAAAAGGCAAAAGGGGCACTCGCAGGATTCAGCACCAGCTTTAGCGGAATCGAGAGGGGCATCGAAATGAGAATTTCTCGCCTCACCTCAGCCGAAACGACAAACGACTGATGCACTGCGGCTCGATTATTTAACGATAATTTGAGAAACTCAGATGCAGTTAATTAAATTAATGCACAACCACCTTATTTCTGAAAACGAATGAACAGTATGCAATTGTTCATACGCAATTTACATCCAATTAAGACAAATCGGTTGAAACGTTTTAAACTTAGAAATTTCAGTGAAATGACGACAACTGACCGCGTGACTCACGCACTTCACGCAATGCGTGGCCCAAACACGAAAACCACAATGAATTTCCTAGTAGTCAACGCAGTGAAGCAAACCAATTCCTGGACGGCTTTCGGGGTTCCAAACAGTGGAAGCCGACAGCTAGAAGTCCCAAGTCTAAATGTCGGATGCTGCGTGAAAAGGGGGATTCGAGACAGTTTGGCGTGGTTTTTTCCCGATAGAAATTAAGCAGATTTTATCATTTTTTATTATGATTAATGAAGATCGTTTTGGATATTCGATTGAAAACCAAGGAAAATGGAGTGCGGAATAATATTGCACTAATTTAAATTAATGGGGAAAATGCGATTGGCACTGACGAATCAGATTAATGGGCGAAAGCCAATGAGAAATAGCGTTTGAGTGGCGTATTTGTGGCGTAGCGATGTCGAGCATAGCGATTCGGTGGTTGGTTTCTGGTGTTGGTTTCTAGCTGCGGTCCAGAAATCCAGTTGGTGCCGTCGTGTGGTTCCGCACTCCGTCTGCCCTCTGCAGAATTGCCTCACCTCACTGATGGCTAGTGAAATGATTCCAATTAGAATTAGTAGTGTGGTTATTGAGAGCTCGTTTTCCTTCTCTTTTGTTTAAGTTTTAGGTTTGACTCCTTCGGAGGTTTTTTTTTTTTTTTTTTTGGGAGTCCTCACCATTACTGGTTAAACCCTCTCCGCTGGCTTGTCGTACTGGACAAATATGCCAGGAGTCCTTCGGCGATAGAAATACAGTGAGTTGCCAGTACCACCTGGATTCATAGGTTAGTGTTTTTAGAGTTATTAATTTCACCCTCATCCTGCCAGTTTGAAATTTTCCACGACCGCGAAATTATGTTTTACGCGTTTCAGCCAATTAATAAAGCATTACTTACAATTCGAGAAACAGTCTAACGCATACTAAGTCGTTTTTTCTATTTTTTTGCAATAAAAAATACTCGATTTCTTTGCACTTTTCCTTTCATTGTTCTTAGAAATTCTTTTCGCTTTGGCCAAGTTATTCGGTATTTTATATTTTTCGATAACTCTGCAGTTATAACTGATTATCATACTTCTGACATTTATCACGACTTTAGATGTATGAAACTTCTAAAAAGTTGTGTTTCTCCTGGCTGCAACTTTCAGGAGACTGATAACTAACTTATACGATTTTATTTCAGCTTATAAATTCTATGGTCTATATTTTCACCAACAGTGTTAAGTTTAAAGGTGGAATATAAAAAAATGGGTGTGCCGGCTTTTTTCCGTTGGTTAACCAGGAAATATCCCTCTATAATTGTTAATGCTGTTGAAGAGAAGAAACGTGAAATTGATGGAACTGTTTTACCAGTTAAGACGATGGAACCAAATCCGAACTTTCAAGAATTTGATAATCTTTATTTGGACATGAATGGTATAATTCATCCATGTACGCATCCGGAAGATCGTCCGGCGCCGAAAACAGAAAATGAAATGTTTGCTCTTATTTTTGAATACATTGATCGATTATTCGCAATCGTACGTCCACGACGTTTGCTTTATATGGCAATTGATGGTGTTGCACCTCGAGCGAAAATGAATCAACAAAGAAGTCGACGATTTCGTGCAGCAAAAGATGCCTCTGAGAAAGAAGCGCAAATCGAAGAAGTACGTAAGGCTTTAGAAACTGAAGGTTTTCCATTACCTCCAAAGAAGACGAACGAAGAGCGTTTTGACAGTAATTGTATTACACCTGGCACTCCATTTATGTCAAGGTTATTGTTATTTTCAAAACTTATCCGTCTTTTCTTAACTTTATAACATTTTTCAAGCAACAAATAGGATTTGAAGATGTAAATTGCCAAGGATGCTATCATTAAACAGTTATGCTATTTAAAAAAAATTGGAAATAGATATCGGCTTTTTCTCAGTGGTGAGCTTGAAATTATAATAATTATCGAATTTCCCCCTTTGCTTCCTTTTGTCATTTTTTCGCTTTTTTGAAACAATTTCTGTTTTATTCCATATACACTGTGGGCATCTGCGGTTTTATAACTCGTTGTCTTCGTATTTCCTTTAAAATTTCTTTGCCAGATAATGAGAATCCCAATAAAAGAATATATGAATTTTTTACTGTTTAACATGGGATGAAATAAACATACCAGTTTATCAGTAAAGGAACTGTTCTTGGTTTTAAATACCAATCGCAGCAGCCCTTTTAAGATTTTAAAGAAAATCAAAAAAAAAGTAAGTTTTTTTTGCATTGTATGTGGTAAAATTCGCGAAAGTAATAGAAACTTTTTTTGCCAGGGAATGCTTTACAGATTACAAAATATGATTGCGGAATATTTCAGTTGAAATAGTCTAAAAACAAATGTTTTTTCTCGAATAATTTTTATTGAGAAGGAATGCATTTATGTTTAAATATTACGAAAGAAGTTAAAAATTTTTAATAAAGTTTGATTCACCTTCCACAAAATAGTATATTATAAATAAATATATTATAAATAATACATAAAATAATAATATAATATAATAATATATTATATATTTTTTTTAGGAATATTCCGAAATATTATTTTAAAATATAATTTAGAAATATTATTTTAAAATATAATTTATAGAAAATATAAAATATTTTGTAGAAATTATGGAAATTCACTTCCATTATTTTCTCTAGATTATTCGTTTGTTTAATGATTTATAGTAATCTTTTGTTGTCTATAATTATAGAAAAGCACCTGATGTTTTAGCAGTTTTTGAATTAAAATTTTTTTCCAGACTTGCTGATGCTTTACGTTATTACATCTATTTGCGATTAAACAGTGATCCTGCTTGGTCCAATATCATGGTTTTTTTTTACTATAAAGTAGTTTAGTGTTAATTAATTTCTATTCTATTAGTAATAATGCAGTGAAGAAAGAAAGAAAGTTTTATTCAAATCTAATACTTGAAAGAAAGAAAGTTTTTATTCAAATCTAATTTTTTTATTTTAAGAGCATCTGAGGATTATGGGGTCAAGATCAGATGAAAAAGTGCGGATTTGGTGCAAAAATTATTTGAGGAAAAAATAAATGTAAAGAAGCGCAATATGATGGATGATAATAAATGATTGATTTTAGTTTTATTAATTGATTGTAGGTAATTCTGTCAGATGCAAATGTTCCTGGCGAAGGCGAACACAAAATTATGGATTACATTCGAAGACAACGAGCATCTTCAACGCACGATCCGAATACCGCACATTGCTTGTGTGGTGCAGATGCAGATTTAATTATGTTGGGGCTGGCTACTCATGAGCCAAATTTTACCATTATTCGGGAAGAATTTGTGACTAATCAGCCACGTCCCTGTGAAATTTGTGGTCAGTATGGTCATATCTTGATGGACTGTAGGGGATTAATTCAACAAGAAATACCTGATTATCAGTGTACACCATTACAGAAGGAGACAAATTTTATATTCATTCGTCTTCCTATTTTGAGAGAATATCTCGAGAAAGATTTGCAAATATCTAATTCGCCAGTAGCCTTTGACCTCGAAAGAGCAATCGATGATTGGGTTTTTATGTGTTTTTTCGTCGGGAATGATTTCCTACCTCATTTACCTTCTCTCGAAATTCGAGAAAATGCAATTGATCGTCTTATTAAGCTTTATAAAGATATGATCCATGAGACGAGGGGATATTTGACTAATGCTGGTGAAGTAAACATGGAGCGAGTTCAGATTATCCTGGATAATCTTGGTGCAGTCGAGGATGAAATATTTAAAACAAGACAGGTAATTTTAAAGGAACTGGATCAGCTAATCATTTGTTGATATTTGTCAAATTTCACATTGCCATTTCAGACAAGGGAAATAGAAATGAGGAGAAATAAAATGATAAGAAATGAGAAACGAAGTACAAATGTTCTAGCTTATGTTCCTTCTAGTGGTTCTTTAATCACTCCAGAGCCAGGTGTTCCATTATCATTTAACGGTTGTGATACGCGTTTAATGGCTCGTGATTCGCGAATGCAGGTATTTGTTCACTTCAACGAGTGTAATTAATTTGATTTGGTTGCTTACCAAATTAGTTTAAAAATGTGGATAATTTAAAATTTGCCAGAAAAAATTTTTTAGGCTCTGAATTATCAGCTTCATTCCCAATCTGAAAAAAAGAAGATGGATTGCAAGAGGAAAATGGTTCGTTAGTAAATTTTAAAATTCCAAGTCAAGAATCTTTTCATTCTCTCTTGTTTTTGTCAGATTTTCTTACATATTCAGGAATATGATTCTGATTCTGATGAACCATACGATGAAGTTCGTTTATGGGAGAGTGGATGGAAGGAACGTTATTATCGATCTAAATTTCAAGTAGACGGAAACGATCTTGGATTTCGTAAAAAAATTGCTTGGGCATATGCCACTGGTCTTTGTTGGGTTTTGAAATATTATTACCAGGTTCATTATAATTCGGTTTCTATTTTTTTGAAATCATTTTTTTTCAATAGCAAAATTTTCTTTAGGGATGTGCAAGTTGGGATTGGTATTTTCCTTATCATTACGCTCCTTTTGCATCTGATTTTGATTTAATAACACAGTTTAAAGTTGACTTTGATAAACCAACGCAACCTTTTAAACCGCTGGAACAACTTATGGCTGTTTTTCCAGCTGCAAGTCGGTACGTTTAATTTGATGTTCATTTCTATATTTCCTTTTTTTTCCCTGTAAATTGGATTGGCAATGTTTAGATCTCATTTGCCAGAGTCTTGGCAACATCTTATGGTCGATCCTGAATCTCCAATAATTGATTTTTATCCTGATGATTTCGTAATTGACTTGAATGGAAAAAAATTTGCTTGGCAAGGCGTTGCATTATTGCCATTTGTTGATGAAAAACGTCTCTTGGAAACTTTGAAAGAAGTTGGCTATTTTTTAATTAGGGCTTCAAAGCATTTAGCTTTGTTCACAAACAGAATTTCTCGGTGTAATATATTATGTCATTGAAAGGATAGGTAGAAAAAAATAAATTAATATTTCAAATTAATATTTATTCCTCGTCATACAGGGCTTATTTTGTTATTGATTGGTATAAGTGATGTTCGGGCGATGTCTGTGGTGTGGTTTGCTAAAATATCAGTATCTCTAATTTCAGGAATTAGCATAGAAAAAGCACTTCTAGTGGTTGGGTGAATTAGCAGCCTTCACATTTAGTTTTGATTGAAGTCAAATTCTAATTAGGGAATTAGCAAAATAAGCAAATCAAAATCCGCATACCAATAGAGGATTAAACGAAACTGGAATTTCTTTTTGGTAGAAATTATTCTCTTTTTTAGGTTGAAAATGCGCTTGATGATTGTGAAAAAACACGAAATTCGCGAGGTTCAGATCGCCTCTTTGTTGGTTCCAAACATCCATTATGCAAATTCTTGGAAGAAATGTACAGTTCAGTTGATTCGGGTGCGTAAAGTTATCAACTAAGAATTTAAATTTAACTGATCCATTTATATCTAGTAAAATATTTTCTATTAGATAACAGTTTTATCCAAATTGACACACTGCTAACACTGGGTGTGGATTTAAATGTGGCACCAGATCCAGATGGTTGCCTGCTTGGTGAATCATATCTATCTCCAGTTCCATTTGAACAATTCGGTGATATAAAGGTTAAGGTTTTACATGTTTCAGAATTTTCTTTTTAATTCCTTATAGTCTGTTCGATATTATCGCAATTTTTGAAATTTATGTCGTGCGCCGTATGTTGTGTATTTAGCCAAACCGTGCGTTAATGGTGATTTGTCAAGATCCTCAATTCGAAAAGGGCAAAATATTCTCAGCAAATCGTCTTCCTGGGGCGGTAGATTTGCCTCGAACGTTGAAGCCAGAAGATTGGAACAACAGAATTGTTTGTTTCAATTTTTCAATTTTATTTCCTTAACCATTCATTAAAATTTTAATGCTTTAAGCTAATGAAAGTATTTTTAGCCATATCGGCCTCAAATTGGATTTTCACGCAATGTTCCTCGTGCGTTTTTGGGCGAACCAGGGCACAGAATGCTTGTTCATGAAACAAAACGTTTTCATGCTCATGTAAGAAATGTACAGGCATACAGACCACGGTGGCAGAGCACATATGTTGGCTCTGGAGATGTTTATCGTTTTAATTCTTCCAGCCTAGATCCTTATTGGTATTATATTAATTTGTCACTTTGATTCTTCCAGCTCTTGCATTAATTTATTCTCCAGCTGAGGCTCTTCTCAATATTGATAATTTAAAGATGTTGCTCTGCCAACATGATTTATTCAAACTTGTGTTGAAGCAGATTTTTCTTTAATTTTATTTTAGTCCTTGTGTTTTGTTTAATTATGTCTTTACTCATTTATATCTTTCAGGCAGAGTTGTCCTCGTGTAGAAATGCATCGTTTCAGATCATTCGAGGGTTTTTATCCTCAATCATCTTCACTATTTCATGAGGAAGGGCCACGTTCCAATGTCCGACCTAGAAGGCCTCAGTTTTTTCAGCGCAATTGATTTATATCTTTTGCATCTTCCACTGGTAATCCATCTGGTAATCTCCATATCGATTTTTGTATAGAATATTTTTGTTATTTAAATGCAGCTAGATTTGAAAAGTTTATATTATCCGCTACTTTTGAAAAAAACTTTTTCGAAAATGTTCGAAAAATCTTGCCTGAATTTTCATCGGTCAAACCTTTTCGTATCTTTGATTTTTGTCTTTGGGATCTTTTTCTTTTTTGTGAAAAAAATTGAGATGGTAGAGTGACATCTGCCGATTCCAGCCGATTTGAATGATTGAGTGCTGCTGACAGCTCGATTTGCATTTGGTATCGAAATAGAAAATTCAGAAAACTCCAGAGATTCCAAAAAGAGATTTCAAAATTGTTTTAAAATTATTTCATTGTTCGTATTGTGTTCTGCAAAAGGCAAGCCATCTTTGGCAATTAGAAATAAAGTCGAGGTAATGGTGCTTAACCAGTTTTTCATTGACGCTTAATAAGTCAAATTTAGTGGGTATGATAAGTGCTATTGGGAGGACGAGAAAGTTTTTTTTGGCAGATTGATGGAATTTATTTTTTTTTGCGAATTGTATCAAATTGATTTATGTAGGTTTGAAGGGAGGAATGATCTGGTAAATCTTTGAATATTTATATGTGAAAGGAATGAAAATTCCATAAGTTGATGAAAGTTAATTTGGGGCTTGATTCACTTCGATCTTGTGTAATATGGTCATCGACACCTTAAGTTATTCGTTGTTCCAAGGTAAAGAATGGTTTTTATTATTCAACATTGCTTTTTTTCTGTTAAAACAATAATTTCATAAAATTGCTTTCCTAAAAGGAGTTGGTATAGCAGTTTTCGTCCACTGTATTATTTTTTGTTTTGTTTTAAGGTACTATATTATTTTTTATTATAAAACGAAATGTGCATAATTTATATGGGTGAATGTCTAGTAATAGTTGGCAAACTGGCAAAGCTCAATAGATTAAATAGATTTAAAGGAAAATGCCGGTTCGTGATGGTGTTTCAATAATGTAGAGAAAATTATGGATGGAATGGTTCATATAAAACTGATTTCCTTAAAATTAAATTTGAGGTACAGAATTGTTAACGAGACTACTCTAATGGGTAATATATTTATCATGTAAAATTTTGTAATAATAATCTTTAACTCTGAAATTCGCGAATTTTCGGTTGAAGCGAGTGGTAACTCGGAGGTGGCCATGTTAATTAAGGGATAATCGAATCATCTGAATATTTGAACACTGCTTGCTTTGCTAATCAAAATATTTGATGGTGAAATAAATGATTGGTGTTATTTTTACCAAAATCGAGGATATTAGAACAATTTTAACGAATGGACTCGATTGTCGCGGAATGTGGAAACTGTGCTCGATGCGGAGCGGAGAACCTCAGCAGAACCATAAATATTTTAAACATTTCCTTCCGTTGACACTATTAATAAGTTAGGTTGTGGTCAAAATTCGCTGCTTCTAATTTATAGGTGGGAAAATTAATGAATCAGGGATGCATTTGCGACACTAATTCAACTACACTTGCGCGTGAGTTATTTATTTCTGGAATTACTTTAAAGCTTATTTTAAAAATAAGCAGTAAATAAACTACCTTGAACGTCTTGCAAGAAATACCCTAGTGGTTTTCCCGCACGAATGAAAAAGTGTTTTGAAAAATGAAAGTAGACCTAGTGCCCTGAAATAAAAGGTTTAAAATATTGAGAGGATGAGCCTACCAGATCGGCGTTGATAAAGATCTTTTCGTTGCTCCCTGGTCTTCGTATACTAATACAACAAGCGATTCCTTCTCGAATAAGTCTCACCGTAGTAATCAGTGGAGGCAGCCAAATTAGAAATGATAAGGGTAAAACTCATGGCTGTATTTATTAGCGAGTAAATATAAATTTTCGTGAAGGGATTTAAAACATTTTATCGAAATGAAGATTTTAGAATATATGCAAAAAGCAAATATTTTATATCCAAATATACCATTTTCCAAGAATTTTTTCGCTTGGTTTTCCAATTAAATCTCACTTTCAAATGATTTTCGTGACAAAATAAGATAAAAGAAGGCATGGAAAATGGTCCAAAAATACCAGTTAAAGGAAAGACTCAGTATTCATTTCTAAAGCAAATAAGGTTGTAATAACATAAACACATTGAAGATCAAAAAGGTGTACGCAAAGATTTCCAGTGTCTTAAGTTAAAAAAAAAATGTAAATTAAAAATTTTCTTAATTCTTCTCAATTCTTCTAAAATCAAATCTTCTAAATTCGTGGTTCGAGCCATAAAAATGAATAATTTACATCGTCATGAAAGCACAGAGTAAATGAATCATAATTTGAGAACTTTAATTGAGCCTAGGGTGGACCCACTTTTTTCTTCGCCAGAATCTTGTGAGGTATCGGAATTATCCTGATTCGGTTTTTCGATAAATGAAGGTACAAGATTGCCCTTTTCTGTTTCCTTTTTCAACTCTCCGACATCATCTGGACATTTTAAACGCATAAATTCCTCTTCAAGTGATGCAACATGTCGCTAAACAATTTATAAAACTATTAACGTAGAAAATATAAAAAATAAACTAAGAGAACTAAGAGAAATGGCAATTTCTTTATTTTAATAAAATGTGACGAGAATAATAGAGGAAAAATTTCAAAAAAAGTGAAAGCTAAATTAACCTTCAACGAAGACAAATGGACCTTAAGACATCTGTTTGCATTGTTTCGTACATGTTCGTCTTCCAGTTCAGCTTCAGTTTCTTTAATCCAAGTATTCACCTCAAATTATTTTATTGCATGTGAATTATAGGAACCAGAATGGCTCAGTGGGTTATTGCTCTCACTCCAAAGCACCGACATTGCGGACCTATCCCCCATAGGAGAACCTGTCCTGTAAACAATCGAGTGGTGCTTGCAACCCACCTGTATATCAATTCTAATTTGTCAAGTCCGGTAAATCAGTAAATTTAAAAAGATTTGACTCTACCTGTTCAACAATTTCGTGGCGTTTCAACCAAAAGTGCTTCTTTATAACATCTATAAATGCTACTGAAGGATTTCGCATCATTTCTAACATTGCCCATCTGACGGTTGCTTGACGTACATTTGCATTATACTCTCGAGAAGCCTATTAATAGATCAAATGATGTTTAAATTTATAGATTATAGAATTTGAAGGAATTATTCTTAGTTAAATAATAAAGAGCCATGAAAAATTTCATGCCTGCTGGCCAGTTTGGGTACATCTTGATCGTTCATATCCTGGTTCATTGAAATAAGGATCAGAGACAAGTATCAATGACTGTATACTAACAATAACCTGTGAATTAAATTGTGAGAGCTTCAATTATTAAATTCATAGCATTTGCACAACAAACTTTTTGAACCTTTTACCTGCAATAAGTTACTTGTTTCTGGATTCCAACGCTCCTCAGGGCGTCCATGCCATGTATTCAAGACTGACAAACAAACCTTACCATCGTTATACAAATTAGGATTGAATCGCACCTTAACAATTTTTTCCTCATATTTGAAGAAACTTTGAATAATTATAATAATAATAATTCGCAATAAGACAGATAAAATAAATAAATACTAACAGTATTGTTGCCTGTAGTCTCTAAATTAATATGCACAGGCGAATTAGGGTAATCACAAGGAAACCAAACATCAAATTCAAAACATCCATTCATATATGGAGTATCTGCTGGTCCTGTGATCAAAACCTAAACGCAAATAAAAATTTATAACGTTTGCGGTTGAACGAATATAGCAGTGGTCAGTACATCCTATCCTTTTGGCTAACTATATTACGATGATTGGTGATGGCATGGAATTTTCGCCAGGGATACAAGTAATTTGAATAGGATATTAAAGGCCGAAATCATGAACCGAGAAATAACATTTAAGCAATTTCACTTTCTTGAATTCTGAAAAGCAAAGAATTTTCAGTAATACAAAAATAACCTTAACAACGTCCAGCCTTTCCTCAGCTGACCGAACAAAAACACAGCTGCTGCTGCTTAAAGGTAATGAGTTGCTTAAGGTTACGAATTCCTGAGCAAGACGACGTGTTCGCAGATTTAAAGCGTTATCAACACTCACAGTTTGCAATGAACTATGATAATGATAAGGTACCAAATGATCTTCAGCGAAGAACGGAACTGTATCTTAAAAAATCTTTTTCAATAAACATTGGCAACAAATGAGAAATTTGAATATGAAACGAACCAAATTGAATTGAACGCATAATTTTAATGTACTGTTCTTCGATGGTTGTGATTTTATTTTCTGCACCATCAACTTCTTTTGAATCATCAACCAGTTCTTCAAAAGAAATAAATTAAAACGAATATATTTTTATTTATAGTTTATTTTATTATTTAATAACAACTTTATTCAAGAATATAAAACAACGTTAAAAATCAGAACCAAAAACCTAAATCTGAAAAATTTGGTATAAGCTTGATGGTAACAGATAAATCCTTGAAAAATTATCGTCAGACAAATGATAAAATCAATTGGATGAAAATCATGCCAATGATATTCAAGCTTACTGGACACAGAATTTGAACCCCTCTAACAACTTTCATAAGAAAAATTGCCCCAAACTAAGAAAACATTTCAACCTTAGTTCAGCATTATCTGTGTACACTGTTTTGGACGGAAATTAAATCCACCCTATCCATTCATAATGAAGTGATCCTGCTAAATGCAACTGAACATTTTTATGGTAACGAAAAGAAAAGAATTGAAAAGAATAGTTTACTTTGTGAGATGAGATCACAAGTGCTTTGGGCAGTTGTTGCTAAAGCAATAAGTTTTTCTTCACTGCATTTCAATACTGAATTGTCATTATTACAGTTTTCATCCACGTCCGTCAATTTTGTCTGTCTGAAAAAAAATTTATTTTTATTCAGAGATAACAATTAAATAATGTAAAATACAATTAGCAATTACTTTTAAAATTTTTCTATGTCCACTTTCATAATAATCAATATATTATTTTCATATTTTCATAATAAATAATATAAATAAGTTATGGCTGAATTAAAATAAGAATATATAATAAAAATAATGAAGCAACGAAGAAAAAAATAACTTTAAATTTTTCCCGCTTGATAGTCGGTTAAGGTAAGTAGAAATACAAGCCTGAAGTTGTTTAAGCATAGAATGCAAAGAAAGATTACAGCCTGACTTCGACAACAAGGCACTCAGAATATTACTATTAGCGTTATCAACAATTACGGGAGCTACAGCCAATGCTCCCACTAGATCAACAACTGCTTGGTATACTTCTACATGCCGAGAAATATCCAATACTAAAAATATATCGTTAAATATATCACTGCTTTTAAATATATCAATTAATATATTTATATCAAAATATAAATATATTAAATATATCAAAACACTTTTTTTGAAATCCCCGAAATCAAAATTTTGTGTATTTAAATCATAAATTTTACATCCCTCACTTTAAAAAATCCCTCACTTTTTTCTTCCTTTTTTTTCAGAATTCTGTTGGTAATTTAATCATCGCTTTTAAGCCTAACAAAACTATAACTATTAATATTAAAAAAATTAATAAAATAATATCACATTCCAACACTGTTAATGCCTATTATGAGAAATATATCGAAAAAAATTACCAGAATCATTTCTGAGGTATGCAAATAAAGTTGCTAGAAGACATGACTGAGAAAGGAGGTCAACAATCACTCCATCTGCCACCCACCCACTGCTACCATTTATTTCAAAACCAACTTCAGGTTCTAAAAAAAAACAAAAAATTAAGAAAATTGCACGAATAGCGAAATAAATGATTGTTAATGTAAATATGACAAATTACGAAACTGTTATCAACCCACCATCATTTATTCGTGAAAGAGATGGTTTATCTTCTGTTTCTTGAACATCGATGGCTTGATTCGAGTGAACAAGTGAATTTTTCGGAGGCCTCGGAAATGGATTAACGAATTCCATTAAAACCTGAATGTGAAACAAAATGACAAACAAAGCATGGTCAATGAAAAAAATGTATTTTAAATGTATTCTATCAAGTTTATGCCTAAATGGATAGGAAATATTTACCTTTAAAAGAAGAGTAACTGTATTCTCATCAAATTTACGTCTAAGTACATGAAGATCAACATTCCACTGCTGTTGGGTTGTTCCACTCCCAAAACCTGTGCCTTTCGCCCAAAAATTCTGCGACTGCGGATAGGACGTGCCACTTGAAGCAGCACTATAATCAACAATAAATCTGTCTTCATATGGCAGTTGATTCATACTCGTTGACTCCACATTGGCTCCTTCAGTATGCACAGAAGCTTGTAAAAGACGCTCAGTAAGAACAACCTGAAAAGAATGGTTATAGAAGTTCTCACGGTAAATATTTTTAAATATATTATTAAGCTATAATCATCACAAATTCTTCCATTCCTGGAAATAGAGTCAGCCAATGAAAATCCGATGAAGCTATACATTATATATTAGAATTATAAGTATTTTCTGGCAAGTTTAACTTAAACTAAATTCCAAGCAACACCAGCGGATCGGCACCAATATATAAGTAATTTAATAAAAAAAATACCGCATATGGAACAGGTGGCAATTTTTCAGATCGAGCTGAAAAAGATTCCACTTTTTGATGGCCATAATGTGCTAGACAAACAAGCAAAACATCCAAAACACCATATGTAAGAGCCGAATCTCGAATAGATCTGAAATATAAATACTGTGGGGACAAAAATTAGGCAAATTAATTACAATAAATCAAGCGTTACTGAAGAAAAAAATAAAAAACTAAATTGTGATAAAATATTGACTTTCCACGAGAAGTATTGGATGGATGCGAATTAAAAAGCATTTCAAGCACAATTAATGGAAGCAATGCAAGAAAATCAGCATCGGCTCGAGAAATTTTCATGAAATCACATGCATTACTTTTAGGAGCTATTTTCTGATGAACAGTAGTAAAACGAGCGAAACTGCCTAAAAAAATATTTTTCACCAATTTTATTCAAATTATTCAATTTCATTCAAGAATAGAGAAAAGGTAAAAAAAAAAACGAACGATGTTCTGATGTAGAAACTCCCATTGCAAGTCGCAAAAGTCGTTTTGCTCGCTGTCGATCAAAAGTAACAAGTAATTCAGCATAACCCTCTAATCGTAATAAAATACTAAATATAACAACTATATGAGGTGATAAGCCATTCGAAAAACTATTCGGCACTATATTCTGCAGTAATGACCATGCAGGTGGTTTCTGAAAAATTCAAAAATTTAGATCATTTAGATCTTTTTAAAAGAAAATTTTCAAATACATAAACTAATTAATTGATTAATTAGATAAATTATGAATATATGAATAAACAATAAAAGAAGTTATAAGTTATAAAAGAAAACATTACCAGCTCATAAGGCATTCCTTGCGGAAAACTAGCACAGATAGAATTTTTCTGAAGAATGTCTACATTTCCTGGACAGACGGGCATAAAATCCAACTCTCCCTCATAATTCAAATTAACGTCCTCGTTATACCCCATTTGTAAACCGATATCTGATAGCAACGAGTTAGACGCATCATCTATCGGTGGAATTGGCTCATTAGGAATAAAGAACGGATATACATCAGTATTTGCATCGCAATTCATTGGCATCGTTGTGGTATAATTATAAAGTGACTCAGTTTGGTCCATCGATAACTGCATCATAGCTCTAAATTCACCAAGAATTTGTTTCATAAACTTAAATAGCAACGAGTTAGACGCATCGTCTATCTGTATAGAAAAAAATTTCAACTGAAAAACTTCTTTAATATGTTTTTTAAATTCTCCAAAGAATTCTCCAAAAAAATTCTCTAAAGTTTATCGAAAAAAGTAGCAAAAAAAATCAAAAATCATTAATGTTAGAAAATGCTACATTATTTTTGTCCATGCAACTATCAACACGACAAGAATCAATATCAATATCAACCTTACAAAAATCCTTTGAAAAAAACTCACGTAGATTGAAAATTATTGGATTGAAAATTATTTGAAGGATGATAGAGCTGTAAATGTTGGGCTAATATAGATAAGCCACCAGTTCGAGAGAAATATTGTAAGGTAGAAATAGAAGTCGAAGACATGAATTTTTTAAAATCAGCCGTGCATAAAGAAGACCTTACTTCACCTGAATAATTGCAAAATATCATTGCAAATCACCAGGGAAAAAACTGCATATCTTTATCTTTATCTTTTTAACTAAAACAACCTCCTGCAGCTTGTCTGCTAATATTGATTGTTAGCATAAAAAAGCCATCATTGAATTGATCGGTATATGGCAAAACATCTATGAATCCCCACTTATCTTCCAAAAAATGTTTTGTGATATCTGACTGCCAAAGCAAATGCAGCAATTTCAAGCAGTTTTCATCATTGTCTGCAAATTAACGAGTAAAAGATGCAAAAACAAAACAGTGAAAAAAAATTTACCATTTACAAAATTCATTGAAGTGTTCCGTGGTAAATTATCATGCCATTTTTCCTAAAAATATATTTATTTAGCAATTTGGTAAATAGCAATTTCTAAAAACAAATAAAATAAGACATAAAAATAATATAAAAATATTCATTAAAATAAATAACATTGTTTGAAAAAATGTGTTTCGTAAAAATTCGTGTTGAGGCATAAATCAAATCAGAAAATGGCATATAAATCGAAGCAGTTGCAGAACAACTACGATAAGAACAACCAAAAACTGGATGTGATACCCGATCTGTAAACAAATTTGAACAATATCAATGTAACAACCAGAAAAGAATTATTAGTCAAAGAACGGAAAACATGAAATCGTTCGTACCTGAACAGAAACAAAAAATGGCCTACCTTTTGCATTGAATAAATTTTTATTACATAAACTTGCTAGAAGTTTGCTAAGATACAAATTAATTTTAAAATTCTATCTGGATTCCGAAAGTATGAATGAAAAATAAAAGAACTAATCTAATTTATTAATCATCCAGCTTATAAATCTGTTATCTCTTTATGGAAACAAACTTTGTATATCGCCGATAAGATGCCGTGAATGAGTAACGCCGTCAATTATCTTTACGACTATTGTTTCATCATTAAGAACGCATCGAAGTATCATTTGCTGCACAGCGCCATTCAAACCACCAGTCATTTTAAGTAATGAGCATAAAATTCTGCTAATGCGGTATCGATGGAGTTCACTAGACGATGAGCACCTATAATTTTTTTAACAAATAAATATTTTCCAATAAATATTAGAATATTGCAAAAATAAAAAATTCGAAATTTCTATTTTTTCTTACATGAAATTTTAGCCTTTTCGAAAATGGGGAATTTACTTGCAAATCAGATCGATAGTAGCATCTTCCAATTCATGCGACCATTTGATTCGAAATCTAGATAAACTAGGATTTGCTGAACAACGTGCAACGAATGAAATAAGGGAATCAAAAAGCTTGTAACTTTGAGCAGTTTCCAAATATGTAGTTACAGCTTTGATACAGCACAATGAGGATAAACATTTTACAAGAGCTATTAAATCCAACAATCGTGATAAATCATTCTCTGAAAAAAAAGAATGAAAAATTAAAAAAAAATTCATAAAATCGAGAGTTTAAAACGTAAATAGATGAGAAACTTTGTGACATATAAAAGCATTATGAAAACATCCAAGAAATTTTTGAATAAAATAGCATAAAACAAATGCAGTGAGAACATAACTTTTTACCTTCACAAAATCCAATGGCCGTATTTATCCAATTGTCTAACAGCCCATGTGCGATCAATTCTTTAACAACGGTGAATGATTGACACATCCGTCCAACCAACAAGAATGATCTGGCAGATATTTCATCAGTTTCTAAATAAATTGATAAGATTACGTCAAAAAAGTATATATATTTTATTTTATATCCGTCATCACATGTAAAATAAAGAAAATAAAAGTTAGTTTCAAATTAACAAAAAACGAACTTATCGCTTTGATGGATTTCAGAGTCCCCCAAATAAATTGAGGAACTGATCGCATCAAAGAAGTTAAAAGCCAAGAAGCCGATGAAACTAAGAGTTCATCATTATTGCTATTATTGCATGCTATATCACAAAGTTTTCTGCAAAAAAATTTCGCTTATCTTTAAAGCTGAAAACTAAAAAATCCAAAAGAATTTGAAACAACGTTTTACTTTTCAATCAACTTTAACCTTTGTTTAATTTTGATATCATCCAAAGATTTAATTTAAAAAAAATATCTAAAAGTAAAACAAACATATCATATAAAAACTTACGGTATTAATAGCGGAGCCGTTTGTGAACAGACATCAACGGTACTGGAACGCATATTAATATCACATATATTGTTCCAAACAACAGATGCAGCCGACCATAACAGAACACTAATAACCTCCTAGTAAGAAAATAAATGTCTTCCGAAATATGCATTAAATTTGATAAAAATTCAAATAAGTATTCAACAAATGCTATCACCTATCTACACCAATTTACCTATCACCAAATAAAATAAATTATCACCGACAGGTACTGTTAATCATATTTAAACGATGTAGTTAAATTAAATGAAACACGCAGTTAAATGAAAAATGAAATGAAAATGAAATAACTGAAGGATGATTTAGGAAACGCTATGAAAAAAATAACAGCAAATAAAAATAGAAAATACATATGTTGGAACAATTCAAATAACGGTAGAAAAAAAAAATAAAAAATCAAACCTGAGAAATCATCTCTAATTTAGAAGATAGAATTAAATTAACAGAATCAAGAAGTTGACGCTGACGAAGATCACACACTTGATGAGCAACACCGACAGAAAGATTTTGTTTACGATAATTGTTAACGGTACATAACTGATAAAATAAATCAGCCAGCCAATCCAGCACTTGACTCACAACTATCTGGCCCTTGACTAAAAAATCGGAAAATTTAATATCTTTATCGAATTTTTTATAAATTTTTTTTTTGAAGATTTATAAAAAAGTAAAAGATGGAAAATAAAATATACCAATATGATGCAAAAAAATTTCAACAACAGTCAATGGTTTCGCATTTTGATCATCAATATGTACAAAGAATAAACTCATTTGTTCATGCACGCTGGTGTTTACTGATCTTTCAAGAAAAATGTCGGCAAGAATATGAGGTAAATTTGGTGCATAATCCCATACAGTATTCTTGTCATTACAACTTATTATATCCATAATCGCTAGCCATGGTGCCCTAAAAAGTAAGAAAAAAATCTATAAATATCCAATCCAACTGTGCAGTGAGCATCAATAAATTATTAAAAAACTAACACATCAGCACTAATAAAATAAGGGCCACTACGAAGCTGCGATGAATCTGTTCCAAGAATAAGAATCTGGGAAAGACTTAAGCTTGATGAGTCAGAAGCACGGCGCAAATAAATTCGTACCTAAAAAACACTGCAGTCATAAGTGAAAATCGGCGAAGAAATAATAATGAAATCACTAAGACAAAAATAATACCGCATTGACAGGCTGAGTATAAGATAAAGTTGGTATTCGTATCCGGCTTAAACCAAGAGTAGATATTGGCGAACCAATTACTTGCCAATTAGATAAATTTAAATCTGAGCAGAGCTCAATTTGAACAGCGGAAGGAGCACCTGTGAAGCGAAAAAATATTAGAATTTAAAGGTTGAATAGATTTGGAAAAGTTTTGACAAAGGACAAATTCAAATGAGAAAAAAATACTATTTAACGTAGATGCATGAGGGCGAATTTGTATTTCATAAAGAATGATTTGATAAGGAATTGTGATGGTGAAATCGAGCCACTGTTCATTGTTTGAAAAATGGTATGTCCATGTGGGATTTCTACCGCGCCTATTTGATGGCGCACTAGATAAAAGTGATGTTAGCTGTGGAGGCATAAGAAGTGTTGATGTCATAGTACCTGTAATTAAATACTAAATTGATAAATCTCAGTAAATCATTACTAATGCATTCAATCTTCCTATAGCGAAATATAAAATATAAACATATACTGCAAAAAAATAAAGAGAATGTGAAAAAAATAAAGGAATTGAAGAAAGAAATAGAAAATCCCAACAATGTAAAAATGGCATTGAAAAATTTAAAAATATTACATATTGGTGAGTAATTCCATAATCCTTCCACTTTTGCATCGGGTCTTTTAGGTGGAGCAATTATATCGAATCCACCATTAGCGATATGAAGTGACATCGATGCTAATTTCCACATAAGTGGGGTGAATATTGACGCTTCATATTCACCCGATGAAGCGACAATATAACGTTCCAACGCATGGGCAACAAGCAAATGCCCACCTAATTTTAAAAAAATAAAAATAAAATAACAACAAGAAAAAATTGCTATAACGCATTAAATTTGGTAAGTAAAATTAACATATAA